TTAGATTATATACTAAATAAGATAGAAAGAAAACTAAGAGCTAAGCTCTAGTATTAAGTAAGAGAGAAGTAGTAAGAAGATAGAAGATAGGATAGTTAAGTTAAGATATATTAAGAAGAACATATAAGTCTTTATATAAGGCTTTATATAATCTACTAATTAGTAGTAAAGATCTTATCTTAGAGATAAGATCTAACTAATTAAATAATTAACTAAAAAGAAAAAAATAGTTTTATAAAGAGTTAAACCCTAGTCTCTCTACTTATAGTTAGGTATATTATAAGCTATTATAATATACTTAATTATAACTCTACTAGAATATACTACTATTGCACTATAGAACTAATTAGTAATTAAGAGGCTTAGTACTATTATATAAGTAACCTTACTATAAGGTAACCTCCTTAGTAAGAGAAATAACTATATAACTTAACCTTCTTATTAAAGAGTAGAATATTAGAATATTCTACTTAAATTAATAATTCTATTCTATACTAAAGTAGTGGAATATTTCACTTAAAATTAGTAGAATATACTAACATTCTACTTATTCTATGCCATTTATCGTCTACTCTAAAAACCTTACCTCGGCGGTTGCGGAGGTGGTGACCCTGCTCCAGTTGTTAATGGCTTTCCACTACGCTATGAGTTCTAATTGCCAATTGTTTATACCTTTGGACACATGAGATAGGTATCTGAAGGACTGTAACGCTTGAAATGCCTTCTAAATATGCTTCGGGCGAGGTTTATCGAGGTTTTGAATATTCTTGCATCTTGCGGAAGTTCAGACGCTGATTTCATAATCATCTCTACTCCTCGCCAGTAGGATAACGACAACCATGATATTGAAAGGACACGTTTCCAGTGATCTACAGAGTGAAAAGCAGTTTGTGAGTCATCAGATACCCAACTATCGTAGCACTACTTGTCAACTTCTCAGAAGAGCACTTCCAGCAGTGGCACTAGGCCTTATGCTCAGTTGGCACTGCACAAACTTCGCACAATTCTTATACAAAAGGACGAAATCGATGCTGGGTAAGAAAGGTCATGGTCATTTCTTCTTCATGATACAAACGCTACATTACAATAAGGGTAAAGGGGATATTTTTGTATATCAAGCCGTCAAAGTCATTACAGGAGACATGCTCAGATCTTTGTCTTCTCGCCGATTGTGTTGAGGAAGGCAGTGTGGACGTGCTCGGTCAAGTCGCCAGCCTGCAGCGAACGACCCTTCTCCTTGTATGCGAGACGCGAGCACTCTCTGGTGATGGCGCTGCCACCGAAAGCGACTAGAGCGAGAGTCTCAGGCTCGGACAGGTCGTTCTCGTGGTCCCAAAGCTTCTCGTGGTAGGCCTTTCTGTAGGCGAGGAGGGTTGCAAGAGAACCGGTCAAGGTGTCACCTTGACCACCTGAACGCTTGAGACCGCCCTCGTTGTCGTTGACGAAGGTGACCTTGCCGTTGGAGATGTAGTCCTTGGCACCCTTCTGAATGATGGTAGGGCCACCGAATGCCTTGGCCAACTCCTCGCACAGCTTTGTAGGATCACCGCTGGCGTCGATGCCCTTTGACTTTGCTAGACGGCCAAACTCGACGACGTTGGGTGTGAGGATACACTCGGTGCAGCCCTCGACCAACTCGGGTCTGTTCTGGATGATGAAAAGACCATCGGCATCGACGATGAAAGGAATGCCCCTCTTGCGAGCCTCAGTGATGACACGGGCACAAGTCTCTTGCATGGCCTCGTCGCGACCAAGACCAGGGCCAATGACGACAACGTGCAGACGGTTCAGCATCTCGACGACGGTCTTTGAGATGTTGTCGATGGTCTCGCCCTCCTTCATGTTCTTGCTCTGACGCATGTAAGGGTGGACCATGAGGTTGGGCGAGTAGGTCTTGATGACCTGGCCGGCGCCGGGCTCACAGATGACATGTGACATGTCGGCACCGAGCTTTGCAGAGGCCATACCGGAAAAGTAGGGAGCACCAGTGTAGTCCTCGCTACCGCCAATGACAGCCACACGACCGAGCTGACCTGTTAGACAAAAAAGTCAATTGAGGCTCATGTATAGAGTTTTGGACGAGATTCAAGACACCCTTGTGGAAGCTCTCGAGCATGGGAGGGACGATCTTGTAGATCTTGCTGATGATTTCCTTGCGAGATGCCATTGTGAAGGTGTGTTATGGGGTATGAGATTGAGTAGAATTCAAATTGATAAGAATCAAGTGAAAAGAGGATGAAGAAAAGAGGCCTTTGTAGGCGGTAGACAATCTTGAGCTCATGATGAGCCATGACGTCGCTGGTGGTGTTTGTGTGGGGAAGCATGACGATGCAACGCGGGAGAAACAGCCAACGCGACGACGACTAACAGCTTGCTGCTCTTCTTATCAGGAAAGAGCAATCCTTCTGCTACCCTCCCTGCTATATCCTTGAGAAATATACACTCAATTGCTGCCACAGTCCTGCATAGCCCAACCACATACATTCAGACCACTTTCAAAAACATCACAATGTCTTCCTCCGGCCTCGATCCCAAGGGTCCTTCGCAGCCCAACTTGGACGCAGCATACACTACCGCTGGTAATCCTGCCACCAAAGAGCCCGCAGAAAAGGCTCAAGCAGGCCAACAAGATGACTCTGCCGCAATGTATCTCCCGACCTGATCCATTGACTCTTCCCTTCGGCCAGCTAACCCACGACAGCGACAAGCGCATCCCCGCAGAGCAAGCACACTCGCAATCCGAGGCCACCCCCACCTCAGTAGCTCGCGGCATCCGTGGCGCTCCCCCTGGTGAAGAGACCAAGGGCGAAACTCACGAATCCGTCGGCAGGAACCAAGAACTCGACGCCCAACAGATGGCTGCTCCCGGTGAAGGCAAGGTAGCTGATGTCGTCGACCAAAAGCCAGGAGCCTCTGGAGCAGCGCCTGACCTGGCGTCTGACCTGGACCGCAAGAAGGAAGAGCAAAAGGAGGCCAGAGAGGAAATCAAAGCTTCAAGGCAAGAGAACGTTGATGTCGGCGGAATCCTCGGCCAAAGAGGAGGCCCTGCCAACCCTGTTGACAAGGGCGGATACCCCAACTCTGATTCAAAATAGAAACAGCCCTGCTAGATTCAATAAAAGCAATCGCCTGCTTGAAACAATAATCATAGCCACGAATGTCAAACGATTACTTCTTCATAGCCACTCAGCCACCTTTTTGCGAACACATTGCAGCCTCCTAAGCAACAAACACAGCCAGCCTTCACAAGAACGCCTGATGATATCTTTTCCCGCATTTTACTCCCTAGTTCATTCGTCGTGTTAGTCCCGTTCATTGCTTCTTTTCACATCATGTTGGCTGCGCCCGCTGGGCCCATAAACATGTTGTTCATGCTCGCTTGCTGTGCCTGTTGAGCCAACTGCTGTTGTGCCTGTTGTTGCGCTTGCTGTTGTTGAGCTTGTTGGCCGTCCAGCGGGTTGACTTCAAGGTTCATCGACCACATTTGCATGGGTTCTCCCTGAACATATGAATCCCAAGCACCCTGTTTCGAGTTAGTCATTATCGAGCATAGTAATGTAAAGATATAACACGTACCCAGTCTACTTCTGGTGCAGCGCCACCAAACAGCTGCGTGAAAGGAGATGCAGCACCTTGAACAGCTTGTGCGCCATTAACATCCACACCGCTGTACTGTGGTGTCAACCCTGTACGCTCGGCCATAGGCTCATTGAGCAAACCCGCCATACTGGCCGGGAAACCACGCGTTTCCATGCCGAGCGAGCCAGGAGTATTTGAGGCAAATCCAGCATTAGGACTAACGCCTCCGGCTGACAACAGTCCCAAAGTCATCGCAGCAGAGTGCTCAGGTGGAACTTCGTCTTCAACGAGATCAGACGCTTGGCCGTTGGGGAAGGCACCATAAGAATGGCCACGCATGCCGTATTGGTTAGTGCTACGCATTTGCTGCTCTCTGCCGCCAACCATTGACGTCTGCTGCTGTTCCTGTGCTTTCAGTTTGCCCAACATGACGCGAAGCTGCGTGGATGCTTTGTAGGCTTCCATGCTTTTATCTCGCAAACTCTCCCAGATCGATGCGCAATGCTGGAGCGCCACGATCATCTGTTCTCTTCGATCCTGCGTCCACACATCTCCACTCGATGGAGAGGACGGATTTGATGAAGAGGTCTTGATCACACTTCGGTCGGACTCCGAAGTGTGGTACAGATCGAGACACACAATCATGGCTGCAAGCAAAAAGTCGTGTGTCGTGAGTGAAGAGATGGACCACTTTACCGATCGCAGCTTGCCTCCATCCCGTGACTCCAAATACAGGGTAGCTTGATGGTTGAGCATCTCCATCGAGGCGTCAATGCATGTTCGTCTTGAGTATGCGTAACGCGGCGAGTCACGTCCTCTAGCGATGAACTTGCGGTGCAACATACATTGTGACTTGAGATAAATCAACTCCAGAGCGTATGTTTGCATAATGAGGTTAGGTGCGACCGTCGCCAATTCCGAAGGAGGCTTCATCTGGAGATGAGGAGGAATCTGAGTACGAGCCTCGCGAAGCTGGGCATCCAATCTCATAATCTCCTCGTAGGACGGAGGCGATGTCACTGATTGAATGCGCTCAACAATCTGGCCAAAACACGATATCAACCGAGCCTTGGCGATCATGTATGATGCGGGAGTAACCTCTGACTCTGGTCGAGAAGGAGGCAACAACTTCATGTCTTCTGTGAACTCATCATCGAAGATGTTGTGTGGTAGTTCAGAGTCAGTGGCGTCGGGACGAACGGTAGGAGGAAGACCAAATTGGCAAGAGAAGAGCAAATCAGCCTGGCGAACAAAGGCCCAAACCCGTCGTCTCATCTCGGCAGTGAATGGCGAAACATTAGGGTACGGGCCAGAATCTCTATGATAACCCATACGCATTGCCAGGCGGGTGCACAAGTTGACAAGCAAGAGAATGCCAGTTTCGGCGTCATTGCTGCTGCTGTGCTCGGCCTGAATGTGTAGTATGAGGGCTTCAACCAACTGTGGCATCGGCTGAGTGATATCTGCAAGCACAATGCATTGCGCTGTGAGACGCTTGAAGGAGATGGACAGGTCATGCGATCTGCCCTGATACTCCGGCGGCTCATCGCCAGCTCTAGTGTACGATTGCAGAGCGAGAGTCATCATACCGTATAGCAATGCGAGGAAGGTGACGGGTGTGTCGTTGGGGTTTTGCCAGTGTCTGTCGTATTGCACTTGGAATGTCGGGCCATGAATGATATCTAGAAGAATTAGCTTAGAAAGAGAACAGTAAAGTAGTCGTAGGCGGGTACGTACGGACTGCTGGATCGTATGATTGGAAATAGCGCTTGACCAAATCATCAACAGCGTTCTTGTCGGGCATTGTAACAAGAATTTCGGCCTTGTTGTTTAGCCTAGGTCCTTTGAACAGGAACGAGCCCGAGGCATCGTCTTGTTTCGAGGCCTCAACCTTTCTGAACTGTTCTTGGTATTGCTCTTTGTGACTGGCAAAGTAGTTTTTGACTTCAGCGATATCCGACAGGATGGCGAACCAATGCGCATCGGGCACGAAAAAGGCTTTGGCGCCATCGATCTTCATGATACCAATATCTTGAGCAACGTCATTGATATCGCTGTCTTCTCCCTCAACTTCTCTGATGCTGTCTCTGTGAGGATCCAAGGGCATACTGATGGATGTACCAAGACTGTTACTCCTGCTCGAGTTGATGGCAGCGTGTGCAGCGGACGGACCAGCAGCCTGGGTGCCGTTGGTCATGAGCGACAGGACCAGACTCTCGAGTCGATCAATGCGATTCTGCATGTCGTCTGGGGTGCCAGTGGGTACATGGTGGATGCCGGGCTTCTTACGCGCGCTGGGAGAGGCATAGACACATGAGCTAGTGTCGCCGCGCTTGGTGCAGTTGTCGCAAGGGTGTCCACGGTTACACTTCAGCCTCCACCAGCAGTCAGATGTTTGTAACCAAGTTCTCTGCGACAAAACTCACTTTCTGTGTCTACAAGGACCGCACGAGAGAGGGATTCGGTTTCTCTTGCGCACGACGCGAAACTGGCCATTGTCGGGAGATGCGCCAGTTGAAGAATTGGTTGTGGGAGGTGTAGGCGTCATGACAGCGACGATACAGCTGCGCGACAAGCTATCGGCGCCTTGGAAGATGGTATGGTTGTCTTGTATGCGCGCGATCGCGTTTCGGAGTTAAGGCAGGTCCCGAGACGGGTCTTTTTCTCGTGAGTGGTGGGGTGTCGATGGAGACTCGGTCGATGAGGGTGTTTTCGAGTCGAATCTGATTGCGCTGGAAAGGAGCAGTCGAATCCACTGTTCTGCTGCCTGACAAAGCGGATAGAAGGAGAAGATCCCAGGTAAGAGTAGCTTTCCCACAAGTCGACTGCCACTTCCTCCCACATTTCGGTCATCATTGAATCTTGGCGCTCAGCCGCCCTCCTTGCAAACCTCGCCATAAGATTCAGCGTCGCTCGTGTTCGAGATGCATGTATTTGTACAGCCAGGAATACGAGAGCCTTCTCCTCCTCATGCATATATGTTCGCATAGCTGGAAGTGTTTAATTCCATCAAAGCACAGTTTAATCTCACAAAATCTTGATGTAGCGAGAGCATACAAGGCATCGAACAATAAAAGGGTATAAACTAGATTGACGGAAAGGCTACAAAAGAGGTACTAAGACAATCTCTCTGAACACTGTGCTATGTGTTCTCAGTATGAGACACGTCCATAACCTTCGAAATGTTGGTATCGTAAACCATTGATGCATCAGGCCATATGTTGCCCACAGACACTCCCTGTCTTTTTGTCTTGCCAGACTTCCACCATCACTCTCTTCCTTTCGGCTTCTTCAGTCTTTACCATCTTGATGTGAACTCTTCATGCACTTATATGCCACTTAGCAGCTATACAGACAGACCGAGTAAGAACAACCAGGAATCAGCAAATGCACGCGAGTTTGAAAACAATGTACGTAAATATCCAAAAGACTTGGTTTTGGACCTGTCATTTGGTCCCAGCTGCTCAGCCGCGAGCGGGATCGTATCTCGAGAATCTGGGATATTGTTAGTCACGAACCATATAATTATAGCAGCATGGAACGAACCTCCAAATCCTTGCACGCATGTCTCCGCTTCCAGTAGCGAACAGACCGCCTGGAACAGGGCTGGGTGCGACTGAAATGACCGAGTTCTTGTGTCCTTGGAGCATGAGCTGAGCATCGCCAGTTTGAGGGTTCCAGAACTGAACACCCCTGTCTTTTGAACCAGACAAAACCCATTCACCGTCGGGCGAGAGTGCAACGCTGAGAACAAAGTCCTTCACAAGTACGTTAGTATTTCATCTCTGATATTCAAAGTACGAGACGAACCTTGTGACCCTCGAAAGTGCGAATGCACTTGCCTCCACGGGGGTTTCTTGGTGGCATGTTTTGATTGCCAGGGTAGTGGGGTTGAAGCTCCCACATTCTGATAGTTCGGTCCAGACTGCCAGAGACAAGTTCTCTGCTACCAGGTGAGAATGCGACCGAGTAAACGCTGTCCTTGTGGCCAGGGTTGCCACCAGCCTCTTCAAGTCTCTCGAGGAGGTTTCCGCTCGCCAACTCCCATACTCTGACACTCTTGTCCAAACTGCCAGCGGCCAAGAAACGGTTGTCGGGTGAAATGGCGACGGTAGTGACGCCATCTTCAATGGTCAAGCAAAGAACACACTGGTTGTTAGGAATGTCCCAAACACGAACGGTGCGGTCGCCTGATCCTGAAGCAATGTAACGACCATCAGAAGAGTAGTCAAGAGAGTAAATATCTTGCTCGTGACCAGCGAATTGGTGACGAATCTGGCCAGCGGCAATTTCCCAAATCTAGAGTTTTAAGTCAGCAAGTAACTAATATCGATGCGAAAACTTGTACGAACGCGAATAATCTTGTCTTCGGCACCAGTGGCCAAGTATTGACCATCAGGACTGAAGCAGACACTTCTGATGTAAAGATCACCGTCCTGAGGCAAGCTGGTGTCCTGCAGATGCTTGACCTGCTGGCCACTCTCGACGTCAAAGATCTGAGCAGATCGGTTGCAACCAGTAGCAACGAATCTTCCATCGCGGCTGAAACGAACACAGCAAACTACACTCTGGTGGGCCAAGTTGTGGACGAGCTCAACATCCAGGGTGCGACGGACACGGGGGTTGAAGACAGCGTACCAGTCTTCACCCTCGCGCTTGAGGTTGCTGGGAAGAGTTTCAACAGCCAAGTCGACCAACTGGTTGCCGCTACCACCAAGCTCTTGGGTATATTGCTGGTGCTGGGGAAGAGAAAGAGCCTGCTGTTGTTGCGCAAGAGCGGGAGGAGGAGTGGGACGTGCCATAGCGGGAGAACCGGGGTAAGGGTTTGCGTTGTTCTGCTGAGGGGTTCCGGGAATACCAGGAGGACCACGAGCGTTGGTTCGGGGCTTGCCAGGGCCGGGAGAAGCTGTGGGCTGAGGAGGAGCAGGGCCATAACCTGTAAAGTTGTGTTAGTCTCTTCAGCACTCGGCTTAGTTTTGCGACTCGTACCATTGACGCCAGCTGGGGGCTGGCCGTAGCCGCCGAAAGGAGCATGTTGAGGAGGGCCTGGAGGAGAATTCAATCCAGGTGGACCTTGGATATGGGCAGGTACTCCCTGAGGTGGGCCGTCTTGAGGAGGCGGAGCAAGACCCGGGCCACCCTGAGCGCCGGCCATGATGCCCTGGAAGAGGTTGGCCGGACCATGGCCAATTGAAGGCGGAGGAGGCTGCGAAGGGCCAGTGTGCGAAGACTGGCTGGGGCCTCCACGAGCCTCAAGGTCGCGGCGCAAACGGGAAATATCTTCCTCGTATCTGCAATGAGAGTTTAGTTGGCGTCGATTGCAAGACACCACAGCAGGGTGACAGGAACGTACTTTTGCTTCATCTGCATATGGGTCTGTTCGAGCTGGAAGATCTTGCTGCGGACGAGCTCCATCTCCTGGATTTGGTTTGCGACTAGATCGTATAAGCTTCCGGTGTAATCGGTATAAACAACATCGGGATTAGGGAAAGCCATATCGCCAGCGACGACGAGGAAGGAAACGATGGGAGACTACGCGGGCAGTCATAAAGCTACAGGAACTGGACCATGCAACGATAGATGACTGCCTCACGGACAGGTGTTTGTCGGGACAAACGGGGACGACTCACGCTGATGCTCATACTCGTTTGCACGTCCACCCTGCGCCTCGAACTCGGCGCGGACCTGCTCGAGCAGCTCGACAAGACGGTTGTTTGGCGGAGCCGGAGCGCCGGCTATGCCGCGATGCGCGTTGTACATGGCGTCGTGAAAATTGGCGGTGTCGGCTGGTGTTGGATGTAATCGAGGACTGAAGGGCGCTGGTGCACTTGAAAGCGCGTCGCGACTTTGCTCGGCGTCGCGAACAAGCACAATGTTTATTAGGTGACCCTAAACGGTGCTAAGACTCGCTCAGATGGGCTCGCGCCGATGGACTCGAGATGGCGGCGCAGACGAAGCGATGATGGATGCTGTGGAGAGATGGCGATGAATGGAGGCCGATAGGAGAGACACGTATGAAAACGCACCACCGCACAGGATGGCTCTCTCCGTGGTCAAGCCCCGTTCTCTGTTCTTGGACCAGTCGGCACACGGTTGCGCCAAAACTCAATTTGACTCTTGGAAGCTAGGTTGCCCACGGTGGGTCACCAAGATCAGCCACAGCCGCGTGCCGCAGTTTGTTCCACCCTTATGTATATGCAGATCGGAAATAATCTCAACTGCTCTTCGCCTTCTCCACGTTTGGCCACTCGATCCTCTTTGTTGCTCGAAACACCGCGAAACTATCACTAACCCCTCGCAGAATCGCACGTACTATGTGTTTCACCATGTTGCTGGCCTCATCCTTCGACCGTGCCCGGACGGCGAAGTCTAAGCTAGGTGACTTCTCTCCAGATTTACCGGCCGTTAGTAGCGCAAGGTGCCTCCTGCAAACTCGGTAGGCTCGCCGCCGCACAGGGACTGGCTCGGTACGATCAGCCCTCTCCTGTCAGACATGTTCTCTGGCCCGTGCACTGAACAACGACAAGTCATCCATGCCTTCAATTCCACCAAGCGGGTCGCCTCTCCGCGTCGCTGGTCCCCAATTATCTCCAGCTCAGAGCTCTTGCAATCACAGATATTTGCAGTCATTTCACATAAAGCTAGTCATTGTTCCTTCGAACTGCGAAGACATATCCTGCAAGACCTCGAGATTCGGAATTGTGTCAAGTGAAGCTGAATCAACTTAATCTTAGTCGGACATTTGCTGTCCATCTGATCAATACAGGATACCTTTCTCGGACCGATCCCGAGAGTACGAGGGCATGAAGTTGATGGAATATTCATGTCACACGAATTCCCAATTTCATCAGACTTTGTACACGCTGGCTTAAACGGCGAGCGTTCTTCGACTCAACTGTCGGACTAGCAGTATGGAAAACGGTCAAATATAACACCACCAAAATGGAACAGAGGTCGTCTTCATTGTCTTGAACAATGCTTTCTAGAGACCATGTTCGAGCCATTCTCGCGTTCCGCTGACCAAGATTTCGTGACTTGGCCCTGCAATATCTGAATATATTGCCCATCTCTGCAAGCTTTTCTCGCGTCGAACTCGAAGAACTTGCCAGCAAACTACCTAGTATTGAGCTGCTTTCTAGCTATGCCCACGACCACCTAAAGAGCAACCCCACGAATCAATTCACAAAGCACCCATGCAGTCATGCAAGGCTTGTGTCCTGTTTTTGTGCCAAGATGCTCGAAAGGCATGTCACACAACTGGCAGAGAACGTGCTACTATATGCAAGACTTTGGACCTAAGTATGGTCCCCGTAAAATGTGTTGCTGTATAGCTTGCTGACTGCATGAACTCTCCATATGCATCGGTCCAGCTACCTTAGCTACACTGATATCAATCATCTTATGATTATGTTCTGACACGTCGAGGGGAAGGAAGATATCGTCATAAAGACTAGCTACACAATTTTTATTCAGTGCTCTCAGCACCCCTCAAGTCACCACCCTGCTTCATCTTGTTAACCTTTTCTTCATCGTCAACAAGACTCTTGCTCAAAAGACCACTCTCAGTACCGCCAACGTCCAACCCAGAAATATCCGCGATGAACTCGCAAAGCATCTTTTCAGCCTCGCTACTGTTCCTTGTAAGCGCGTGGTCATCTCGCTCGAAGTAATGCACCTTTCTTTTCCCTCCTCTCGATCCGTACATATCGTACAGTCTCTCGCTACACTGCGGACTCAGAGTGCGATCGCCAGTACCATGTAACAGCAACACCGGCACACCTCTTCTTCCTACCGCTCTGATGCCTTCTGTCTCTGCAGTCTGAGATGCGACAGTCGCACACCCGACGACCCTGGCATCTTGACCACCAACTGTAAACACTGGAGCACCACCAAAGGACCATCCAACCAGGACAAATCGGCTAACTTTATGCTGTGCCTCAAGGTAATCCATAGCTGCCAGGACATCCGGGATGCAATACTTGTTGCGAGCTGGGAAGCGATAATCCATGCGTAGAACAGGAAGACCGGTTTGGAGAGAGGCCAACTTGTCTGCCATGCTCAGATAGATACTAGAAGGGCCAACCACACCACCGCCAGCTCCAGAGAGAAGGATTGCAGCTGTGTTCTGCTGATTCTGATAATCCTTGGGCAGGTGTAGGAATGCTGGAACTGTGCCATCAATGCCATCCTGAACTTTGAGATTGAATGATTTGACAATCGAAGGCAGTTTTGTGGCAGCTGGTAGGTGCTCGAGACCAGAATATTGTGACAATTTTGCAGGATGATGGTTTTGAGAGATTTGCGTGGTGGCGGAGAGGGAGGCGTTGTCAGTCATTGGCTTGGACATGTTTGTAAGATTATCACGGAGGTTGGTTAGGAGTCGACGAGCAAAGACAGGAACGCGAGACATAGATGAAGAGCCTGAGTGCAACTTTTGTGTGGTTATATACTTATGGCGTATTCGAGTGCATTTCCGACTGCATTAACCGTGTAGGCGTGATGTCAAACAGGGTCATTGGCCAGTCGGATGACAGGCGACAGAGCATTTAGAAGGACGTCAATAAGGACCCGCATTTGTATTTGATAGTGATGTGATGGTCTTCTTGCAGTCTCCCCGTGTACTAAAAGATGTAACGCATATAGCTATCGACATGCACAATAGTAATAGGAAACAAGATGGTATCCACTGAGAGGCAACAAGTTGTCGACTCTCTGTGCAAAGTCTCTGGTTTCTAAAACAGTTGTGCATTTTTATAGTCTATGTTCTGTTCTTAGCTACACTCGGAGTAGGATAGAAGTTACAGAGTTCAGTATACGGGGAGGATATATGCTTCTGGAAGATGAAGGCACTAAGATACTCGGAGATCGGAAATGGACAAGGGACGTGCACCTTGAGCGCCATCAAGGCCCTGGGAAATTGCGACTCTCGTCAGAAAGATCATGTACAACATTATCATCTGATCAGAAACTCGTCGTCTAGATTGCACTGCTCACTGTCTTCTATACCAAGAGCGTAAGGATCGAAGCGCTACAGAACGAACGACCACCACAAGTACCAACGTAAACAATCCTTATACCTCCATTACTCGACCCAAATCTCGAAGGGGTCGAGTCGCTGCAAACACAATGCAGCCCTTCAACAGAATTGCCGGCGTAGAAGAAGTCTCGAACACTCAAAACTATCCACCACCGCCTCCGATCCCTGATGTCGAATCACAACCAGCACACAGCCTCCACTCACGACCCTCAAGAGCCTCTCTTCCCGTGAATCGCAAACCTAGCAGACGCACTCTTCATGAACAATCCAGTCGCAACTCGCTTCGACCCCCAAGTCTTCACCCCAGTCTTCTCCCACCACCTACGGCATGGCAAGGCATTCCTAATGCAGACTACACGGCTAGTGCACACAGCCACGACACACACTTGGAAGACGAACTGCCCTGGGGTCCTTCACATCCCTGTTTCCCACATCTGAATCCTCACGTCGCTCTCTCATCTCCCCTTTACGCAAGTACTCGTGTCATCAGAATACAGCGAGACTGGTTGGCTGCAGGAGACCTCTACCCGGCCCTTCAAAACCTATACCCCGAGATTCTGGATCTGTGGATGTCTGAATCTGAATTCAGAAATGTCATTGAGACATTGAATCCCATGCTGAAACACGCCTTTGAGCCGAATACTTGGGCGAGTTGGTTCGATGCCTTGATGGGCGTTGCGACGGGATTCTTGTGGGATAACTTTGGCTGGACCGGAGTGAAAAGAGGAGTAAGAGACATGGAGAGATGGGTCGAGGGATGGAACACTGAGGCTGAAAGAGAAGGCAGAGAGGTCAGGTTGATCGATTTGAGGAGGACGGGCTTTTTGAGTCTCGATATCCAGATACCCGACCCGCATATTGATGTCGCAGATGGGGATGTCATGTCGATGTGAGATCAACGACTTCTGGTCTGCAGGTTCATGGCAACATGCCTCGTTAGGCGTTGTTCAGTACACTGTAATTACTGAGGGATAGGTTTCGTTTTGAGCATAGCTAGGAGTCAGGGCATGGATACCCATATAGGCATTTTTTTCATCACTACTATTATTACCGGAGAGTGGGACTCGGTCCTGAGAACAAATCAATGCAATCCGATTCTTTGCATGGATATGATAATCGCGAATGCTAAGCAAAACTTCATCTACACCCTCCAAATGTCCTTTCAGTTTCGACCATTTGGTATTTCCTACGCCAGTAATCCTTTTTGTTGGAACCCAAGACAGACCTTCTATCCTTTCCAGAACTCCGTTGGGCTGCGGCGGTGAGGTCGCTCCCTGATGCTTTCTTCTGACTTCTCCTTCTGTCCTCCCCTGAGACCGGATGTGTCTCGAAACTCGTCTCGTGACCTCGAAGCGTGAATATGATGTGGCGGCGCCTCTCACTTCTTTCCGGTACGAGGGGTCTTCTTGAAAGTCATTTGGTTGATGACCTTGCGCTTTTGCTTCTTTGCGATGCGGTTACGCTTTTCTTCCTTGGCCCTCTTTTCGGCCTTGATCCAGCTTGTTCTGGGTGCGTTGGTCAAGTCGACGTCCATTGCGGTGTCTGATGATGAAAAAGGCGGGTTAGCCTTGTTTAGACAGTCAAGTGGCTCACTCATAGCCGCTGCCAAGGCTGCTGCTACTGCTGCTGCTCTCGTTGTCGCTCTCAGAGTCGGATCCGAAACCTAAACAAATGTTGCCAAAGGAGTCGAAGCCGTGAATGTCGGTCGAGACACCCAGAAGATGGAAGAAGAGCTGCTCGTCGGCAAAACGTCGATGTGCAGATCTGATAGAGGGATTGCTGAAGTCGGAGATGTTGAGCGGAGGTGTAGGCCGAGGGGTGAGCATGTTCATCGAGGCAGCAGCAGTAGCAGGACATTGATGGGCGAGCGACTTGGGCACCGGAATTGCAAGAGCATTTAACGCACCATTTGCGTTGGTAGCCTTGGCCTCGGACTCGGCCTGCTTCGAGTCTGCGAGTGGCAACGTCAGTTTGGGCACATGTAGGTTGCGAGGGAAAGGATTCTCACCATTTGATTCCTCGACTTCCATGTCCGACTTTGGGGGCTTTGGCTGGGAGGCTAATTCGAGCAGCTTTTGCGACAGACGCTCTGTGCGAGCAGTCTCGACGGGGCCAAAGACATTCTTCTTGAGCTTTCTGTTGTTGGTCTTGTTGACGCTGTTTCGTAGACCTTTGCCCATTTTTGCAGTGTGGATGGGGTTGTTGTGTTGCGAGATTGCGGTGAAAGAAAGAGATAAATTCTCTTGGAATGGAACAAGAAAGCGGGTCGGCGGGCAGTCGCTTAAACGTGCGGAGAAGGACGATCGGGCTGGCTGTTGAAAGCAGCTGGTGCACCTGCTCTGCTGGGGCGTACAGGGTCTGGTGATTATTCTTTTGCTTCCTTGAGGTCGCGTGTGAAACCACAAGCAAGTGACCCTATGTTTGAATGGTTTGTGATGCAAGGAACAAGAATAGATGACTGAAAGATGTCGCTATGTATAATACTGTTGCAACAGAAGGATGACTCCTCTTCGAGGACCAACTTCCAAGCCTCAGTCAGCACAGCACAGCGCGCCACGCTGAAAGTCGCCGCATTGGGCAATGGATTCTCGCGGTCCGGACTTATGACTTTGGCTCGTCACTACTTCCACGCACGGTCACGTTCTTCCAGAAGGCCGAAAGATGTTTGCCTACTGAAGTCTGCTCTCCTCGAACGAGGACAATGTTCCTATCCCAGCACCGTGCATGTTGTTCCCTCCGTACTGGCGCATAAAGTAGTCGTCACTTGTATCCATGTCGGTTCTGTAGATACTGTGCTTCCTGCGACCATTTCACTTCTAGAAGCCGCCCGTTCCAATCGCCTCACTTGGACATGACCACTCGGCCCTCACTTACACTCTCCGACGACATAGTATCCTGGAATAGTGCCTCGTTATCCATCAGCCAGAACCCTTGACCGGCGTGAACCCTCCAATCTCTGGCGACTTCCTCCGGCGACTGCCCTGGCACAAAGATACTGCATGAAGGCAAGCAGGCACGATTGAAAGAGATGGCAAGCGATCCCGCACGTCTTCGAGACCTCGCGTCTTTCGTGGACCGCAAAATAAAATCTCTCATCAACAATGATCTGAAGGAGATCTGCCGTCAAGAGGGTCTGCAGGTGTCTGGTGTGAAAGCCGCTCTGCAGAAGCGCATTTCTGAAGGTATTCATTCGATGAGTCCATCCACTTTCACTCCTCGCGCCAGCTAACCCCTCGTCCGTCAGTCATCGCACATCACCTCCGCAAGAACGACCTACAAGCACTTGAGCGATTACGCTACCGAGCCGAGCACCAAGGCCGCGACCCTCCAGCACAAAGTCATCAACCTTCACTGGCCCGCGATACCAATACACCCATTTCCCCAGCCCCACACACTACCGCCGGCATGCCTGCCTACCCAAGGCCTGCTGGCTTGCCTCAGTATCATCAGGCGCCGGCGGCGCGCGCAGCCGTGCCCTCTCGTGCCTCGGTCAAGTTCAGAGAAAGTCCCTTCTATCAGATCAGAGAAGCTCTCACCCCTACGAAGGAATTGTCAGGTAACTACACGCGCTCTTTCCAACATGTTATAGTCACCCGGTAAGACTAACGCAGGAGTTTCAGAAATGCCACACAATCGTCACTCTCTAGACGAAAAGGTCTATCTTAGCGAACCCATTTGCACATCTCTGAAAGCCGATCCGTCTCTGCGCATTATGCTTTACTGCGCAACTACCTCGACTCTAGGTCCTTATGCCTTCAACGTTGACATTGCCTTCCCGAGTCAGATCGAGGTCAAGATCAACGGAGACGAAGTCCGCAAGAGCTTCAAGGGCTTGAAGAACAAGCCTGGTACCACCAAACCTGTCGACATTACCGATCTCATCCGCAAGGTTCCCAACTATCAGAATATCATCCACGTGACTTATGCGCTCACGAAGGAAGTATGTTGGGCCATTTCTGATTCGTTTCGCGCATTTGCTGACTCGACTTGAAGCGCTTTTCTCTTATGGTCAACCTCGTCAAGGTGACATCTGCAATGGACCTTGCAACCCGTCTTCAGCAAACGGGGAGCAGGATTCCCAAAGACACTGTTCTTCGAGAAAGTGAGTTGTTCAGACTTGCGCTTCCACGTCACGCAAGACTAACTTCATACTTTAGTGGCTGCCAAGGCACAAGACCCAGACATCGTGGCCACTTCCACCGTCATGTCTCTCAAGGACCCCATCTCGACGATGCGCATCAATATTCCTTGCAGGTCCAATGTTTGCTCGCACAACCAATGCTTTGATGGCTCGTACTTCTTGCAACTCCAGGAACAGGCGCCAACTTGGACTTGCCCCGTCTGTAACAAGACCCTCTCCTACCAGAGCCTCTGTGTCGACAATTATGTACAAGACATTCTACAGAACACCTCCAGTTCTGTAGACCAAGTTACGATCGAGCCTGACGGAAAGTGGAAAGCAGTTGACCATGGAGACGACAGCAACAACCGTCAGAAGACACAGGCGCGGGCAGCTTACGACAACGACAGTGACGATGACATTATCGAGATCCAGGACACGCCCAAGAAGTCTGATGGAGTGGAGAAGATCAAGACTGAGCACAACTCGGCTACTCCAGCTCTCGCACAACAAACACCTCCGGTCTCACGTGAAACATCGACAATCGCACCTCGACCCAGCGCCAAGCGCCCTTCCACAGCAGTCATTGATTTGACCCTATCGGACGATGAGGATGAACCCCCACGGCCAGCTAAACGCACCAACACGAGTCAGAACACTTCCTCTAACACTCCGGCGAGTCTTCAAGATGGCAGGTTTGCTGACTTGGCCAACAGACCGTCTAGTGTAGTAGGATCTGGCTTACCACCAATGAATCCTGGCGACACTCTTGCACTACCACCAATCAAAGCACCTCAACCGAATGGAGGATTACCACAAGATCAACGATTACCTTGGCCGTTTGGGGCACCAACCTGGTCCGGCCCCTATAGAGATTCGCAAAGCTACAGCAACAGCCCATCTAGGAGCTGAGGTGGCTAGGGAAACATCTCGATTGATTTAATGACAGCAGCTAACGACATACGGCGAGCACGGCGTCTCATGGCAACGGGGTAACAAGGAGGATAAAAAAGCTAGGACTGCATTCCCTAGGCGTATCATTTGCTGGTTTGTGGGTTTCTTTGTTCTTATAGCGCGGCGTGATAGGGAGAAGATGATGATACCATACGCGCCAGTGCTACTTTGGCGCTTTGCTTTGAGAGATGCTCTCGATGATGCCCTTGAGGGCGATCACAAATGAAGATTATTCCAACAATTCTATCATGAGAAAGCGGCTTCTGCTCCAATCAGCGACCGAAGAACAAAGCATAAATGCTGTTACGCGTGGCAGACACATGAGTGATGATTGGTAACAGTAAAGGGAACTGCGGTAGTGAGGCTGCTCGGATGTGCTAATCTCCGTGATCCGAGATATGAGCGTTGTAGTTTGAGAGATGAGGCGACATCAGGCGAAATGGAGGAGAGAGCTGACAGCGCTTGGCTGTAGGTCGCAGTGATGGCAAGACAGGGGATTTCGTGTGGTGCTCAGACATTATCTGGCGCCATGAAACTGGGGGGCTGCGAGAATCGCGTGTACAAAAGCATGATTGCCCGGATGACAAGGCCAGCACGTCGCGTTAAAGTTGATGGCAGGGGTTCGGAAGGGGCTCAAGAAGAGGCGCTCTGTTGGAACTAGGGAGTAGAGGATTGGGCCGGAATTTGACAGCGGCAGACGGCAACCCTGCCGATTCTTGCTGGTTCGGGCAGGCACGGATAGCAGGTTTGGCTGAAGCTTGGTTGGGCAAACTCTGCTCCTTATTCTCACCGGACGGCCAGGCCCCACTGATCCCTCATTTGCCTCTGATTGTGGTTCGATTTTTTGTGGGCTGATTCCGAGCTCCCGCAGCACGCTCGCTCTCTCTGCTTCTTCTGATAGATAAACAAGTCGTTCTTTTTCAATCGCTTCACGCGCCTGTCATTCTTTACCGGCTATTGCAACTTTTACTTTCACGTCGAGAAAGCCCAATCTCTTCTGCTCAGGAATCTCCTGGACCCTTTATCTCCTTTCTACTTGCGTATCAACAATCAAAGACTACATTTTAAACAGCGCCACACAGCAGAATCGCAAAGATGGATGTTATACTGGAGGTTTTCGACACGTACGCGTTCGATCGACTGTATGCGACCGTTCTGCCATTGACATCGTCAATGCTGGCCATGAGCACTGTCGGTGACTTTGCTGGTACTCCCAATGCTACCTGGTCTACCATGGCCCGTGGTGTTACCCCCTACAAATTCGAGCCTGCGAGCCAGTACTTCTCGGTCGAGCCTAGTTCATATGCCTACATGAGCCGATGGCCACGAGACAACATTGCCAGACAGGCTATCTCCTTGTTCCTTATCACATGGTACGCCTTTGCGACTGTCCAACCTACGACCCTTATCGCAAACTAACAGTTCTCCAGGGTCTTTGGTTTGCTAAATTACTTCGTCTGCGCCGGCCTCTCATACATCTTCGTCTTCGACAAGACAACGGTTCACCACCCCAAGTTCCTCAAGAACCAGATGCGCCTCGAAATTCGTCAGGCTCTCGAAGCCATGCCCGTCATGGCTGTTCTCACCGTCCCCTGGTTCTTGGGTGAGGTCCGCGGCTACTCCAAAATCTACGACGTCTTGCCTGAGAGTTCATCGTGGAACCTTGGTGGCTGGTACCTGCTTCTCCAGTTCCCCTTCTTCGTCTGCTTCACCGACTTCTTCATCTACTGGATTCACCGCGGCCTGCACCACCCCATGGTTTACAAGAAGTTGCACAAGCCTCACCACAAGTGGATCATGCCCTCGCCTTTCGCCTCGCACGCTTTCCACCCTCTTGACGGCTACGCTCAATCGCTGCCTTACCACGTCTTCCCCTTCATCTTCCCTCTACAGAAGTTCGCCTACATTGCTCTCTTCATGTTTATCAACATCTGGACCGTCATGATCCACGACGGTGAATATGTCGCCAACAGTCCTGTCATCAACGGCGCCGCCTGCCACACCATGCACCACCTGTACTTCAACTACAACTACGGACAATTCACCACTCTCTGGGATCGCCTCGGTGGCAGCTACCGCAAGCCCAACGACGAGCTCTTCCGCCGCGAGACAAAGATGGGCCAAGCCGAGTGGCAACGCCAGGTCAAGGAGATGGAGCACATTGTCAAGGAGGTTGAGGGCGAGGATGATAGAAGCTACGAGCCCGAGACCAAGAAGGTCCAGTAGACTTGGTTTACTTGACTTTTCTCCTTGTTACGACTCTTCTTTTTGGGTGGCGCATTCTTTCTACTTTCGTTACTACACATGGCATGGCATGGCATCAGGCGTCGAGACTTATTCCCCCCTACACCTCGTTTTTTCGTTTCTGCATTTCTTTCTTATCTATAGACTTCCCGAGCGAGGCGCGATTGTCCTTTTGAAGGACGGCCCTCTGTAATACGTGCTTCTTTTTCTTATAGATACGAAAGAGCACTTCTTTGCACACAAAAAGCAACTCCTTTTTCCGAATCCTCTAAGCTCTCGTTTCAATTGCTCCATTCCTATTGATTGTCTATGAATGATATCTACAACAGAGACATACTCTGAACCAGGAAGGCAACGATATGTTAAGCACGGTCGGCCTCTGGTTTGACGCATGTCGTTGTCGTTCTCATGCTTGACGCGATGCCATCTCACACGAGCATCTACGAATCTTTATAGCTTCAGAGCGATAATGGGGCGTTACAGTCAATGCAGTAGCTGAGAGGTAGAGTTTACTGTAAAAGCTCGTACATTTCTTTGATTCTATCAACACACTCTCGAAACCTTTGAACGCCCACCGCTTAAAGCTCCCCAAGCCGCAAAAATCTTAAACATTATATAAGAGAAAACGGAAAAAAAAAAGAAAACCATCATAGTTTTGTGATAGTCTAGTGACCACCAGTAGTAGGCAGACCAATAGAAACCTTGAAAGAATCATAGATCAACCACTGGAAGGCAGTAAGAGTACCGATCATGACAATTCTCAGACCGACACCAGACCATAGGCCTCTGAAGCCAATTTGGCCGTAGATTCTGCTGACTGCCTGGCCAGCACCTTCGCCGGACTTGCGGTCGCTGTTCAACTTGCTGACCATGACATCGGCAGGGTGAGAAACGACGGCGCATCCAATACCAGCAATGTAACCACCGAGGAAAGAAACTCCGGTCTGGGCCAAAGTGCCGTAGCTCTCCTTGGGCTTGCCGAGTTGCTTGTAGATTTGAGCGACGGCGGATTCAAAGGTTGCGAACTTGACCATGGTGTAAGGGATTTGACGGGCCCAGAGAGGGTACAGACCCTTGTACAGACCGCCGAAACCTTCTTGAGCGACGACCTTGCTCCAGCCTTCGCGCAGGTTGTTGGCGAAAGGAGGCAGGGTGGTCTGCATGCGGACCTTGAGGGCCTCAAATGGACACAGGAACAGATCAGCGATGGCCTCGGCAGTGGCAGAGGCACCGAGGTAGACGATAGTCTTGTTGGTGTTGGGGAAGAGCTTCTCGCCGTAGGTGTACTTGAAGAACTCGTAGGCACCGTACTTGCCAGCGCCCTGGAACGAGTAACCGATGAAAGTGGGAGACCATCCGAAGAAGACGCCGCGAAGACCCTCTTTACGGAAGATTGTGCTCCAGGCTTGCAGGTTGGATGAGTAGAGCTTGCTGTCTACTTGGCGACGGCATTTGACGAGATCCAGAGGGGTGACTGCTGTGTGGGTAGGTCCGCAAGCTGTGTTTGGCAGACGCGTTAGCTCCTGCTTGTCTGCTCGAGATATAGAGACCACTAACCAATGATACCACCCAATGTGCAAGCGGCGAAGTAAGTGCCAGAGAACAGCTCAATGTTTCCCTTGGGAGTAACAGCGCCAGGCGCCTGGGGCTTGTTCTGAACCATTGTTGTTGTGTCTGCAGAATAGAGCTATAGAGCTATGATGTAATGGTAGAGCTGCAGGTCCTCGAGGGTGAATTGACGAGAATTGAAGAACTTTGACGACACAAAGAACAAGGCACGAGACAGGGGGAAGATGATAACAAAGTAAGAAGTTAAAAGAAGCAGCTTTAGAACAGAACAAAAGTAGCTCGTCCGAACGGTTGTTCTGCAACCTGCTCCTTCCCCCGGATGCTACGGCGATGATGTCAGGCTTGTTCGCCGGACCCGCATGCCGTTTCTACCGACCGCCGACCTATCACTTTCCCAACCACGCCCAGTGCCGTTTTGGGCCAGCCGTGCTGAGATAGAGACATGTGTTGAGATAAGGCGCTTTGACAGGATCATTGTCCTCACGACCATCGCCTCTGAATCTGCTTGAGTATTGTTCTAGAAATCGAATTGGTGCATACAATGAAAGGAATGCTTCGCTATGAGTCTACTGCTGTGAGGAAGGAACGTCTGACCAGAAAAGACCTCCCAAGAAACAAAAACTCCCTTTTCCCCTTTCTTGTCACCTAAATGATTGCCTGTCGATTCACCTATGATCCGCAATGCCATATAAATCAATTCCAGAAACGCCGTAAACACAATGAGAGGAAAGCCAGACTTTGTGCATCCCCTGACTCTTGGTACCCTACCCTTCCTGAAATCGGTTGGTCTCCTGAGCTCCCTGCGCCTATGCTTCCCATTAAAAGTCGTAAGATGCTTCAATGCCGTATCATGTTCAAAGTAAGAAGCGTTATCACGCTGATGTGACCGGTGAAGAGACCTCGTTGCGAGGAGTCTCGTCTGTCATGATTGTGTCCTCGACCTGATCATCAGAAGCGGGTGCATCTGAAATGTGCATTGGCGAGGGTTCGCTAGCAGGCAGCATGGGCTTGGAGACGATAGCAGGGCTCGACGCGGTGCTGCTCGTATTTCCGTCCTCTGGCGGAGCGAAACTCCAAACTTCCATGACTGTTTTGCCTTGCCTGGATGCAAGAACGACTGCTTTCTCCTCTTCAAACACAACACGCCAGACTGCTTCAGCAGGTTGTCCAAGTTCTCGTACGAGACATCCTCGCTGGAGGTCCCAGACCTTGACACGACCGTCTGACCCACCAGATACAATGCGTGACTCATCAAATTGCAACGAGGTCACGCTGTTATCGTGTGCTGCAAGACGATGGATAGGTGTGTAGGACTGCAATGACCAGACTCTAACACTGCCATCGCTGCCGCCAGTCACAAGAGTGTCACCACGGAGCTGAAGCTGGCCAACGAGAGAAGTGTGGCCCTGGAGGATTGCCAGACATTTGCTGTAGAGCGTCAGTGCTTCGTCTTCAACAAGTTGTATCGAGATATGCTTACCCGTCCGCAACATTCCAGACACGAACGCTCGTGTCCAGACTGCCTGTAGCAACACGCTTTCCGTCGAAAGCAACTGCATAAATTTGGCTAAAGTGTCCTTGCAAGGTCCTGAGACATCTACCTTCGCTGATGCTCCAGATCCTCGCTGTGGTATCGTAACTTCCAGATACGACCAGGTCTCCGTGGATTTCGAGGCAGCGAACACTTGCTTGATGACCCATAAGCACGTGTTTGCATTGGCCCTTCTCAATGTCCCAGATGCGAAGAGTAGTGTCGCGAGAACCAGAAATAGCGGTGGTGGCATTGGACATCTTCAGACAACGAACTGTGGAAGTATGCCCGCGTAGCATGTGAAGGGGTTGTCTATCAGAAATGGTCAGCTTATACATGAATTCATCATGACGACGTCAGCCACTTACCCAGTCGCCATGTTCCAAACGCGAACATCTCTATCGCAGCCACCTGACACCAAAGTCTCACCCCAAGGCACCATGGCCCATACGCCCATGACATGGCCTTGTAGACACCTCAAGTGCTTGCCCTCGGTGTCGAAAACATGGATCTTTGCGTTGTCCAAAGCAACAATGATGTACTTATCAGTGAGATGCAAGCTGGTCACAACACCCTGGTCCGGTGTAATCTGTCTTTGGTCGACCTTGCCGCCAGTGCGCCAGGCGGTTTCGACCTGATACTTTTGCTTGAAATGGGAGCGGTACGTCATGGCCTGAGGTCGTCGACGTATGGCTGAAGAAGGCAAGACTGGAGCGGAAGTCGTTCTATCAAGACTCTTGACACGACTCAAATCAGGCGTCGAAGTGCTGAAGCTGGCAAATGCGGGGTTATGTATGCGTAGAGCATGCGTGGCAAAGCTGAGAGAGGGTCCCGAGTGAGACGGCTCGAAGGATGATGAATGTTGCTGCCTGGTATTGGTCGAAGAAGTGTCATCCGACATGCGGCGATAAGCATGTTTCTCACAGAGACTCTTCCAAGCCATGTCGTCGCTGACCAGCTCATGCCATCTTTTTGAAACTTGCGATGAGCGAGCAAGCGTTTTGGCATCATCGATAAATGTGAGTATCTGTAGTCACGTTAGAACAGAAATCGTGCCAGACGAGAGCAGGATGCATACCCTTAGGCAGAGCTCATTAGGCAACACGCCGAATGGATCTCTTTTTAATCGTGGTGCAACAAAATTGGCAACATAACCCAATAGCTTCCCGTCGCAGTCGGCCAATAGCTCTGTCAGAATGCGTTTGCGTTCGTCGTTGTCCATGTCGGAAAATATGTTCTTCATATGCCTGAATCTCAATCCTTTGTCTACGCCAAATGTGCCTTCGCTGCCCACGTCGTCCAGGTCCCCATCTTCGTCCATATGCAAATCAAGAGATGGTCCTGTCGTAGAGGCCCAGCTTGGAAGACGACGTCCTGGCGTTGGAGAGGGAGCCGGAGTCGGCGGAGAAGCAGGCGCTGACGGGAGCAGATTTCCGGGAATGACATTTGGGTTTGAAGGGATGGGTATAGGGACGCTGGTGGACGAGGATGATATGGAGCGTGCTGAAGGTCGCGAGATGGAAGTCTGGGGCTTGTGATGACGCTGACCGAAGATGCGCGCTTCGCTGCCCGACGCGGCTTCAGGGTCGTATTCGACAGGCATGGATAAAGGGCGTTGGGTCTGCGGATAGGAAGGATGCCAGTCGGAGGGATCCTCCATGTTGTTCTATCTTGTGCAAGAGTGCGTCGCTCCTGTGCTCGCTCGGATGCTCTCAACCCTCGTGGTCGGGCGGATTTGCGATCGGACGGCGGGTTGGCGGGGACGATGGCGATCAACGACGGCAAAGCGTCTATCGAGAGTGGGTTCAAAATTCGCTGGGATTTGATGAAAGAATGTATGCGACTGGCGTGTCTTGCAGAAATGGCGGTTGTGCCGGAGAGTGTAGGAAAAATAGCCTGGGTTGCGCAATGCGGACTAGGATAGTCGAGGCCAGGAAAGTCTGAAAGAGGTGCTGGTTACTCTGAAACACGACCAGGACGCCTGAGCAATAAGCCTGCCCTACAATTTGCTGCCCCCAAAACAATGAGTCTTGTATTGCAGCTGACTCGTTTTCTAATATACGTTTCCTACTCTTTGTTCTTCTGCTTCTGCTTGACCAAGATCCATGTCGGTCTGTGGTAGAGACAACAATCAGGGCAAACGGTTATCGCCCGCCAAGGCACCGTTCTAGGTTGCCCCAATTCGAAATCTGTACATGACGTGAAAAAGCCTTATGGCTGAAGTCAAATCTGATCATGGACAGGACTCACGAGTATACCGACTGTGACCATGTCCAAGATCGATCACTTGGTCGGGTTCGCCTGATGCTGTTCTCAGTCAAGAGTGACCATGGTCGAGTCACGCCTGCATTCCGCTTTCGTTCACATGTCCAGACTATCCAGCCGTAGCCGTTATTCCCCTCCACCTTGCGTTGTTATCCACCGGGCGTGCATGCAGCGAACCAATACCGCCAGCTCCAGCTTCCATCAATACCGTTGCCATTGTCCAGCCATTCCATTTCCTATGCACTGAGACCTGTCTCGCTTTACTCCACCCGAACATTTGGTCTTATGAAGCTCATATCTTTCACCAAGACTTGAGCCAGGTGCTTATTGTGAGGTCCTTTTATCAAGAAGACGTTTTGATCAGATGCAGAATTCAAGGGCAGGGTTGGTCAATTCTCGCGGGGATACCACTTTTCTCAAAAGATCGTAAGATATGATACCTAGTGGTAGTCTATCCGCGTCGAAATTAATGGCCGTGCCCAAATACTTGTGTCAAAAGTGGAAGCAACATTCCACCTACTACAGCCAGCGTATCACTGAGCACAGGAGCTTCGTGCTTGTTCGATGCCGACTGATATCCGTCGTACACGTTCGGGTCGCTATAGCCATTAGGTGTAGCATTTCCCATTTCGTGGCCGTGTTTCGTATCTTGCATCGCATGCATCGCGACGTATCTGTTTGTTCTGTTAGACCGATGGCGAAGTGATTGTCCGGAAGTGATCTCAACTTACAAGAAGGTGCCCCCTGAAAATAACAATAGCAACCCAGTGAAGAAACGAGTGCCATGTTCGCTCTGACCAATTCCTCCTTCGAATATGTTGACGAGAGCCCACGTAAACAACGCACCGATTGGTGCGGCCAGACTGAAGACAATCAGGTGATTTCGTGCTCTTCTCTTGGAAAGTCCCTGTTTGAGCAATGCCGAAGTAAGGCCAAATGCGGCGGGAGCCTTGTGTATCATCAAAGCCACGAAGACGATGAAACCCAGCCTTCGCGAAGAAGCACTTGATGAGGCTCCGAGAGCGATGCCGTCTGCAGCAGCATGGATCACCAAACCTACGGTAGTTGAGGATGGGCGTGATTCGTGCATGGGGTCAGGTGGTGGTCCATCAGGGTCCTCTACTTCAGACGCCTGGTTTGTAGATCTCTGGAGGTTGAAGCGATCCAGCGCGATATGAAACCTCTGTGGTTGAGAAGAAGCTGCCGCGTGACGAGGCAGTTGATCGATCAGGTACATCAAGACGAAGCCCAAAACTAGAGAGACTCCAATCCAGGCATGAGGTTCCCAATCATCGTGGTCTTCCGATTTGTGCTCTTCTGTTTTGTGATCATGCTCTTGCGAAGAAGGTTGTCCGTCCCCTGGGCGTCCATCGTCCGGTCCAGTCAAATCCGTATCTCTGATGCGCAGGTCAAGAGTTGGAAAGTCACGACGTGACAAGTCGAAGGGCAATGTATCGAGCAGTCCATTCGGACTTCTGGTGTCTAGCGATAGTGATCTTGCTGCATGCGCATGGCTAACTTCGCGCGCACTGTATAGCGTTTCGATGCCTTCTGGGATGATAACGATGAGGGCGGTGCCTACTAGAACACCAGTGCCGATTGCTGTGGTCAGTCGAAGCTGACGCTGCGAGAGAGAGAAGGACAATGGTAAGGACCCGGCGAGAAAGGAACTGAGAACATTGTGTCAGCGGTTGGGAATACTTGTTCACAGAGGGATGGGATGCTGATTTACGCGATTGTCATGATAGTGCTCAAGACGAGCAACATGAAGAGTCCGGACCACATTTTGATGGATGAGGATATTGAACTTCAAGTATCAGCTTGCCCAAACCATTTCGCCTTGCTGCAGACGATTTCTCGAGCTGGTACAGAAGAGGATGTAACGGGAGAGCTGACGAGCATAAGCCAACTCGAGCTTGAGACAAGCAAGCCAGGGGCACCCTACCAGCATGCACGTTTCAGATCATCCACGGCAATTCGATCTTTCATCAGCGAATTTGATACAAATGTACGTGAACATGTAAATCTAACCGCAATACCTCGGCGCTGGATAACAGATTTGGTTGAGCCAAGCAAAAGATGGACGTGTGTGGTCAGGTGGCGCCTTCCCTCACCTTGATAGCTGATTGTTGCTTGGTAATGCTTACGGTGGAACACCAAGCACATCCTGTCTTCCACCTACAATCATCAAATCGACCTTTACACAACAATCATTCAAGATGAAATTATTTGTGTATGTTGCTGTCTGATTTTTGGCAGGTTCCATGACTGACGAACGTGTAATAGGACAGGGTCAACTGGCTACATTGGTGGTGATGCACTCCATGCAGTCGTCAAAGCCCATCCTGAATATGTATGCGAGCCGGAAGTACAAACACCACGACTAGTACCGGCGTTTGTTTTAGTCTGCACGAGCAGTCTCTGGAATGGGCCTTGTAGTGAACGCCGTTCGGGACGGCATCTTGCAGAGCTGAGTACATTCGTTCAGCTAAGTCGTGGTGTTCTCACAGATATCTTACTAACTGTACCTTCGCTTTGAGGAAATCACGGCCCTTGTTCGAAACACTGATAAAGGTGCACAAGTCGCAGCAGAATATCCCAAAGTGAAGCTGGTCTATGGCGACTTGGACTCCTCCGACCTTCTCGAAGAGGAATCAAAGAAGGCAGATGTTGTGTGCCGTATGTCAGCATTGATGTCCACACTTACCCAGTAGACTGACAAGTCGATTAGATTGGGCCGATGCCGACCATGAAGCCTCTGCCAAAGCCATCATAAAAGGTCTGTCAGCCAGACAGTCCGAAGGACCCGGCTTCCTGATTCATACTTCTGGAACTGGTATTCTCATGTACACAGACCTCGACCAGCAAATGTTCGGCGAAGATGCCACTAAGATTTACAATGACTGGGACGACGTTCAGGAAATGATAATCGGTATCCCAGACCATGCACCCCACAGGAATGTTGATAAAATAGTTCAGTCAGTACGAGATGGACACACCGTCAAGAGTGCCATCGTCTGCCCTCCATGCATCTATGGAGCTGGAAGAGGCCCGGGCAACCAGACCAGCGTCCAAGTACCTGCACTTGCTCGTTATACCCTACAGCAAGGTCACGGGATCCAGGTAGGCGCAGGCAAGACCTTCTGGACTCAGATTCACGTTCACGATCTCTCAGACCTATATCTGAAGCTTGTGGAAGCAGCTTCCGCTGGCGGCGGATCTGCTACCTGGAACGACGAGGGTTACTACTTCTGCGAAGCTGGTGATCTCGTGTGGGGAGATGTAGCACGTCAAGTGGCTCAGTCTGCTCACAAGCAAGGCTTCCTGAAAGACGATCAGGTCAAACAATACTCACCTGATGAGGTCAAGAAGATCGTGTCCTATGGACCTGCATTGTGGGGATGCAACTCTAGATGCCGAGCCATAAGAGCTGGAAAACTGCTGGGATGGAAAGCCTGCTCTCCCAGCCTGAAGGAGGAGATGGATGCCACAGTATTGGTCGAAGCAAAGAAACAGGGATTGGTTGTTGGCCATGCCAAGGTCGCTGCCGGAGAGGCATAAGTTTGGACAGAAGGTCGAGGTATGCTATTTGAATATTGCTAGCAAGACACAGATCTCGTGGCTACAATCAAGAAGGAGGACTGCTCTCTATTTCGTCTGTCTGTAATTCATTTTAATTATCGGCACTTTCAATCTTTGCTTCCTTTGCCCAATCTCCGTCTCCTGCTGCACTCTCCTGGCGAATAGCGTACAGCTCATCGATGAAAGCTGGAACAAAAGTGCCAGGGCCTTTAACAGAGTCCTTCTTCGCAGCTCTTTCGGCAGCAATTTCATACATCAGAATGCCGGTGACGGCTGCGAGCAACTTGTCCTCCCTCTCAATAGCCAAGAAGCTCGCAATTGTCGTACCCAATGTGCACCCACTCCCGGTGATTTCACCCAGGTATGAATGTCCGTTGCTGATCTTAAAAGTACGTTTGCCATCAGAAATGACATCTACCTCACCAGTCATCAAAACCACGTTACGCTCTTTGGCAGCGACAGACTTGACGAGTTTGACGCGGTCATCCAAGTTCAAGTTAGAAGCACCACTGTCAACGCCATGTTGTTTGAAGCCTGTAGCACCAGACACAGTGCGAATTTCACCTTCGTTGCCTTTGATGACATCGAAGTAACCACCACGCATGAGTGCTGCGACACCCTCACGGCGTTGTTGAGTGGCACCTGCACCAACAGGATCGAGTAAAACAGGTCCACCGACACTGTTGTAGGCAGCGATGGTATTCAAGTGGTGAGCACGCATCTCGGGGGTAGTGGTTCCCATATTGATAACAAGACTACCACCGAAAGACGCGAGATCACCAGCCTCCATGCTGTTGTTCGACATAATGGGACTTGCGCCAACAGCCAAAGCGACGTTCGCGGCAAAGTTCTGCACAACCAAGTTTGTCATGTTGTGGCAGAGCGGCTTCTTGTTGGCCAGACGCTTGACAAGCTCTGGGATCTTGCACACAATGTCCTCATGGGAGAGGGCTGGAGCAGAGATGGAAGTAGCGAAGGGAGGAGGAGTCGCAACAAGTTGGCGAAGATCAGATGCGGCCTTCTTGGGATCTTTGGCAGCCATGATGGCACTAACGACAGCGATGCCATCGAGACTCTTCTCCGCAGCTGCAGTCTGGTAGAGCACACGTTGGCAGTTCTTTGCATTGATACCACCAATGCAGACCGTCTTGATCTCGGGTGCGGATTGAGCCAGAGATGAGAGGATGTGCTGGACTCCAGAAGTGCCAATGATGGACTTTGTGTTTTCCTTGGTGGGAGTGGCGAAGACGGTTCCCACACCCAGATAGTCAGCTCCTCCTTTGGCAGCAGTCTCTGCTTCTTCCAGAGAGTTTGCGGTTACACCGATGATGGCGTCTTTTCCAAGGAGTCTGCGAGCAGATGCGAGGTCTGACGTGTACAGTCAGATTTACGAGTCAATTTAGAATAGCAACACACAGGTTCGAAGTCTTGTTCGAGCTTCGGACTTTCAATAAGACAGTAGGTGATGCGGCAGAGCAGGCTTACCAATGTCATCCTGACCGATATGAACTCCCTCGACACCAGCAGCTAAAGCTACATCTACTCTATCATTGATGAGAAGAGGGACGTTTGCAGGCTTGGTCACAGCATGCAGAGCTTTGGCAATGCGAATTTGTTCAGCAGTGTCGCTAGTCTTGTCACGCAACTGAACAATTGTGACACCTAAGAAAATGTCAGATCAAAAGATGTAGTGGTTGTGTTATGACAGGGTTCTCGGACCTCCTTCCACGGCAGCACGAACAACTTCAACAAGATCCTGGTCGCCAAGAATGGCAGGAGTGTTGTCAGTCACCAGATATACAGAGTAATCTACGTGCATATTGATTCACTGGGCGTTGTTCAACAGCTCAAAGGACAGGTTTATGGTTGGGAAGACGGACGGTAAGATCAACCGATCCCGGCGTCGAAGCAGGGCAAAATCTAGATAGTTGTATTGCACTATCCGATGGTCGCTGTCTTTGCAGAAGAGCTTTTTACCACGCAGTGACTCGTCCATTGAAAAATAGTGAACGGAATATCATGTGAGCTGCTGGAATTGCAAGTTGGCGATTGGAAAGATCACAGAAGTTGGTGTCTGCATAGCACAAAAAATGTGTCCATTGAAGCTTCGGTGAACATGAATTCAGATCACAATCAAGATTTAATGCGAGCCGCACAGTCACAAGGATTGCAGCATGTGCAGCATCGATACATACCAGGAACATGTTCCGCATGTGGTTTCAGAGTCCAACATGCTCAATGCTTTGATGCGCTGCTGCTTGTTGCTCGTGCTCGTGAACAAAGACTTGTGTGAAAGGTCATGGACAGACAACGGCGGCGATCACGCGTTGGAAGCTCGAGCCTGGAGCGCGGGGCGACAAATTCTTCCCGGCCGGCAGCCACGACCACTCAAGGCAGGAACTTCGACGCTTCCTTCTTCTCTTTCTTCTTCTCCCCTCCTTCCACACAACACGGAGACTTTTTGTGTTTGCCTGGCCTCAGATCCGCGCAGACCTTCCTGAGACAACAGACCAACACTCTGCATCTTCACGCTCGCCCGCACTCCGGATCCGAGTTCAAATCCACCAAAACCCGCGACATTCAGACCACGCAGGCAGTTTATGTATTCGTCCCGCCGCTTTCAACGACTCGCAGTTCCGGACCCTCCCAAGCTGCAGCCCTTTCGTATATTGCAAAGACCTTGTAGACACCAACTCACCAACGACTGAACAATTGCATGTTGCCGACTAATCTCGCCAACCAATCTACAATCTCCTACATCTCAAAATCTTCCTAACCCAATTCTTACCAACAACCACCAATAACCGCAACCATGGCTGGAGGTTCTATCAACATTCGTCGCGTACGTTCACAATCTTGACAACCCACTACTAGCATTCCGCTGACACTCTCTGCAGGACATCAGCGACCCCTTCTATCGCTACAAGATGGAGCGTCTTCAGTCCAAGATTGAAGGCAAGGGTAACGGTATCAAAACCGTCGTCGTCAACTTGAGCAATGTTGCTCAGCAGCTTGCCCGCCCTCCTACCTGTAAGTCACTGCCAACTCTGGTCAGGCAAATTGTAAACTAACCGCATCTAGACGTCATCAAGTACTTCGGTTTCGAACTCGGTGCCCAGACCACCAATGACCCCAAAGACGACCGCTGGATCATCAACGGAGCACACGAGGCTTCAAAGCTGCAAGATTATCTCGATGGCTTCATCAACAAGTTCGTCCTCTGCAGAAGCTGCAAGAACCCCGAGACTGTCATCAGCATCAAGGATCAGCGCATTCTCATGGATTGCAAGGCTTGCGGTACCATTACCGAAGCCGACCCTCGCCAGAAGCTGTCTTCATTCATCTTGAAGCAGCTCCCTGCCAAGGGCAAGAAAGACAAGTCCACTAAGAAGGCTGAGCGCAGAGCTAGAAAGGAGGCCGAGCGCAACGGTACTGCCACCAACGAGGATGGCAACGGCAGCCCCAACGGCAGCTCCGACCAGGATGAAGACGATGGTGATCTTGCTATGGATGCCGGCAGCGACGATGAGCTCACCCGCCGCATTAACGCTGAGGCACAGGAGCTTGATGAGCCTGAGGAGGAGAAGGAGGTTGAATGGACTGTCGACATGTCCGAAGAAGCCATCAAGGCTCGCGCCAGAGATTTGCCTGACGACCTCAAGCGTGCTCTTGTCATTGAGGGCGCTGAGGACGAGGACGGTGAGGGCAACTCCTATGATCAGTTCGGCAAGTGGGTTCTCGCTGAGGGCGAGGAGAAGGGTGGCGTCTCTAAGCTTGACGACGTCGAGATTTACCTCAAGGCCAAGGAGCTCGGCATTGAGACCAAGCACAAGACTGTCGCAGTTCTTGCCCAGACTATCTTCGATGAGAACATTGTCAAGCAGGTTGAGGCCCGCAGCAGCATGCTCAAGCGTATGATCTCTTCCGAAAAGCACGAAAAGTCCTTCATGGGTGGTTTCGAGCGCTTCGTTGGTATGGAAAAGCCTGAGCTCATCCCTCAAGTTTCTGCCATTCTGCTTCAATTCTACCAGAACGATCTCGTCTCTGAGGAGACTCTCAAGGCCTGGGGCTCCAAGGCCAGCAAGAAGTACGTTGACCTGGCCACTAGCAAGAAGGTCCGCAAGAGCGCCGAGAAGTTCATCGAATGGCTCGAGACCGCTGAGAGCGACGAGGATGATGAGGACGAGTCTTCTGACGAGGAGTAAGCCAATACAATCGAAAGATGCATCGTCAGAACTGTCACGGATCACAATCATCGGGTCATGTTTACCTACTATTGGTTAGGATAATTGCTTGCATTGCTGTATATTTTGCTTCAAGAAGTAGTTGCTAGTCTGTGCTGACGCACCTAATGAACGTGACCTCTTAATTCATTTTGCTCTCGTTCCGTGAATTTCGAAATTAATTTAAAGTATGGCATGGCGAGCCCGGTCAATGTTTTGGCGTAAGTCGTCCCTCCACGCTTCTCGAATTCACGAACTTCAGCGCGCAACTCTCTTTCAGCAACCACTATCCTCTCAACCAACAATGACATAACACATGCTCTTTCTTCAGTGACGTGCCGAACACTGAAACATCACAAAATTCTTCGCCATGGATAACAACATTCCACGCAACACACCTGCGCTGCTAGGTATGATTGGCTCACGGCAAACAAGCATCGCTCAAACACTCACAGCGAGCACAGCGCGTATCGATCAACTCCGCAACAGCTTATTTAACAGATTCGAAAAGCTACTTGAACAAGCGCAGGTAAGTGATGGATATTGGCATCTTGTGGCAATGCGGATATACTAGCGTCGACATAGGCTAACGAGTGCGCAAACTGCAGAACGAAAAGAATGATCGTAACAGCACGGCTTTGAGCCAATATCAAACACAGATTGAGACTGCTGCTCTGGTGAGTTATTCTCTCTTTAAACATTTTTCTCTTTGGCCAGTCTCTTTTCTGCTTGTTCCACCACCAGATATTCTATTCTGCTTGTTTACAGTCGCCATACTTTCTGCCTGCTTGAAAATCATTATATTTGCACAGACCTAATCTCGATTTGGTGAAGAGATGACATGCAGGACCAAACACAAACACAAAATCAGACTCTGACAGACTTTTAGATACGCACGAGTGAAGATATCCTGGCTCTCACGCGCCAGATGCAAGAGCTGTGGTTATTTGGACAGCTCAAAACGCTGGACAAGAACGATATCCAAGCACGTATCGATGGCGATGCTAAGGAGGTCGCTGAAATGCTTGCTATGCTTGTTGGCGGCAGTCAAGACGAGAATGCTATGAAGATCGAAGGTTGAGCAGGAGATCACCATGTCTCCCTCTGGCGATTGGCGAGAGGCTTTCGAGGACGAAGAGAGAACGCAGACAAGCATGAATGCCATCTGCTACCAGGGAGGTAGGCATGGCCTCTACCAAATTGAAAACGAATACAACAGTAGCCTTTTGCGATATTATGCCCCGCAGTACAGTCGCTGGAGATCGTCTCATCTCTGCATGAAATTGTTTCACTTCTCACGCTGTCAAGGATGACCCTGCTCGTGCTCTTAGTCTCAATCATGAAGACCATCTAGAAGGGGTTGACTCACCCTAGCACTGACGCTATAAGACCACGGAACACACCGGAAAGACATTAGAAGATACCGCGGTCCAAACTCGGAATCTTCCATGGGTCACAACAAGAAAGCTTTCTGTCATGCCGAGTCACAACTCGGCCGTTCATGTGTTTTTTGTTCTCGGGCCAGAGGGACAAGCCTCGGTCCCCAAGCGAAACCAAACTTCCCCAGATCGGCCTTTTGCGGAGAAGCACAAGGAACGCGCACATGTCAGTTCCGCGACGTCATTTTCGAGATTGTTTGTTCCATTGCAATGAATCTCTTGTTGGCAATTGAGCGAGTCTGAAGGTCGAGCAGACAGAAGCAAAAGTAACACGAGATCGATGTTCATGCATATCATAGTTTTCTGGAAAATATTTGGAATTTTCGGTGCGTGGACCAGAGTTCTGGATCATGGCAGTTTTGGAAGCCTGTTTAGCTGGCAAAGCAATACCGAGGTGATCCATTCGTCCATACGCCAACCCTTTCCTTCTGGACCTCCCGAAGAGGTAACCGACGAAAAAAGGTCTGATGACTCAAATGAAACGGAGCTCATGATGAGGTAAATAATAAGAAGTAGGGTCTCCCTTCATTTCCCCCTTTGACCCCTTGTGTTTTTTGTTTCCCTACACTGTTTCTCCAGTTACTTGGGTAGCCCACTACAAGCCCGCATAGCCTTTTCCGAACGCATTGCCTCGTTAGCAAATCGATAAACTAGCTCCTCGGAACACGAATACTTTGCTCAAGGACGAGCACGAATTGAGCGAAACAGCATCACTAGATCTCGTTCAGAAGACCAAAGCTACCACGCAACTGCCTCTTTGAAGCCCCAGAGCTAGGAAGAAAACAACAACGACAGCAATGTCAGCAAAGACGACAAAAGGTCCCGGCGGCAAGAAGCCAGCCTCTGCAGCAACCAACTTGATCGCTGGTGGAGGAGCAGGCATGATGGAAGCTCTCGTCTGTCACCCTCTCGACACAATCAAAGTGCGCATGCAACTTTCAAAACGATCGCAGCGTGGTGTAAGTTTTTGAACCCAATCCTAATACACTTCGTTGAGCATGTCGATCTGACACAATACCTCAAAGGGCGCTCGTCGTGGCTTCATCCAAACCGGAGTTCAGATCGTAAAGCGCGAAACACCTCTTGCCCTCTACAAGGGTCTCGGAGCTGTTCTCACTGGTATCGTTCCTAAGATGGCCATCCGTTTTACCTCGTACGAATGGTACAAGCAAGCCCTCGCCTCGGAATCTGGCGAGATCACCTCCAGAGCTACCTTTTTGGCAGGTCTGTTGGCAGGAGTGACAGAAGCCGTTGCCGTCGTCACACCAATGGAAGTTGTCAAGATCAGATTGCAAGCTCAGCACCACAGCATGGCTGACCCCTTGGACGTGCCCAAATACCGCAACGCTGCTCACGCATTGTACACCGTTGTCAAGGAGGAGGGAGTGGGTGCATTGTACAGAGGAGTCTCGCTCACGGCATTGAGACAAGGAACAAACCAAGCTGCCAACTTTACCGCTTACACCGAGCTCAAGGCTTGGTTGCAAGAGCGATCTGGAAACCCATCGGCTGCATTGCCTGGCTGGCAGACTGCCTTCATCGGTTTGATCTCTGGTGCTGTGGGTCCCTTCAGTAATGCGCCCATCGATACCATCAAGACCAGACTGCAAAGAAACCCTGCGCAACCTGGTGAGACGGCCATTGGAAGAATCGTGACTATCGCTAGTCAGATGTGGAAGCAGGAAGGTATCAGGGCTTTCTGGATGGGTATCACACCTCGCGTTATGCGTGTTGCTCCCGGTCAAGCCGTCACATTCGCCGTATACGAGTACTTGAAGGGTATCTTGGAAAAAAGCAGGGAAATGTTACCAGGTAATACTTATGAAGAGTAGAGTTCGTGTTGATACCACTGCAACATTATCATTGTTCACACCTTTTTAAGTTCTGTCTCCAAAGTGATCAGAGATGTCAGGCGATATGATTCGGATGCGCCTTGTCGGTCGCATGCGATAGAGATAGATGTATATGCAATTGTCTACCTTCTTCCTGGTCGCTTGGGTCTAGCGAAACCCTTGCTCTCCACCTTTTGCTCCTGGAACTCAGAGGCCAGAGTACTCGCTGACCACTCGTCTGGTGAACTAGCTTCGAGTCTCTTTGTGATGTTCAGACCAACATTCGATGCCAGAGTAACCAGCTGCGAACGTGACGAAGCGTAGACCATGCGTTCCTTAATCTTGCTCTTGCTAGGACAGCTGTACATGAAAACGACACCTTGTTGACCAGGGTAGTTGTAGAAGGAGTAGCGGGGTTCGGACGAGCTGATTTCAGAGCTGAGGTCGGCAGGCTGGATGTCCTGTTTCGAAGCATCGAGGTGCAGCGTCTCGGTAGGCACGTCGATTTTCTGTCAAATGTTAACTTCTTCTTGACGCAGAGCGCGTCGTAGTAAAGACTCACGATCATAACCAGAGATCCCTCACGAGAATCCTTGAGACTCTCGAGAGCATTGCTGACCTCGTCGCCCAGGTTAAGAGCAATACCTGCACTGGGCAAGCTCTTGCCACCAGTACCTCCACTCTCCATTGCCTCAGCTTCTTTGATGTGCTTCAAACCAGCCTCTTCCTCGGTCAAAGGAGCATCCAGACGGTTGTGCTTCTCATGACGGTCCCAGCCCTCCGGAGTAAGCTCCTCAGCGGTGGTGCAGAAGACGGTCTCGCGGAACCGCTCAACTCCCAATTCACGGACCAGTGTCAAACGTGTCGAGGCAAACAACATCTTCTGGCGTACATTGGCAGCATCGGGGACGTATGTTACGGCGACGTAGCCGTCGGCAGCCGAGCCATCTTGCTTGAGCAGAATGTATCTTGCTTCATCTTTGCTGAGGTGTTGCGACAGACCGGACAGATCGCTGCGGAAGTCTGCATTGGCCTGCAGAGTCTCGACGGGTACGAGGGTTTCGTTCTTTATGGTTGCCAGGAGCCCTCGCTGTGACGATGAGGACACGAGGTTGTTGAATGCATCTTGCAATTCTTTCGACGCTGTAGATTGACTGATCAGCCTGACAGCTGGTTCATTGAGATAACCAGACACGTACCTGATATTCCTGACTGCATTGTGTTTGGTGTGTGAGTTGTCTTGGAGAGATGGCGGTCGACTGACTGCCCCTCGAAGCTCAGGCACAAGTCCAAAGCAATGACGCGTTTCGACCAAACTTCGAATCAACACTCGCAAAGCACCACTTTGTTCACCTTCTGTTCTGTGCAGCACTGTCAAGTATAGAAATATTGTGCATTAATTTTGTTGCTATTCTCATAAGTCATCATTACACCAGCCCATGCCTAGTATTGAGTCATATCTTGCTCCAGCCCAATTGCTGAGCCTTCAATGAAGCTCAGTTTCTCCTTCTTGAATCGCCCTCATTGCCATCGGCCTGATGCCCATTAGCCTGTCCACTCTCTTCGTCTCGAGATCCTGGTGGAGGTATCGTGTAGCTTCCGTTCCATGAGTCCTTCCTTCCGCCTCTGCTCTTTTCGTCTTGCTCCTGCTCTTCCTCACCCAGCCAGTCTTCAAGTCCTGGAGCTGAGAACAAGCTGCCCAACCAGAACCCTCTGTAAACTGTCTCCAGAGCACAGAAGAGCCACAGAATTACTGCTATCATGACCATTGTCGCTGCCCAACCTCTCATGCCATTATCGCGTAGGTCGCGAGAGAGGAAGCACCATGCATTTGCATAGGATGCCATACTAAGGTTTACAGAGTCAGCGTGTGTTCTCGAGGTTGTGTTACCGTGTGCGTGAAGTTGGACTTACGGGAATACTGAGCTCCAATAGGCAATATTGAATTGCAGTTTTGGCAATGCCGTCAGAATGCTTGTTGTGCCCTGGACCATCCAGAACGTGGCTTGAGCCAAGAGGAACAGATCCATGATGATGCCCATCCAATGGATCACCTCAGAAGTTGCCACGAGTGTGGCGTGTGAAAGTGGTGGTGGATTGACCTGGGTTGGTGCGTAACCACTCTTGATGTACGTGGCCAGGAAGATGCTGAATCTATGAATAGCGTAGGCTCCTTGACTCAAGGCTGCTACAGGTAGGAAAGATCCAACCATAAGAGGTGCTGCCGGTGTCTTGTCCGCGATCAATCGGAAGAAATAGACCGTGATGATCATCATGCCTTCCGCAATAGCAAACGACCAGGCCAGGAAGCCAGTGACGAGCAAGGCGATAGCACATTTTGTGCTTTCCATGTAGACGTAGGGCAGAATCGAACTCGCGGTTGTCGCTGTGACAAACAAAGGCACAGTGGTCATAACCCAGACTCCTGCCACGTCAGACAGCTTCTGAGGCTTCACATGGCTCATTTGGTAGATAACGAGACCAAAGGATATCATCAAAGACATGACAAGAGCGATCCAGTAAAGGACGAATGTCGCCCATCGAGCAGAAGTCCGGTAATCATAGTACGATATGATTCCTTGAATAATGGTGTTGAAAGAGATTGGAATCGCACCCAGGAACGAACTTGTTGGAAACTCCTTCATATTCTTTTTTAGGAGCACAGGATGCTTGATGTAACGCCAGATGAGCATACCAGTAAAAAAGCCAAACAGGACGATCTCGAGAATCCATAGACAGTAGCCAATGTCGCGAAGCCACCGATCTGCTCCAGTAATAGGATATGGGAAATTAACCAAGCATTGTTGCAGAGTGCCAGTGCCTGGTTATACAGTTAGAAACTGACGCGTTAATGTGGTTCTACTATGCATACTCATGACAATGGTGAACCATGATGGCTCGAAATTGGCAATCCTCTCCCTCCAATGCCATCCTTTAAAGTTGTCTTTGACCGGCATGTTGTGATAGTAGGGTCAGATTAGGTGATGATGTTGACAGTATTAGAAGGTGGAGTCAGGTCGCACCAAGAGCATTTAGAAATCAGGCAGTCCCCTAGCTGTACAAACATTTTGTTTTAGGGACTCGTGATGGCATTTTGATCGCATTGACGTAGTCAAAGCAATGATGCTGTGGACTCAGTGCGGCCTGCCGCCCGCGGCTTGAACGGCTGCACCCCAGAAGATCCACAGATTCCACCAGCCACAGATCTCATTTAACGGCTGATTGTCGACCAAGCATCTCGACAATCATGCTCTGCATCGTGTCACAATCTTATCGATTGGTTGGCTACATTGGTGTTCTAAGCTGAGGCTCAAATAGATTGTTGTAGGTTATCCTTCCTATCAGTACTATACTCAAAAGTGGAACGCTGTGTTGAGTGTTCCTTCCAGTTTGGCACACCAGGATCGATGACGCATGACTTGAAAGGGTCTACATGTCTGAATGCATTAAATATGCCCGATCACTGCAACACACCGGAACGATAGCGTGAACTTGTTTTTATTTCTCCGTGGTGCATTCCAACTTCGGACCTTCTATCGTCTTGGCCTGAAGAACAACATGTCAGAGCAGAATATGGTCGTTATTGTCACTGGTGCAGTGGGTATTTCTGAGTTTGATGAACATCATTGGTTTTCTGACAGAAACCAAAACAGAATCGAGGCATTGGTCTTGCCATTTGCGAGCTCATTCTCAAGACCAACCAGAATGTCAAGCTGTATGCAGCATCGCGAGCCGGAGCTGACCTTGGTCTCAAGAGCGCTGGTTCAGGATCCGTCAAATATCCCAAGCTGGACGTAACCAAAGACCAGGATATAAAGCAGCTAGCTGAAGACATCAAACGTGAAGACGGCACAATTACCGTTCTTGTAAACAATGCAGGAGTCAACACTTACCCGGAACACACTCCTGAGAGCGTGCAACAAATGCTGGATGTAAACTACCGTGGAACATACAAGATGTGCAAGGCCTTCATTCCTTTGCTTTCGCAGTCGGGTCGCATCGTCAACATGTCGTCCGTGGCTTCACAATTGAAGATCTACAGCCAGCACAACGCAGCTCGCTTCAGAAACACGGATTCATACGAAGATGTTGAGAAGATTGCCGGAGATTACATGGTTAGCTGCAATCTGCCCCGACATAGTGCTTTTGTTCAAGTTCGCTGACTATAGTCCAGAAAGCTGTAAAGGAGAAGAATGAGTTGGCATCAGGTTTCGGCGACAAGGGTCAAGGCTATAGTGTTAGCAAGGCATGCGTCAATGCAATCACCGCCATACTTGCGCGAGAGAACCCTGGTCTCACTATCAACGCATGCTGTCCAGGTTGGGTAGCCACTGACATGGGAGGCATCATGGGCAAACCACCAAAAGAGCCTAGTGAGAATTTCTTTGATCAAGCTTTGTTGGGTTGTGATGTGCTGACCAAATTCTAGTTGACGGCGCTAAGATTCCTGTCAAGCTGGGTTTTGGTGATATCTCTGGAACAACCGGTCGCTATTGGGCCAACCCTGGGATCTCGGATAAGGGAGATGGTCAAGTCATGGCGTGGTGATTCTTGAAACGACGTAACGTAATTATGAAAATCGTATATAAATTGTCCACAAAATATGGCCACACCTTGTTCGCTTGATGATACAATTCGATACCCGGGATGAGGGAGTCCTAGGGCATGACCTTGACGTCGGTTCTCAATCCAGCCTTCTGCAGACGCTCCAGGAAGGGTGCGCCAAGAGCCGCCGGAGTCAATGAGCCACCGCCCATACCAACAGCAGGAGTCTCATCTCTGAGAATTGTGATTGCTGCTTCTGCCAAAAACACGCCGGTCAGGTAATACAAACTGCCGTCCCAAGCCATGCGTCCGGTAATACGCTTGGGGTCGTTAGGATCGGCAGAATCGACAGTCGCAATGGCGCGGTATTCAATTCTGTCGCGGCGTGAAGATTCTCTTGAGGGTCCCTCGCCAGGTTGGAACACGAAGCGCTTCAACAATGAGCGGATAGGTGACAAGACCAAGGCAATCATGCCGAAGGCGATTGCGAAGTGGACCAGGATACCAGTAAACATGTTGCGAACGTGCATGTAAGGGCTGAAGCGGAACTTGGGACCGTACAAGTTACCGTTCTCGAATAGACCCCAACTTCTGTGGACGATAGTAGTGTCGGTAGCACCCTGGATACTAGTGGACAGTGTCCCAAGGTCGCGAACTTGACGGACACCAAAGAGTCTCTGGAATAGCGTGGGGCCTTCCAGGCTGCTACGAGGAGGAGTTGTTGGGCAGAGAGACCAGGGTTTCATGGCCTCTGTAGTCTCAGAGATACTGTACTTGTCAAATAGCATCATGACAGTCGCTAGAGTTCCGCCACTAGGTTGGCCCTTGAGATCAGCGACCGAGAAAACCAGTTCCGAGATACCAGCGGAGAGAGTACGTCTGGCATGTTGCACCATCGACCAGGAGAGCAAATCTGCTGGAGCCGACTCGACACCAATTTGGTGGATGATAATGGCTTTGTTGGCCTTAGCAGTACTGTGATACTTCTTGATCATCTCGCGAACCCATGGGGTTTCACCAGTGCTACCATAATGTGAGCGGATATGATGGACAACCAATGCAGACCAACTTACACGTCAAGGTAATGAGTACCATTCTGAGCGCAAGCTTCGACAACTGGCTCAGCATACAGCATATAAGGACCAACAGTATTGATTAAAACAGTGGTCTTCTTTGCCAGTTCGTTGACGCTCTGCTTGTCGAGTCCTGAAGTTACGATCTCTGCGTGGTGTCAGCTGCTGTCTTCACCATAGTCTCCGAAGAGTGCTAGTAACCTGGAGCAAGACGGTCGGGATTGAGAGACTTGAGCTCTTGGACGAGGCTCTGGAGCTTGCTCTCAGAGCGACCAGCAACGGCCCATTTGAGATCGGTGGGAAGCTGCGAGACAATGTGCTCGCAGGTGTACTTTCCGGTGAAACCGGTTGCACCGAAGACGATGAGTTCGTAAGGACGAGAGGACATGGTTGGTAAAGGCACACGCGAAGACTGTGAGCAAGGGGAGAAATGTTTCTTGTAGACAATTGATCTATCTAAAGGTGATTAGGCGAAAACCGTCCCCGAGCGTCGTCTTCAGGGTGCGGGACTTGGTGCTGCGTAGACACCCTCGCTTGACAGTACTCGACAACAGAGAGATCAATACATCTGATAGAAAATTGAGATTCCAAGTCATGGAGAGAAAATTGAGGAGACTGTCATTATTCAAAACAAATTCCATCATGTTCCCTTGGAGTGAGGTGTTGGTCGAAAAGGACCACTTTTTGCTGATGCGCGTGCCAAGCGGAAGATCTTCGGCAACGACGCACACCCGCTCAAAATTGGATGAGTCCGAAGCGCACTTTTGAAGTCAGGACTTACCTCTTGTCAACACCCGAGTCTTCAAACCAACCGCCAAAATGACCAAGAGAACCAAGAAGGTCGGCATCACCGGAAAGTACGGTACCCGCTATGGTGCTTCCCTCAGAAAGCAGGTGCGTCTCGACCAGGATCCATGAATGCGACAGTCGAGAGCAAAAGGTTTAACCCCTCCCACAGGTCAAGAAGATGGAAGTGACCCAGCACGCCCGCTACACCTGCACTTTCTGCGGCAAGGTCACTGTCAAGAGACACTCCGTCGGCATCTGGGACTGCAAGTCTTGCAAGAAGACTGTTGCTGGTGGCGCTTACACCGTCTCGTACGTTTTTCCCCTCTCGACCTCTAGGACGACGCATCCTTCGCCTGCATCCGGACACCCCGACTAACACAAGGCCCTCACAGCACCCCTGCCGCCGCCGCTACCCGCTCGACCATCCGTCGTCTGCGCGAGATTGCTGAGGTTTAAACAACGACCATCAAGTTATTACAGCAATCCATCTTCGGTTTTTCTCGTTTCGAGGTTCTTTTTCCATTGGGCAATCGCGGCGTAAAAAATCAGCAAGGACTTTTGACGAAGGGATGATGTAGCTAAGAAGGAAATACCCATCCACGCTGGCTTCTCGATATGCTGGGATCCTGGGGACGATCAAATGAAACTCAGTCATCCTGCCCAAAGACTCTGTCACGCTCCAAGTCCATCTGAAATCATCGACCAGCCTCTGAAACCTGTCGATTGCAATGAATCAACGAAACTCGTCACCTGACTGAGATGTACCATTCGAATATTGCGACTCTGCGCGCAGTCTGTTTTGTTTTTTTGCTATTGCGAGGCAAGCCCAGGCTGTGACTGCACGATCATGCCAAGTGATTCTTTGTCTCCCCACTGCAGTACACGTGAAAGCAATAGGTTAATAATCAGCTTCTAGATTCAGGAACCATGTAAGCTAATCTCTTGGGTCTGGAGGCGATTTGGGTTGATTTTGGAAGCGAATCAAGCAGACGCCCAGTCATCCGTCACACGTGAATCGAAGGCAACGCGCTCTCACTCCGCAGTTCGCATACCTTAGTATATAAACCTCACCCCTTCCTCTTCCCTTTCCTGCACTCACTTTTACATGCCCTCTCAACTCGGCGCGACTCTGCTTCCGGCGCCTTGATAATGACAGACGTGTGCATCGTCTGCCTGGGCGACCTGCGCCTTCGCCCCGAGGACCCCGATGCCGACACAGACACCAAACCCATCAAGACCGAGATCGAGATTCCTGCGCCGCTTCCTGTGCTCTCCTCTGAACAAAGGTACTAGATCCTGTCCACACCGAACGTTTTGATCCCCCGGAGCCTCTTCGTCGGTCTCGTCGATTCCTTGATCGCTTTGATCGGCTTGATAACACTTGCATGTGCCGCCGCTTAAGCCTGGATGGTGACGTCTCCCCCGCCTTCGAAGATCTCCTGGGGGGATTCATCTTCGTTTCGGCACAGAACCCATGCTGACTGTTAATACAGTAAGCATGCCATAGATGAGGAAGTTATCGCCCATCTTCTTCCCTGCAGACATAACCTGCATGATTCATGCTTGCGTCCTTGGGTCGAACGAGCCAACAGTTGCCCCATATGTCGCGCAAGCTTCAACCTGGTCGAACTTCGCAACTTCCTCGATGGTCCCGCTCATGCTTCGTACATTGTCGAGGAGAAACAACAACAAGCTGAAGTCGACCCCACCTTGATCATTGACGATGCCTTGTTCGACGAAGAAGCCCCATGCCTCGTTTGTGGTAATATCGACAGCTCGCATGCAACCATGTATTGCGACGGATGCGATGGCACCGTCCACATCTTCTGCGCTGGCTATAGTGACGCCACCGCTCCAGACGTCTGGTACTGCGAGGCTTGTCATCGCGAGCTAGGCACCAACACTGCTGGCCGTAGAGCCACCACACGGGCCCGTAATCCAAGGCCGAGAAGAGCAGGAGGTAGACGGCCTGGTACAGAAGCATGGGATAGGGTATGGGCAAGTGTCTGGCGTCGCTTGAACCTGGACCTTGACTTTCCCCATGAAGATGAAGATCTTACAACCATTCATCGTACTCCAGCTCAACGACGAGAGCTTGCAGCCTGGACTCGTAGACTCCAAGTCGCGAATCGTCAAGGTGCAGCAAACCGCTTTAGGGATACCGCTTCTACCCTGCTGGATCGGAGAAACCTTGCTGCTGCTCACTCGCCAGAATCACAAGAAGAGCTCCGCGCATGGAATGCACTTGACAAGGCCCGCGCACTTGACCCAGAAGCACAGCGACCACCCAGCAGAAAACGCAAATCCGCGACTGCCTCTCCTGCCTCTCCTCGAGACAATGCAGCAGATCGCGAACAAGCTGAGCCACCACGCAAACTCAAACGTCCCAGGACCAGAAGAAACATGACGCTCCCGACACTTGCAGAACCAGGACCATCAACGGTCGAGGTCCCTGTACGCCAGATACAGAGACCCACCGAAGGACCAAGCTTCCTCACTCAACTCCTTCAAGAAGTAGAGAAACAGCCTGCACCTGAAGAAGCTGGCTCACCAGATGCTGAAGCCAATTCTGGTGACGAGCAGCCCGGACCATCCAACCTAGCATCTCCTGGCGCATCTCCCATTCACTCGGGCCAGGTCTCTCCTCGCGCATTGTCCGTCACACCTCCACCGCAGTTCGCACGTCCGAGACCGACCTCACCTATGCCTCTCACGTCTATTGTTCGGCCTCTTGCTTCGCCTACTTTTTCTCCCAACACCAATGGCAAGGACGAGCGGGGCAGGTCACGCCGACATACCCAGCAACAGGTCAGCAGCCCGCCGAGAGATATCTCGCCTGGCTCCCCATCGCGCAATATGTCCTATTCAACCAAAACTGAGATTCAGCGCATGGTCAAAGCCGTCCTCGGTCCTCGTTATCGTGGAGGTGAAATAAACAAGGATCAGTACACCGACATCAACCGAGATGTGTCTCGCATGCTCTACGATAAGGTCGGTGATGCTGAAGGTTTGGCCAACCAAGATGGTCGCGAAAAGTGGCAGGAAGTGGCTTCAGCTGAAGTCGAACGAGCAGTGCAGACCATCCTCTCACAGGAGCAGAACTCAGAAACGTTTTCACAGGAGGTTTAGTTTGATAGATGGCATTCATGACAGACATGACGCATAACAGGCATTTTCTTGACTTTGGCGCAACGGACTTTTTCTATCAAGCATTATTGGGCTTGGTAAGGCTTCATGGCGTCAGTGCAGGACATGGACAAGCGTGTAGATACCCCAACCTCGAATTTCACAACTTTCATATAACTAGATCTTCTTTGTCATCTGTCTCAGTCTAGGCTTGTATTGGATCGCACTCGTAAATTTGGTTCATTGTCTCATCGACGTCATCGAAATGTTGGCGCGTACACGTCGCGTCCTCCTGAACAATCATCCTCTCTACTTAATACCACACCACATTACGAACACCAGAATGTCGAAACGAACACTAGATACCTTCTTCAGCCCATCTCAGAAGAAGACAAAACTCTCGGTTACTGAGTCAAAAGATGCGCCGTCAAATCACTCGACATATCCATTCGCCGTACCACAATTGCCACCAGAAATCACAGACCTCTTAAATTTCGCGCCGGAAGCAGAAGGCAAAGCAATCGACGACCAACCAGACCTGGATCTCTTGTACTTCCAACCATACGTGCCGAGCTCGATATCAACATCTTTGTTTGAGTTTTTACGCAGAGAATTGTTCTTCTACCGTGTCAAGTACAAGATCAAGCGAGGACCTATCGAAACGGACATCAACACTCCACGATTCACGACCGTGTTTGGTGTTGATGAAACTTCCTCATTCTTACCTGATGGATCGCTCATTGACGCAACTACGAAGAAGCCAATTCCTAAAGACCGCTACAAGACATGTAAACCACGGCCTATCCCCGCATGCCTGGATCTGCTGCGCCAACTCACAGAAGCAGCAACAGACCAACGCTACAACTTCTGCTTGGTGAACTACTACGCAACTGGCGACGACAGTATATCCTACCACAGCGACGACGAAAGATTTCTCGGCGTAGATCCCGCAATTGCATCATTCAGCTTAGGAGCCAAAAGAGATTTTCTAATGAAGCATAAACCTACTCCGCCTTCTGACGATAAAAGTGCGGCAGCAATTGCATCAGAGACGAAACCTCTGAAACTGCCTCTTGGAAGTGGAGATATGGTGTTGATGAGAGGTACGACGCAGAGTAAATGGCTGCATAGCATTCCCAAGCGGAAAGGAGGAGAAAGCGGGAATGGCAGAATCAACATCACATTTAGAAGGGCGATGGTGGTGGGAGGTACGGAGAACTACTATCGGTATAATGTTGGCGATGGAGATGTTATGAAATGGGATGAGAAGACTAAGAAGATGGTTGTATGGGGTGAGAAGAAGGGAGATGGCGAGGCTGTCAAACGGGAAGTCGAGGCTGAAGATGTAGACAAGGGATATGCTGGCTTGTAGAGAGCTTGGAAGTCAAGCAAGACATTCTCAGTCTTCGTTGTTACAAGGTCAAGAGTCTTTCTCGAATCTGCGAAGCATGCACAAAATTTTGAAGCCCAAAGCCAACTTGACATAACCGGACTTGTCATTACGGGGGCCTGGGGGCAATGAAACACCAAAAAAACCAATAGCAGCTCCTTCTCAAAAGAGATGTCAGCGGGACGCTTACCACAGAGTCATCATACGAAGGACAAAAACGAATGTCGCAGCCGTGAATCGAACACGGGGCTCGTGCATGGCAAGCACGAATTTTACCACTAAACCACTGCGACAGATGATTGGTTAATGAGAAGTGCTTCACGGAATCCATATATATATTATGACAAAAATCCTCAGCCCTCAAGCCTGAAACTGATCTGCATGTGCTTCTCGAGCTTCGATGAACAAGTCGTCCTCGTTCACTACTCACACGACCCATAAATATTTACATACAGCTCACTTTGAACGATAGCTTCGGACGAAAATCAGCTTGTTGCACGTGCACATCTGATATAATAAAGAGAGAGAGCAGTCGGATACCCGCCCAAGAGGCATCTTTGTCTCCTCGACTGTCAGGCCACAGACAGACACCAACCATGGATCTCGCCAAAAACCTACTGCGCATAACAGCACGAGCATTCTACTCAGTCGAAGACGTCCTCATTGTCGACGCCCTCGGCATCCACAGCACCCTCACAGACACCGACCTTGCACACTGTCTAGGCACAAACAAAAAAGAGCTACGGAAGCAATGCGGCAAGCTCAAAGACGCCGGCCTGATATCTGTACAAACGCGCGCAGAGAAGAAGGAAGATGCGCCTCCACCATCCACAAATCCGAATTTCAAGAATCGAGAGCATGTTAAGCATGTGGATTGGTACTGGCTACACTTTCACCCTGCCATCGATGCTATCAAGTATCGTTTGTCGCGGCTGTCCAAACATATCGATAGTATGGGAGCACCGACGACGGAGAAGAAGGATCTTGAGTGTCCGAGATGCAAGAGTCAGTACACCGATTTGGAAGTCATGGACAATATCGACCCTCTGAGTGGCAGCTTCCTCTGCCATATGTGCGAACACCCTCTCGACCCTGTAGCCGAAGACTTTCAAGAGAACGAAAGCAAAATGCGTCTCAATACCCAAGTCGCGGCTATCGAAGCCCTGCTGCGCGAAATCGATCAGGCAAACGTACCGGAAAACGACTTTGACACGGCTTTGTCGCTACATCTACCCATCAACAGAGGCGATGCCCATCCAGACCGTCCAACGAGAATCGCCGAGGAAGTCAAGCCCAGCATTGCAGGATCAAAAGGTCTGGCCCTGGCTCCAGAAACAGTCAAGGTGCAATTGGAAGACGACATTACTACAAAACCAGATCCAGAGGCTGCAAGAATCAAGCGCGAGAAGGAGGCCAAGCAGAACGCTCTGCCCGAGTGGCTTACCAGATCTACGGTGTCTGGCGATATGACGACGGCAGGCGCAAAGGAGCTGAGGGAACAAAGAGAAAGAGAAGCACATGCTGGAGGTCTTTCCGTCGACGACGCAGCAGACGACAAGAAGTTGGGAGGCACACCCGGAAGAGACGATGCCGTCATGGATGATTACTGGGCCGCATACCGAGCAGAGCAGGAAAGAGCGAGGTTACAAGAAGAAGAGGAAGAAGAGGAAGACGACGAGGACGAGGACGAATTCGAAGACGTGCCCCCAGGCGCCAGCGTACCGGACATCAAGGTCGAGGAGGCTGAAGGTCCGAATGCCAAACGTGTCAAGACTGAGCAAGACACTGATGATGTGCCTTTGGCCAACGTCGCGCCTGCCGTTGATAACAACGCGGAGTCTGATGAAGATGACATGGAATTTGAGGATGTTTAGAAGATGCTCAAAGTATACTACGATACCCATAGACCATGAGATAAAAACAAAATCATGCATATCCTTAAGACAACTCGCTATGCTTTTGCTCATGATACGTACACATGTTCTTTAGTGCGTGACCAAATCTAACCCAAGAATCTCTTCAACTCGCCACCAACGCCTTCAAGGTCAAGCAGGAAGGTGTCATGGCCGAACAAGCTTCGGTCCTCGCCAAGCTCAACATGGGTGACCTTTCTGTTTCCCACCTTCCTCAATGCAGCAGCAATCTCCCTCTGTTGCCAAGCAGGGAACAAGATATCAGAAGCCACACCCATCACCAAAGCAGGGATATCTCTCAATCCCTGCATGCCCTTGACCAGATCGGCTGGAGGCTCGTTGTCTTGAGCAGTAGCCTTGACATCAGTCTTCTCATTCATAATATCCGCAGTCGACTCTTGCTCCTCATAAGGTGTATCTGGCAACGTCAAGTTACACAAGTCTGCCGATCCACTCTCTGGCTTCGGTGTGGGTTTGTCGGCGCCAAACTGGTCGAGCTTGTGAGCATTGGATGCTCTTACGCCTTCCAACATATCCATGTGTTCCTTGCCCAAGTCAAACAGATCCATGGCTTTGCTCACGTACAGCAAGCTGTTTGCATCGTACTCTAAACACCACTTCTCACCTGCATGGTCGAGATATGTCTCGATCAGAAAGTCGGGGCAGAGGGCAGGAGGTTTCGAGGGATCGGCGCGACGGCGGCCAAAGCGGAGTTCCCATTCAGGGCCACTGCGGTAGGTTACGGTTGCAATTTCACGGGCTAGTTTCATGCCGGCGTGGGGTGGGATGGCCGAGTAGTAGTTGCCGCGTGTCGAAGACCAGGCAGGGTCGTTCATGAGAACTAATGCAGTGTCAGCAGTTGTAGAAACAATGACGTGAGGATGAAAACGAACCTTGACGCTGAGTATGGCGCATGGCAACGCTGTAAGGGTGACTTCTAGCACAGCCCGAGATACTCACGAGCTTGCCTACACGCTCGGGGTGTAGGACGGACGCGGCAAGACTCTGCATGCCGCCCATACTAGAGCCGACGGAAGCATACAACTTCTCAATGCCCATCCAGTCCAGAAGACGGAACTGTGCGCGTACCATGTCCTGCATGGTAAGGATGGGGAATCGTGTAGCGTAAGGCTGGTCGTTGGCCAAAGGGTCCTTGGAACTTGGACCGGTACTGCCGTAGCATCCTCCCAACACGTTTGTGCAGATGACAAAGTACTTGTCGGTATCGATGGGTGCACCAGGGCCGATAAATTTCTCCCACCAGCCAGGCTTGGAGTTTGCGGGTGTGCTCTTTGCATGACTGCTAGCACTCAGACCAGTGTGTAGCAGGATAGCATTGCTCTTGTCCGAATTGAGGGTACCCCAAGTCTCGTATGCGATATCGAAGGATGGCAAAACACCACCCCAGTCTAGCAGGAGCGGCGAGGGGCAGTGGAAGGTTTCGGTCGCACCTGGCGCGTACGACGGCTCGGGTCCAGATAACGACCGCTTGTTCGTCAAAGTCTGAGTCTTCTTGTCTAAGGCATCCAAACAAGGGAAGCTGAGTGGTGGGTTTACGACAGGTGTTTCTGAGGGTCTCTCTGCTTCGACAATGGGTTGGCCCGCCGCTGCTTGCGAGCCCGCTTTGCTTGTGCTATGTATGCTGCGTTGGACGGGAAGGAAGCGTGTTCTAGGGTTTGTTCGTCGGAATAATCCATTGGCAAGCTGCCTCACTGCACGAGGAGTCGACATACTGTCCTGTGTCGCTCTGAATGGCGTAGGGAAGTCAAGTTGAATGCTTACAATGCTCTGCTAGAAAAGTCCTTGGTCCTTGAATCTGACGCCATCAGCCGAGGTGTTTGTCAGCCTCCGAACTCGGGCATGCTGCAATGTCCGATGCCCCATCCTCGTGCAATGTCAAATGCTCGTTACTCATTAAAAAGGCACAAAAAACAAGATATTAAACCAATGCGGGAAACTCTGAATTGATTTCGAGAACTCCCAAATGTATCACTGTGACATTTCAGGCAGGTGTGGTCGAGATGTTGCAACTGCTGAAATTAAAGTCAGGGTGTTCCGTGCATCCATGGCGAACTCATGAATACCACCTCTCGCACCATCGTGGTAGCATGCACTATTGTAGATATGTGAAGATGCGCGTAGCCAGCGTACCATCGTGTTGGAGATGCTCTCCTGAAAATGAGTGGACGTGGGCTTTGTCCTGATGGGGTGAGATTCAGTGCTAGCATGAACAGGGGTGAAAGACCAGGAACACAGAATATAGATTATGGATAATGATGCATTTTGCTTGACCCGTCTACGGGTCTGTCCTGGTGACCAATGCTTATCTCTCGAGTCAAAAAAAGCAGAGAAGTATAAGACTATCAACTTGTCCCAAAGCGATGATGTCGGCGATACTGATAATGTTGATGATGTTGGAAAAGCGCATACTCAAAACGGATGATGAAATGAGACGAAGGGTGAAGATGACAAGGAGAGGTAGATAATTTTGTCGAGACAACAAGGGTAAAAGGTGGTGAGAAGAGAAGAAGAAAAGAAGAAAACAAGCTGCCCCCCACAAGAACTCATTGCAATGAAAAGACATTTTTCCGGGGAACTCTGATGCTCACACATCTGCTCGGAAGGGAAGCAGGAATGCAGTGGTAGACAACAAACAGAAACAATGGACAGCCACAGGTCCAAGTATGTTTGGGGCTACCGCCCGCCGGATAGATTTTCATCCTATGTCACACCCATTGGCCTTGGAGCATATCCGCTGTTGCGATTGCCATTCCGCGTTGGGCTGCCTTGACTTTCAGAAGACTTGTTCGGATGCATGGCAAAAGGCGGCTGTGGTGGCATATCTGCTGCCACATGACGAACACTGGCTTCGTTGCCCCATGCGTTAGCCTGTTCAGCATCCGTGTCAACACGAGTGACAACAGGCGCACTGCCCCGGCTTTCACGAGACTTAGGTGTCGTAGATTGAGGTGGCGGTGCTACATCTCCTTGTGTAGTCGAGGGTCCCTTGGTACGATCGCCATATCGTTTTAAGATCTCTTTTGTGGTGATATCGGCGCTGGCGGAGAACAATGTGGAGTCGTTGAGGATAAGAGCTAGATCTTCGGGTACCTACAAAGAAAACGTTAGCGTTTCTAGTCAATCGACAGGCGGATGGTAGTAAATTTACCTCGCACATGTATTCGTTGTACTCAATCAGGGAGTGCACCGCCTCGATAGCGAGCAGATTATCATCCAAGGGAACATCGCGTTTGCCCAAGTGCAAAATGTTGGGCGCCATCACAGTAGCAAGATTGTGGACATCCATCTTGCTGCCAGATTCCTCATCGATGTGAGAAAACGATGATACCCATTGCATGAAGTTAAACAACACCTCCATTGTATCTCTGTGTGCTTTAGGAAGAAGGCAGCATGTAAGGTGAAGTACTCTTCGCCGTGTTTCTTCATCCGTGATTTCTGGGGAGCGGTTAGTACAAGACTTCGGGCATTATTGACACCCAAAACTTACTTTGTGATGTTATCCACAACTTATGCAGCTTGAACGTCATAAGGGGATCTGGTAGCTCTCGCAGGAACTTCTTGAGAAGCGCGGCAACTTGTACTGGATTCTCTTTTGTGAGGTCAACATCGACCATCTCCTTGGAGTCAATCTCTTCTTTGACGTCGTTGAGTCTCTTGATGTTACCGTTCTTGCGGAAAACACCTTCGACGGACATGTCCATTGTCCGCATTGCGGAGATGGCGTCTTGGATAAGAACAGGTATACGCAAGGCGCCTGGCCCAATGCCATCTGTTGATTCCGCATAGTCTTTCTCCACCAGCTGTTCAAGAGACACGCCAAAGATGCCTCGTTTGTTGCCTTTTGGTTTTTTGCCCGTCTCGGGCTTGAAAGCCTTTCCAAACTTGCCCCAGAAAGTAGGTCTCTTCGTCTCGATAAGATCAAGCAATTCTTCCTGGTTGAAATGGCCCTCAAGCAGAGGTTCCATCGAAAGAACAGCTACGTGCCGAACAATGAAATACTCAAGAGCCGACAGCTCGGAGAAGTACTTCTTTGTCTTGAAAGCACCGCCCTCCACCAGAGCTGGCTTTTCGTCGTTACCAAGCGAGACGTGTCGTGTATGACCGTTGTTGACGAGCTTTGGTCTTGGCTCCTGAGGTATCATGGGACCACGATGGAACTTGGAGGCATTGGGCCTTTGCTCTCTCGTTTGCTGTGCTTGAACAAGCCTTGGAATATCGTCCAAGGTCATAGACTCATGATTACCGAACTGAAGTTGTGACATGCGCGAACCACCAGCTTCACCATCGTCGACGATCTGGAAGTTTCCGGTTTGACGGCGTTCCAACCTGTCTTCTGAGTCACCGTGCAGACCTTCAGGGCCGTCGATGACTCTGGATGTACGAGCTTTACGATTTGTTGTTGAAATGTTCTTCTCCATGCGCGTCGAGCGCAATCTTCGGATGTCTCCAAGTGTCTGTTCGTATGAAGGTGAGTGCTCACGTTTGGTCGAGCCGGCGTATGACTTGGAGCGGGTGTTTGATCTAAGTAATGGTGGGTCCATGGAACCCTTTGGTGAGACACGGTGTCCACGGTTGGAATCATAGTCTGTAAGGTTTGGATCATCTGAAGGCTCTGTGAGTTATTATATCATCTAGTGTAAGATATTTTCTCGACAGACCTGAAGTATGAGGCAACGCGCCGCTTGTACGCAGAGTGGCTAGTAATCTCGCATGAGCGACACGGAGAAGATGGACGTATTGCTGAAGACGGCTGACAAAGACGAGATCGCCCTCGCTCGAGCTTCCAGCATGACGGTCACAGAAGAGTTTCTGAGAAGACTCATCCCATCTTGCCAGTGCATACTCATCAGCGAGATGCTTTGAGCACTTGCTGCATGTGAGACATTGGGCATGGAATCTTCTGTCTTTGCGTACGAAACACTTATCCTCGACAGACTTGTCGCAAATGGCGCAATTGTCTGCGGATCGTGCGACAAAGTTCTCTGTCTCGCTTCTTGGATCCTTGTCGTCTTCAGCATCGAGTCTGTCGTCAAGAGCACCGATCTCGTCCAAGAAGTTAGTCAGACCCTCATGACTGCCAGTTTCGCGCTCCAGTTTCAAAGCGCCCTGCAAACAAATGCGGATCAGGAGTTTGAGATAGTGCGCTAAACCTGTGACAAGGGACAGAAGTTCTTGTGTGACACCCAGTCGTCTAACACCAGTTTCCTGAGATTCAGCGAGTAACTGGAAGAAAGCGACAACTTTCTTGCACAAAAGTTTGGCCTCTCTCGAGTACGAAAGACCTAAGGAGGTTAGCATGCGCAGTATACGCGGCATAGAAAACAAACGCACCCTTTGTTGTGTGAGATTGTAGAACCTGGTCTAGGTTGTCTGCGGCAGAGAACAAGAGGTCAACATGAGTGATGAACTTCTTGGCCGTCATGACTCCATCAACATAGGCGCCATTGCTGACATGTAACAACATATCAGAAATGCATGTTGCTGACTTCTCTTCAAATGACGAGAGCGTGCGCCAAATCCAAAGCACTTTCTCCTCGACACTCTCTTCACTCTCTTTGACCATCTTCCGCAGCTCTTCTGTAGCATTCTCTTCCGAGTCCAGAGGTTCATCCACAGAGCCACCTTGGTGTAGTCGAACGTTCCAATATTTGTGAATCATATAACACTCTGGGTGCCAATGCTGATTTTGACCATTGCGAAATATTTCGACAAATTGTTTGAGAATGGCTGTCTGGCAGCCATTACAGCGCTGAGCGAATTTCGTTGAGTAATGGTAATGGCAGTATACGTTGCCCTCATGTTCGTAATAGCTGTCTTGGGCACCGAAAACAGTCGGGCATACAGAGCAGGTAAAATGTTCAATGTGATATTTGCGATCCAGAGCGGTGATATAGGAGCCGCGAAGGGCGCCTCCACATGCATGGCAGAGTAAGTCCAATCTGCGGAAATAGTCCGTCTCGCAGAGAGGATACTGATTCGGGGGTTGTTCTGGAACGGGGAAGAATTTGGAAGCGACGACTTTACCACAGTCCTGTAAACAGTCAGCGATTGCACAGAAGGTCACATCTCAGCATTACGAACGTGGCATGTGAAGCACTCAAGATGGTATGTGCCGCCCAGAGCGCGTACGAATTGGCCGGTCAGATGACCACCACACTTTGCGCATATCCTATTAGACTGCTTTCCATTTGGTCGAGAGCGGTCCCGTGAAGGTGAAACTTGTGCGTCTGAAGGGCGATCGTCCTTGACATCCAGGCTGCGTTTAGGTCTGTGGCGCGACGCCAATTCAAGCTGAGATTCGGCGTCCGTAGAGGTTCTTGAAGGCGATTCGCCAGGAGAGTCGAAGGTGTTGGTGCGAGAGGGAGGAAGAGCGATGTCGGAAGGATAGGGATGATCATCAGCGTCGTGCTGGGTGGAGGGGTCCGTTGGTAAACCCATGGTGTATTAGGAGAAGTTGCGAACAGAGGAAATAAAGCGAGCGTGAGGTAGCGGCGGCTACTTGTGTGGAAGCGTCGAGCAGGATGGTGTTGAATAGAATGGCATCAAAACAAGGACAGCGAGTTGCGCACAGTCAGGAGGCGGCGGCGGACGATTGTGTGTTTAGTCGGGGCGGACGCAGCGCCTGCTCGTGGGAAGACTGGATAGCGACCGCATGGGACGTTGTTCCAAGGGCCGAAATAGAGAGTGCCTGCGTGGGGCAGCCAACAGCGTAGGTCGAATGTAGGTAAATACTAGTACCTCCTCCCCGTGTATGAAAGGATGTAACGCGTGCGGCTACAAATCTTGGCGGGGATCTTGACTCGTGATGAGAATTCCAGAGACAACAAGGAATCCACCTAGACGAGGACCTAGACTTGATCAATGCAGCTTCCCAAAACTAGCCTGGCATTGTATCGAGCCCTGGAATCTTTACTCAGCCGTCGACATGATCCTGCATCAGCTTTGGCTCTGCCTCTGAATGCTTGACTTTTGTTGAACATGTGCATGGATGGCACTTGGCCAATGGCGCCTAGTGGCCGAACCCCATGCAAAATCCCCGTATTGTACCTGCTTGACAGTGACGATCTGTCTTCCGCTGCTCCACAATGTCAATGTTCGGCGCATTATCTACCCAGATCACCAACTAAAGTATGACTGAAGTATTGAGAGGCCTCCGTATGTTTCAAAGACTGTCACATTGGAGCTCAAGCAATGCACAAAATTTTGGCGAGGACCGCGGTCTCCACGGAGAGAGCCTTGTTAAAGGCTGTCTCGATAGCCAGACTCATATTCAGACTAGAACTGTGCATTTCGATAGCTTACATACTTGTTGCCCTTGTGCCTCGGGATGGGGGAGGGAACAACTAATTGCTCCAATACCGTGCAGGAGTGTCTATGACTGCTCGTAGATCGAACGGCCTGTACATGGTGAACCTTCTCCACCAACTGAGATTGCGAGGTTGGTTAGGAAGGCAGTTGCTTTGCACTATTGTGTTTCCGCGCATGAAACGAGCATTCCAATGCGTATGGCCGAATATCCAATTGCTTACTTGCTCGTGACCTTTCCATGTTCTGAAAGCGTCCAATGTATTACTGCAGAAACACTGACTCACGGCGTTGTTTTCATGCATAGGATGACACGTGTCTTTGAACGACGGGGCGTGGTGAATGATTATGATGACTTGCTTTTGAGAGTCCGTATCGGCAATGTGCTGGAGAGACGAACACAACCATTCGACATCTAGCTCATGCTCTCTGTTATGGTCTTCAATATTCCAGTTCCTGATGCTTGTGAAATCCTTGTTCAGCTGAGTACAGTCAGACGCAATATGTGAGTGTAGCGTGCACCCTAAAACGGTAATGTTGGATCCTGCAAGGTCGATTCGAGTTCGATTCAGAAACACCAGCTTGCCTTGCAAAATCGGATCCTGCACTAGTCTGTTCGCTGCATCCAGAGCCTCTTGTCGTGAGGAGCCGTAGAACTCGTTGTTCCCTGCTACCAAAAGTACCTGATCAAATGTTTGGCATTGAATCTTCAGGAAAGCGGCATATTCGTCGTAGTCGCAGAAGCGTCCAATATCTCCAGCCAAGGCCAGATGGGAGGCAGCACAAGGTATATCGTAATTGTAATTGATACGCTCCAAGTGAAGGTCTGACATGAATTGTATTCTCGTAGTCATCTTTGTGTGCTTCAATGAAGAAGTGAAGGATGAAAGAAGAGGCTCTGCGGTCACATCGATGCAAGTCAGCCAGTGCCAAGCTCCGTCGCTGGTTGCGCTTTGAACTTCGAATCGACAACTCGAACACGTCGCTGTCGCGCAGCACACCATTATTCTCGCTGATCATTACACTGTTACCTCCTAGGTCGCCTTCCACAGTCGATTGAGTTCTTTCGTATCGCTCGCCCCAGACAACATGGCCAACCCCGGCGCACCCGCTCCTGCGCCGCACATGATCTCGCGACCAAAGAGAGCCCCCACTGGAGATGAAGAGGCCACAGCAATTCTGCGTCTTGGAGAGTTCCAGCAGGTGCCTGCTCTGAACTTGTCCGAAGCACGCACCATCATCAACGCTGTCACGACCCGCCGGCGCAACATCAAGCAGAAGGTCTCCGAATCCGAGACTCTTCTCAAGACTCAGGAATACCTCGAGTTGTTTGCTCGCTTTAAGCAGCAGGAGCACGTCACTGCCGTTGAGCAGTTGCTCACGACTCGCACCGAGCTCGAGCGCTTTGAGCGCAGCCAGCTCGGTGAGTTTACTTGACTACCGCAGTACATGTTCGTTCACTGACCGTCTTAAAAGGAAGTCTATGCCCTGATTCTGCTGAGGAAGCAAAAACGCTTGTGCCCTCGCTCGAAGGCAAGATTTCTGACGAAGATCTGCAAGAGCTGCTCGACGAGATGATGAAGCTGAGAAACTTTGTGCAATGAGAGACCATTCATCCCGGCTTTATAACCTACCAACACATCTGACGACCCGCCATGGCCTGGCGCGCACACCGATTCTATCGAAGTCTCAAAAGTCCCCGGAGTTTGCATGGAATATATGCATTTTACTGGCGCTGGACATGCATAATGCGGTTCTTTCTTTCAAGCGTGGAGTTTGGATTTGACACAAAAATAAAACGAGAACGGCACAATATTTGAGAGTTCAAGGTACCCACGGTGCCTACAGGACGGGCTTGCGAAGAGCTGCTGGAACTTACCTGGAAGCAATGGCCACAGCTCGGTGATGAGACCTCGGATGCAATCGTCCACGATTGCAAAAGCCCTGGAATGGCTTAGAACCTCGTTGAAAGACTGACGAAACAGTTCGAGCAAGCTTACCTCTGAACAAGCTCAGTCTCTGGTGGTGTTCTATCCGTCCAGACGCACAACATATTCAGGTAATACAATGAAAAAACTTCGTCAGAAATGCAAGAACTACTTTCACGGCGGCGCATACAAGAACTTTCTAGCCTCTTGTGCCAAGTGTCTACCTAGTGTGTGACCAAAATTATTGTCCTCGTATACTGGTGAACGCTGTGTTGGACTTTCTTGTCTGTCCTTGCTTAAGATCGACCAGCGCGAAAATTGTGCATGGACGTGATATGCCCAATGTTGCAATTCATTCACTATTAAGTGATTGCATGTGTTCTTGTAGACTTCTTCAATTTGTATTGTATGAATACCTACCTTCATTTATATACGGAGTGCTTCTGATTGGATACTCCTCCACGCTTCGCGCTCGGGCCGGCAAAACAGCGCCAAGGACGATTCGACATCACTCTGCCGGACCAAGAGGACGACTGGTTAGCAGAACAATTGGCCTTGTACACACAACACATCATGCAGGCCTTCAGAAGAAGCGCAGCGCAAACTGCGCGCGCAGTCGCTCGTCAGCAAACAAAACGCTACGCCCACCACGAGGCCCCGGCCGCCGGCAGCATCAAGTACCCCGAAGAAGAGAAGCTCGGAGTACGTGTCTTGGGAGGATAGGACGAGACGACAAGAGACCGTAGACTGATAGGGAGACAGACCGGATTCTTCATGGCCATGTCCCTCATCCCGATCGGCTACCTGATGTTCCAGTTCGCTGGACCCGGCAACTACGAGCACAAATACCTCACCCGCGTCATCAACAGCTACGACGGATACCGCAAGGATGCCGCTCACATCGCCGCTCTTCACACCGATGCTCTTGAGCAGGCTGCTGCCGACCGTAACCTGTTTGCCAACACTCAGCGCGCCCAGAACGTCACGTTGAGATTCCCTGAGTACGTCCAGCTTGCCTTTGGTTCATCCTATCAACACAGCATTGGGAAACATCATACATGGAGAAAGAGAAGGAAACTGTCTATGAAGCCGGACACACAAAAGACACGCGAAGACAATTGGAATGCTAACGAAGTTTTGTCGACAGGATTCTCAACACTGGAGCACCTCACAACGTGCCCGCCGGCCACTACGCCGACATGTCACAGGTCATCGCCAAGTACGAGAAGGAGGCATACGAGGCCAATGCAAAGAAGTTGCAGCAGATCAAGGACAATGCTGTTCCCAGCGAACAGCCTTTCAAGGGCAACCTTCCTACTGGTGTTGAGACCGTGTTGATGTAAATATACCATGCCAACAGCGAATTTATGTTTTCTTTTGTATCTTTGTAGTTCATGGCTCGTGTAATCAAAAGTGCTGCTGCTGCCCTGCGGGACAGGCTTCCCATAAACTCCATGCGCCTTAACCATGCCGAGATTGAATGTACATGTGGTGTTACAGATGTGTAGTCGAGTTCGATCCGTCTTCTACTTGGGAGCGGCCTGCCTCACATTGCTAGTGTGAGGAGCATGGCCTGGTGTGGCGGGCGCATCAGGAACGATGACATCCTCGAATTCATCCTGTGCGACAGCGCGGATGGTAAAGGAGTCTAGGGTAGTGTATTAGTCGAGCCGGGTATACAAGGCGAGACGAGATGGATGTGACGAACAAACACCAATAGCGAAACCAAAGATGGCCAGACCGGTCAGGGCATTCTTGACAATGTACGGCTGGCGAGCACGGTAAAGGGCGGCGGTGGGCCGATTGTACTTGTCGTAGTACGACGACTGAGGGATCCTGAGATGGCGTTAGTGAGAGTGACTTTGTGAGCAGTCCTGGGTTATGCGTACTTTCCGATAGGCATGTCTGGTCGAGTTGTGAAATTATTATACCAGCCTGCAAGGGAAAGCACGATTCACATGTTCGAGAACCGGACTTGGGACTTGCCAAGAACGACTGGCGAGGGTCGTTGCTGCTCTCCCGCGCGTCAACTCTCAACTCAAAGCGAGAGCAGAGCACGAGTCGGAGCTTCACCACCTGTTCGACCACATCGCCTTGCGCTGCCCACCGCCATATTTCCTTGGTCGTCCGTCGAGACAGCATACTGTCACAACCTGCAGACAACCCCATCAAAGCTGCTACACACGTGCCTCATGTCGCAATAGCCGTAGCTGTCTCCGAGCTGAATCCTCCCCCATCTGCGTGACGTCTTCGGCGCGTCCGCCGCCCTCTTGTCGCCCACTATGGCTGCCCAGGCCAATGTCGCCGACACAATCAAACAGCTGAACGCTGCCCGGAACCTCGCACTCGCCGACCCTGCTCTTTATCCTCAAGTCGTTCCCGGCCTTCTTCGTATCGTGGGCGCCGATGCTATCCTCGAGCTGAGAAGATGGGGCGCCGACTTCTTCGCCGAAACCTTCGCATCTCCTGTCCTTGCTCAGGAACACAAGCAAAACTTGGGTCTACAGGTTCTGGACACACTCAAGGCTTACCTCGATCGTCCAAAGGAAGATACCGCTGTGATCAAGAGCGTCGTACAAACAGCTGCAAGCATCTACCCTTTCGTCTTCCGCCAAACTGTAGCAAATCCTCAGGATCCCTCACCATGGCAGAAAATGGCTGCTATCAAATCGAGCATTTTGCGTAGAATGCACAACGCTCCTCCTGGCATCCATATATGCTCCGTCAAGTTCATCCAAAGAGTGGTTCAAGTCCAGACACCAGGTTTGATTGCGGATCCGAGACGGCCTGAGCAAAACGAAATCTCTCTTGCCCTGGTTCCGCGCGATCATCCTATCATGTCTCCCTCAACATTGGAGGCCGAAGCCTTGGGTCTACTCGACAGGTTACTAGGCGTGTTGCAGGACAACAGTACCGATGCCTTGCTTGTGACCGCTACCTTGAACAGTCTGGGGTCTTTGGTCAAGAACCGTCCTTCCGTCGCCAATAAGATCATCTCAACAGTCCTGAACTACAACCCCTTCAAACTCGCTACCACGACACCTGTTTCGCCAACCCATAAAGTCATGATCAGATCCATGACACGCACAACGACCGCTTTTCTGCTGAACATAATCAAGAAGAACCCCAATCATCCTCTAGCCGGTCGCATCCAACAATGCATCGAGAGGCTCAGACACACGCTTGTAGATGTGTTCGATGAGTCGAGCCGTAAAAGAGCAGCACCTGCTGAACCTACTGACGGTCTGTCAGAGGCCAAGCGACAACGTCTCGATGCACAAGTGCCTCAGCCCAGTTCTCCGGCTTCTCAGATACCACCATTACCACAAGGGCCTGTCAGTCTTGCACAGCTGTTCACTCTTACGCATGATCAGGGGCTGAGAAGCTTCGATGTGAACGTGATTCCTTCAAATGTTGTCTTGAGCATCGTTGCACCATTGTTAAAGTCTATAGACAAGGTCAAAATGGACGCTGCCATCAATGCTGTTCAAGCAAGATACTTGTCTTTAGCGGCAAGACCTGCCACTGCTTCAAGGGCTGCGCAGGCGGTAACAGGTGTTGCCCCTGTGCAGAACGAAGACGATGAGGAGTATGAACCGGGCGTTGAAAGTACTGACCAAATAATCAATGACCTTGATCAAGCTCCTCCAGACATGGATCGAGCTCCTGTATCCCTGGGGCCATTTAACTTACCTCCCCCACCACCATTGACTGCAGAACAGACTGTAGAGTACAGCAAAGGAGCCGTCAACCGCGTGTTCAGTACACTTACCGAAATGGAACAGCCAGCATCGAGCAAAACTCAAAAACCTGGTTTCAATCGTCTCGCGGCGACTAACCACGACCGAGATGCTTGGATCACCCTCATCGCTCGTCTTGCCACTCGCGCTCCTGCTGGACTTGATGAAAGCAAGCTTAAATCTGAGTCGGGGAGCTTGTCAAAGGGCACTTTTTCACTCAATGACGCTATACGAGAATCATTATACTTGTACGTCGTCGACGACTTCCGAAAACGTATCGATGTTGGTATCTCCTGGCTCAACGAGGAATGGTACAACGATCGTATACAAAAACAGCAAAACGAAGAGGCAGAGTATATTCCCGAGCATTATGAGAAGTGGATGCTCAAGATCCTCGATGGAATCGTGCCGTTCTTAGACGCAAAAGACAAACTTCTCATCAGATTCCTGTCAGAGATCCCGAGCATCAACCAAGATGTTCTTAAGCGTGTGGTCAGGCTTGCAAAGGATCCGGAAAGAGTGCAACTTGCAGTACAGGCGCTACATTATCTGATTCTTCTTCGACCCCCAGCAAGAGAAATGGCCCTCGATGCCTTGGAAGATCTCTACAAGAACTGTATGTACTAACGACGTCCTGTCTTTCTCACTTTCACTGACAATATCTGACAGACGATGAATCGCGACCACTTGTGACGAAAATCATGCCCAAATTCCGACCGGAAGCATTTCAGAAACTGCAAGAGGCAGTAGCCTCCTAGGCGGAGAGTATTCCCAAGTCTCAGCATGTCTTGCTCACGATATACCCGGCGTCCAACACAAGAACATAAATCACTCTGCATCGAACCTTTGAAAGTCGAGGCTTGTTAGAGAACTAGGAGAATCGCACATAGTTATAAAGCAAAAACACAATCGAAATAGCATTTTTGCTGATCAAAAACCATGTATCGATTAGGGCAACGGCTCATTGATATCATTGCTATACATAGTTACACAAGAGGCTGTGCTAGGATAAGGGGGAGTGGTTCATGGTCGAACGACTGTCTTGTCTTTGAGCGTCGTAATTGACAGCCGTTGATGGCCTAACGTACTGTATCTCATACCTGCCGACGCAATGTCCCTTTTAATTTAGACTTTAAGATGGGCACTCGGCAAGGCGCATAAGGTCTGCGGCCATCCCACATTTTCGCGCGCGATGCTTTTGGCCTTGCTCCACAAGGACCGCAGGAACCACAGGAACCGTTTGCGCCGCATTGCTGCTCTGCCGTGCACACGGACTCACTGACACTTGACGCTTGTCGTTGTTGTGGGCAAGCATGGCCGACGACAACACGCAGAAACCTGGACTTGGTCGAAGAAAGTCATCGCTCAACACACTCCGAGAGTTTTCACAACGGTTCAAGCATGTTGGGCGCAAGACATCCGAAAGTGTCGAGGAGGAAAGAGAGATTATTGGCGGTAAGCACGTTCCATTTGGCGCTGTTCTTGCGATTGCTTGCAGCTTCAAAATGCAGGGTCCTTTGTTTTCTTGTTCCGTCACTGCCGCAACAACGTTCATCGCTCATTTTACACATCCAGATGGTCAATTTGCAGACCCCCCTCGATTGAAGATGCCCGACTTTGCTCCCTTTGATCCGACTTCTCCTGTCGACGTTTCATCCCCTCCACCAGCTTCAGAAATCCAATCCGGCTTGATTTCGCCGCGAGCAGCTCAACCTCCACAGTCAACAAACACTCGCGACAGCGTACAAGAGCAGTTATTGTCACCAAAACCGTCCAACAACGATATGAGTACTACGACGACGATCATAGAGAGCTCTCCAATCCTCTCAGACAGCACTCCTTGGGTCGGCGGCACAGGTCTCGGAAATGCAAACCTCGGAAAGTCTGGTCGTGTTATCGAAAAACTTATGGCCGAAAATGACAGACTCAAAAGAGAGATCAAAGCGGAAGCTGCGAAAAGAGAGGAGCTACAACGCACCGCAAATGCACAGAAGCCTCGACTAGAAGCTTTTCAAGCCGAGAACGCACGTCTCTCGCATTGTAAAGCAGTGGACGAGAGCGTGATCAAGCGACGGGACCGCAAAATCGAGGATCTCAAGGCCGAGCTCGACATTGAGCGACAGAAGAGAGAGTCCTTGGAGCACCGAGTTCAGGAAGCCGAACGAAAGATGGGCGAGTACCAAGAGCACAGCAACAAAGAAGTCCAACAGGCTGTCGAAGAAGCCAAACACGCAACTACACACGCCTCGATCCTTGAAACATCACACCGTCAACTATCGTCCGAATACCGACAGCGTATCGCAGCGGCTAACAAACAACTACGAGAGCTGAGCGACGATAGAGAAGAAGACCGAAAACGTCTCATCAAACTGGACGTTGTCAATCATCAGATGCGTCAAGAGTCCGAGAAAGCGAGAAAGCTGTACCACGAACTGGTGACAGCATCGGACAAATACAAAGCAGAGAAAGATTCTGAGGTTGATCTTGTCCTTGGAGACGTCAAAGCGCTCAAGGGAGGCATCAGTCACCGCGAGCTGGAACTGGAGACGACGCTGCAGGAGATGCACGAGGTCATGAATCGCATGAAGTGGCTCATGAACATGCAGAAAGTCAACAGCGAGAACGGTGTAAACTCACCTCCACCATCGCCACCTTCTTGAGCCTCTCGCCCACCTCTGGGGCTGGCTGCAAAAAGTGAATTATGTTCGAAGTACGGAAGTATTTCTTCTGGCATGCTTATGTTGTATAGAGTGGGATCCCAATTACACAGGGACTTTACGAGAGGCGTTCATGGGATTTTCAGAATTCAGTGTTAGCAGACATGTTATTGCTCACGAATGGCTGCATAGCGAGGTGTTACGGAATTAGACACTGGGTGTAATACGGTTAGCAACATATCAATACTCATGGTATATGATCACAAGATGAAATCGACTGCTTTCCAGAGTGAGCTGAAGTGCTGATTGGCAGCATGGGCTGACATTCATCAAAAGCTTCAGGTGTTTTTCGTTTGGACGATTGATCCAGTGTTTCCATGGCGTCGGTTTGCTCTAGCTTTTCTTTCTCCCATGCAAGCAAGGCGCATGCACGCGAACGGGACCTCGCAGCTTCCCGATCAACACACGAAAAGACGAACGACTTCAGCATTGAATCTTCTCGTTCACGAGACGCCCATCTAACCATCTCCTGCGCGTCAACATCCTTCACTTTACTTCATCCATCACTTCGTGATCTCTTATTTCCATCAATCCTTACTCAGAGCTGCTAACAACTTGACGCCTTTTACGCTTTCTAGACATCTGCTTGCACTCGCACAATGGCGAGCACTTTCGTGTACAGCACAGTGTGGAAGTTTCTTGAGCCCGATGAGCTCATCACCGCATTCGATGAGATGGTGCAAGACGCCAATGTCAGATGCACATACATGTCAGACAAGCAGGTAAGCTGTGCACAACTCCTCAGCCTGTTTCTTCTCGGTCTCGACACGCACTGACAAGACTCAGATGTTCCGCATCGAGTTTCCAGAACCTGGCTATGATCAGACTTATTACAAATTCGTGGATCTCTGCAATGAATATATCAACGAGCACCAGGATGGTCCCCAGGATGTCATGGCCGACCCCAAGATCTTTCGTCCTGTCGAGACGGGTGGAGAAGCTAATGCCGAAGATGAACTTGACGAGCTTCTCCGGGAAGACGATGCCTTAGAAGACGAGGCTCTCATTGATGTTGATCGTCCCTCGTCCGAGCACGAAGAGGAAGACAAGCCTTTCTGGAGTCCGAAGAATCCTAGCACAGACATCGCGCTGGTTCTGCCGGACCAGCTTCTACAGGAGATTGCCCAAGACACTACGTGCTCGTTGGAACTGAATGTCGAAAGGTCATGCGTCTTCATCACCAATGCTACTGCCACCAAGGTTCAGACCGTCAGCAAGAGGCTGGACAACATCGAGAGGATTTCGGTAAGCTTGAAGCAGCAAAATTTGCCGACACCTTCGACTGACTGATGTGTACAGCACCGTCCAAGGGTCGACTCACACTTCATGCGCACTGAAAAGGAGGTCAACGCTTTACTACAACTGCATCGTCTCCAACACCTGCAAGACGGAACGTTGCTGCAAACATTGACTCCGGATGAACCAAAAATCACACAAATGTTACCTCGTCAACGTGTGGTGCGCTTGATGCGCCCCGATAGCAACGCTCGGCTCTCTGTCTTCAGTAGTCAACCTTCCAACTACACTCACAACCCGGATTTGGTTCAGAAGTTCGAGTCCATGCCGCTTCCACACTTCGTCAGAGAGGGCATGCATGACCTTTTGGTAACCTTCGTTGACAATGCTGTCGAGGAATGGGTGCAGGGAACCATCGATTCTGCGCCTGAGGAAGGTGATCTGTTGGGTGGTGGTATTGACGGTCTCAACCTTGGTGATGCTAGTGAGGTACTCAGGCCCGTACCAGCACCGTTGAAGCAGCAGTCAGAGTATCCTATTCCGGATTTTGGATTCCCGGATGAGATCGAGGAGTTTGAAAGTCGTCCAGACTTGAGTCACGCTGAGGCTCGACTCGATACGAATTTCCTTATTGACTATGAGGGTCGCCCAAGATCTCCAGCCCAGGCTACTGAGAGTCGTGTGCATATCCCGCCGCTTGTCTCTCCGTATCCATCATCTCTTGTCGGGTCGACGCTGTCTAGGAGGGCAGCTGGAATTAGGTTCTCAGATAAGCTACCCAGAGCACCATGGGATGTCACACCCACACGTCCGGTTCAAGCTGAATGGAATGTCCAGCCTGTGACAGGTTATACCGGAGATGATACCGTCGAACCATTCCCTCCACTCGGAACGCAAGCTCCCAAACCTCGCGTGCAGCGTGTACAGCCAACATCACCATCAACTCTTGCTGCACCACCAGGATTGTCGACTCGACCAGGACAATACTCGCATATGGTGCTGGCTGAGCCTGAAGAGCCCAACGATGTCGAGGAAAGAATCCAGGTTGAAGATGAAGTCGCAACTCGTCGATATTTTAACACCACGGCTCACCGCAAGCCGAAGTCTAAGGCCAAGAGGAAGCCTAGCAATCAAGCTTGCAAAGTCGAGCTTGATCTTCCTGACTGGGATCCCAGACTGAACAAACAGCCAAGCAAGTCAAACCAGAGTCAACCAAGGTCAACCTCTGTTGAAGCAACTCCACCACCTCAGGCAAAGCCCCTGGTCCTTCCAGAATGCAGCAGCGATCTATTGCAGCTTCTGGATTGCGCGAGAGCACATAGAGGATATCTAGACATGGAGATCTCTATCGGCCGCATTCTGATCGAAGGCTTGAGAGGACCGGAAGCAAAGGAATTTGCTGCCTCCAAGGCCATGCCTTCCAAACGTATGGCAGCAGGTATCCAGGAACATCTCTCTACAGATCAAGAGTCAGTCCTACATTTCGTAGAGAGACTGACTTCATCCACTATTGAAGCATGCCAAATTCCAACTCCACAGCTGTTTCGCCAGGATGCCACAGAGGCATCCTGGTATGAGTTCCACTGTGAAGACAAATACCACAACCACGTCATTGTCAAAGTCAAGGGCCCCGACGACGCGGAGGTCGATCTGGTCCCTGCTACACTTGGCCAAGTATTCTTCCACTATCCGAAACGAAGGTGGGATGCTCGCTTTGCTGTGAACGCTCGAGAGCCATACATGTACCACAAGGCAATCACGGAGTTCTTGAAAAAGCTATCAGCCGAAGTTCGTGACTCCAGGGACGGCAGACTTGTCGACCTACGCTTCCTCGTGACTGGTGATCTCAAAATCAGAAGTGCCTGCACCAAGAAGCAACTCTCATTCCAACATATCAGTGATCGCATAACGCTACACCTTACAGAGGTCCAAGACCTGAACAGAGGCTGGATGAGAGACAACACCTCGCTCCATCAATTTGCATCGCAGGAGAGGACTGAGATGATCAGAGCTGGACGTTTTTGGTTTGAGGCAAAGCTGTCAGTCTCATCCAAGTCTTTCTTCGACCAGAATCTGAAGACGAAGATCGGTGAGGATGCCGCCTGGAACGCGAAGGATGTGCTCGATGACAAGATGCTGTTCGATATCCAGGATATTATCGATCGTGTTGTCGTTCGTATGGATGGTGTCGGTGTGCAGAACACAGGCTGGCGTGGTAACGAGGCTGATATGATCGACCTGGAAGAGTGGGAGCAAAAGAACAAAGTGATCGGCAGCATGGATTACTGGTGAAGGGCCTTGACGGGAGCTCGGAGAAGACGTGTTGCACAGTTATGGAGCAACGCGTGATACTTGCAGGTACCAGTTACCGGCAGGCAGGGTGGTCGAGTCAAGGAGCCAGACACACGTGAGATCCACCTATGCTGTCGTACTTTACGGGTGGCAGAAGTATGTTCCTGGTCTGGTTTTGTCGATAGAGGCACGATTTGACTGAAGTCATACATCGTAGTTGTAGAATAAACGAATAGTGTGCGGACCTCACAAGGAGGGTTAAGAGGAACCAGATCGTTAATTCAACTCGTTTATCTTACAGCCCGTATTATTACATATCCTTCCTGATATCCAAACAAATCTGTACAAGAGGGTACACTTAAGTCATCAACTCGTCGATAGCTGCGCAACTAGGCGTCTTTCTCTACTCGAAGAACACAGCGTCAGGCTTGTGCACGGCGACCTTTCCAGAAGACTCGCTCTTGAGCACGATTCTGGGATCCTCCTCCGATGCCTTGACCTTCTTGCCGTCAACCTCTTTCTCCTCGTACGCGACCTCGACGACAGTGCCTTTTGTCCAGTTTCCTAGTGTCTTCCAGTAAACTTCTTGGTCCTTCTTGGGAAGGCGATCCTTGGATGCTGGCTTGCCGTGTGAGTCGTTGGACTTGGAATCTGAAGAGTCGTTCTTGGAAGACTTGTCATTCGAGGAGGATTTGGAGTCGTCCTTGTCATCTTCCTCCTTCTCATTGCCGTTGGACTTTGACTTTGAGGGCGAAGATGTCTCTTTAGCAGCACCATCATTCTGCTTCTGCTTCTTCGACGGCGATGCAGACTCGGAAGAGCGAGTGCGCTTGTCACCAGCCTGAGCCTCTTCCTTTTCGTCACCCTCCTTCTTCTCATCTGCCTTCTTCTTCTCGTACTTCTCGTCCTCTTCCTCATTGGCTTGCTTTCTGCTCTCTTTTGCCTTGTCGGTGTTTTCGACGTGTTGCTTGCCCTCTTTGCTGGCGGCTTGCTTCTTGTCGTCGGTTTCTTTCTTTTCCTCCTCACTCATGTTCTCCCAGGCCTTCTTGGGGAGGTAGCGTTGCTGGGTGCCGTCTTCGTTCTTTGCATTGGCGGAGCCGTCTTTGGTTTGCCATTCTTCTTCTCCCCACTTGGAGAGGTGTTGTTGCGACTCGTCTTGGTCTTTCTTGTCGGTTGTGTACTATGGGACAAGTCAGTAGTTGGCGACAGCTCTACCAAAGATATGGAAGACTTACACCACCACCGCGTTTCTTGTATTCGGAAGCCATCATCTGAGCCTTTCTTGCCGACCATTGGCCTGGTGCGCCGCCCTTGTCGCTGTTGTGGATTTCCTCCTTGACTTCATCGCGAAGCTCAGGGTCGGTGTACTTGTCCTTGGGAGGCATGTTTGCAATTGACGAAGATACAAATGTTCTGATTGGAAAAGTTGCTCTGAAGCAAGAAGTTCTCAAAAAATGTCTTACAGAAAGTGTTGGTTTGATCAATCGCATGGTATTTTGCTCTAGTTATATAATGCGACTTTCGACAGCACAGTTTGGTCAGCCCAGCCCATTGTCAATTGAATCTATCGTCATCGATTTCATTGATGCGATCGTGCCAGGGGTAGGATGCTTCAATAAAGTGACATCATATACGGTCGGCGTTTTTGGACCATGATGGTGTACCTTGGGAGGAGGTTGGGAGATCGGCGAAAGAGGGTCCATGATCGATCTAATGAAAGGCTTGGCGATTGAATGCTTGGCTTGTGAGTTTAGCTTGATGGTCGAGATGTTGGTGTATCTTTACTCGTTCTTGTGTGCTTAGCAGAGAATTGTCGCCTTGTAGAAGGCATGCAGTAATATCAGATAGCCGAATAATCGAAATTGTCAACCTTTGGTTTTTGTACCCATCTGGACGATAAGATGTAGCGATACCACATGGTAGCCGGTGCATGTTTTAAGTAATCATGAAACAATTGTTCGGCAGCGCGATTTTGAAAGCACAAGGTCAGAAAGAGCACCAGTATAATCTGTGAGGCACTGAAGAGTTTAATTCCAGTATTCAATTGCTGCGTTTAACAGGAAGACGGATACCAATGGTGATTTCGTGCCTGAGCCAGGGTCGTACCGTCGGCATAAACTCTTGGCCAAGAATTCTCGAAGTCGAAGCTACCAGGTAGCTCAATGGTCTACCCATGTAGCACACTCGCTGCCGCACCATCCGGCGATACGATACTTTTATTGTAGAGATATGGCGCGGAGCTACTTAATATCCGACTCCGCCTCGCGCCTCGGCGAGTTGGACGGGGCAACCGAAGGTGTTGCTGCATAATCATGCATCCAGCTTGCTGCAAAGTGCGGATGTGAGTTACCAATTTTGCAGCGATACGCAAAGTGTTGCAATTTTCGTTGCGAAGCACGTCGTTCAATGGGGTTTCAAACGACAGGCCCAGAGATACGACACATTCACATGCCTCTGTTCGGTACACGGCAGACCCTTGATAGGGGCCTTCGTAAGCTGATTGACACGCATAGCAAGAGGTAGAGTAGGAGAAACGCAAGTTTCAGCGTGTCGCTGAGATGTTATCAATCTCAAACGTGATAAACAAGTGGGAATAGAGGCAACGGAAGGCTCGACTTGTCGCAGCTACAAAGATACATGCAATAATAGACGATTAGTTGCTCTGACATGCGCGAGGAAGTCACGAGTCGCGAGATAGGGACAAGAATGACCGAATAAAACAAAGGCTAAGCATCCGAAAAAGGCGCTAGTGGACGGGAGGAGGCGGGGCAGTCATTACCTATCACTGGACCTCGTTGTTCAGAACATTGCCTTTCCCAAGTCGCAACTGCCTTCAAAACAATTTCAACTGTGCGCCTTGCCAATTCACCGCCTTGCCAATTGCTACGTCTGACCGCTCACGCAATTGTCGGTCGAGCCATCTTGAGCCAAGGACCCCTCTCCGACGCCAACGTCACGACCGAACTAGCTCCACCCACCGCTCGTCCTCGCCCTTGTCGCAGCCGCGAAAAAACGAACCACTTTGCAAACACCCGATAGCGACTCTCAGCTGGCGAGAGACCTGCCAACAAGCGACGGAGCCTCCATCTTGATCCTGGTCACGATGGTCATGGTCGAATCGCACATCTAGTGAAGCCTCAACTGGGCTGCCCTGGCGGGCAGGTGCTCTGCAACGATTCACATCGCTACAAATATACAACCATCACAATGGCCGACTCGCCAAACCCGACAATGCTGGCTCCGCCAGCTGTTGTCGCTTTGAAAGAGGAGGCTGTCGGAACAAAGGACACTGCGTACAGAGGAACCATGGAAAGGACGGTTAGCATGGACATCAGAGAAGAGCGCGAAGATCTCAAAAGAGCTGCAGAACAGTCGCTCAACGCAATCATGGATCTCAACCTGGACGGAACTATTCGCTGGGCCAGTCCCTCTTGGAAGGATCTCAGTGGAACCGACCCAGAGTCGATAGTCGGAAAGACCATGTCTGATATCATTGTCGACCACAAGAACATTTTCACAGATGCCATTGCTCTTATGAAGAATGACGACACGAAGAGCCGCATCATTCGCTTTGCAATTGCATACCAACTACCTGTCGGTGCTAGTCCTGAGGTCACCATCGAGAGCCCACATGCTGAATCAGTGGCTTTCAATACTCATCAGGAGGTTCAAGACAGTCACCAACATCTTGTCAATCTCGAGGCTCAAGGTATCATGGTGTACGAAAGGGCTACTGGGGAGGAGAGTCATGTACGAGCATCTGCAGCTACAAATATGAGCATTACTGACGCATTTTCAGACAATGTGGATGATTAAGCCCGCAGTCCATCGCGAGATAACCATCGACCTCCCAGACGTCCTTGCAGAGTCCTTAGGAATTGGTGCTCATGTGTTAGCGCAATACTTGACCCATTTGGCCGAGATCGGCAGTGACGACCCAGCTGATCATCCGCCCCCACCTCCAGTGCTATGCCGTATTTGCGAGCGCCAGATCACGCCGTGGTGGTTCGAAAAGCATACCGAATTATGCATGCAGGAACATAAGGCCGAGATGGATGTTCAGATCGCTCAAGAAAACTTGACTGAACATCGTGCTGCCATCGTCAAGGTTCTAGATGCTTTGGAAGCTCAAACTCGCCATTCTCGCCCTGGACCTTCTGATTCGGGCTCTTCATTGCCTACTCCACTGTGTGATTACAAAGGACATCCAATTGGCCCCGCTTCTCAGCCTTCATCAGGTCCATCATCTGGTCGTGCATCACCTGCGGGTCCTCAACTAAAACCACGAAGTTCTTCTCGATCCGGATTGAACCATCAAAGAGCCCGCTCTTTTGCTGTCAGACGTCCTCTGGCTCGTGTCGTTGAGCTTATTCTCGACCTTTGTGACACTGCTCTGGAAATCAGCCCGCCAGCTGTAAAAGACAGCTCTCAGGATGGCGAGATAAGAACTCAGTCTCCACAGTCCGAAGGTAGAATATCACAAGTATTGCAATGGCAACCCCCAAACACGAGTACCGTCGACAACGAAATTGGTCTCGCGCTTCTTGCTGAGGACACTTCAGGCTTCTGCAAAGCCAAAGTTGAAGCCATCTTCCGCCACCGACGTATTTTGGAGTATTCTGAGCGCCTCCGCATCGAATTTCATATCCTTGTACAGGAGTGTATTGATGAGGCTGTGGCCAAGGCTGCACGAATAGCCAACGGCGAACTTAGCGACTCTAGCGAATCATCCTCTTCTATTGACGTAGACAATGAGGAGGATGATGAGAACGAAGATCAAGACAAGTTCAGTCAGATCGGAGATGCCATGTCTGACATTGATGGACCGCCTCCACGCCTGCCTGAAGGTATGCAGGAGGACTTCTCTATCAATCCATATGGATCACCTCTCGCGCCATCAGCCATGACTATGGCGCTGCGTAATATTCCAGAAGCATCGACGTATCGAAGAGCCTCGTCAACAGGTGATTCTTCGCGTTCAAACAGTCCCCACGGTGCTCGAACACCACGATCATACGGAAGTGCTCTCAGTACTCTGATCCACCAAAAGAGAGCAGCGATGTTAGCACCTGAGAGCGATGCCGGTGCAGAGAGTGATAGCAGCGTTCGTTCCTCCTTGGCTTCGATGCCTGTGCGGACCGACTCCCCAGCTCCTGAACTGAGCCTGAGCCGGGTCACCAGTACCCGTGAGCACAAACGAAGGAGTCTTGTGCTTCCCAGTCTGGCGAACAACAGCAGACAGCAATCTCCCACTCGAAGCATCGCACCTTCCTCGCCTCTGCGAGTAGCTAAACCACGAGTTCCAAGCGGTGGAGAAGCCCCAATTCCTTCGCCGCTCACGTCTCCCATACTCTCTCATGATCACCATTTCCATTCTCCTATTCTGCGGGCTCAGACACTGCATCACCACCACCACCGACGTCAATCTTCTGCGACACAATATTCTGAGTCATATCGTCCACCATCTTCACCAAGGCTGAGTGCTGTTAGTAGCAACCCGCAGCCGCGCGCGGTACAAACTTCTATCAAAGACTTTGAGATCATCAAGCCTATCAGCAAAGGTGCCTTCGGTAGCGTTTATCTTGCGAAAAAGAAAGTCACTGGAGATTATTACGCCATCAAAGTGCTCAAGAAGGCTGACATGGTTGCCAAAAACCAAGTCACCAATGTCAAGGCTGAAAGAGCGATCATGATGTGGCAAGGCGAGAGTGACTTTGTCGCGAAACTCTACTGGACCTTTGCCAGCAAAGACTATCTGTATCTCGTCATGGAATACTTGAACGGAGGTGACTGCGCTTCATTGGTGAAGACTCTGGGTGGTTTGCCAGAAGACTGGGCAAAGAAATATTTGGCTGAAGTTGTTCTGGGAGTACAGCATTTACATGACAGGCAGATTGTCCATCGCGATTTGAAGCCAGACAATCTTCTCATCGATCAGAAAGGTCATCTCAAGCTCACAGATTTTGGTCTTTCACGAATGGGACTTATCGGGCGTCAGAAGAGAATGCAAAACAACAAGGTTGGCGATGCACCAGACTTGCTCAAAATGGGCAAACGAGCACCGTCTGTCGAATCATCACGTTCTACCTCCTTCGACTTCATTGGTAGTCAGTCACCAGCTCCTACTCCAGGATTGACACCCGCTCTGGCCGGAGAGCTTGGCCAGCCATCCTACTTCAGTCTGACCAAAGGAGACTCTCGTGAACCATCGCGGCGAACATCTGGTCAGCGTAGCGACAGTGGCGAAAGCGATGCTTTGGCAAACATGTTCCGTCGCTTCTCGATCGCAGATGAGTCTTCCAGTTACCAAAGACGAACGCCTATTGAGGAAGAGACGGCTAGTGAAGGTGAATCGCCAGAGCCATACGCTCTGCAACCTGTTCTGAGTCACATGAGTGGCCTGGGCACGCCTCCTGGTCAGTCTGGCATGCTGCCGCCGCCCATGGCTCTGTTTGATCCCGACGACAGTTCGCGGAGATTTGTTGGTACACCAGACTACCTCGCTCCAGAAACAATCAATGGAAGTGGCCAAGACGAGATGAGTGATTGGTGGTCACTAGGTTGCATCCTCTTTGAGTGCTTGTATGGCTACCCACCTTTCCACGCAGACACTCCAGAGCAGGTATTCCAGAACATCCTCGATCGTAAAATTGACTGGCCTGAGGATGAGGAATGCGCGGTAACGGAAGAAGCCAAGGATCTCATGAACAGACTCATGTGCTCGGACCCCAAGAAGAGACTCGGCTCCAACATTGATGAGAAGTTTGCAAACGGTGGAGATGAGATCAAGGCCCATCCATGGTTTGCTGAGGTCGAGTGGGACACACTTCGAGAAGAGGAAGCATCTTTCATCCCTGCACCGGCAAATCCTGAGGATACAGAATATTTTGACTCCAGAGGTGCTACATTGCAAAACTTCAGAGCGGAGTTTGAGGACCAAGTATCATCGCCAGCCAACACGCCTGGTGCTGACTATCCAGAACGACCGCATGACGCCTTGTCCAGGGTTAGAAACCAGGTCAATTCGATCAAACGAGGATTGATGCCGTTGCATATACCTCCACACGTTAGAGACGGTCGCAGCCGAAGACTGAGCGAGCCCGTTGCAGCGGATGACTTTGGAAACTTCCAGTTCAAAAACCTCCCTGTTCTGGAGAAGGCAAACAAGGATGTCATTCAGAAGCTCCGTGCTGAAGCAATGCAAGCTCAGAGCAAGGTTGCTCAAGGTCTCATGTCTCCATCGCCAGTAGTCGTTTCGCCTTCTCCATCTGTCGAGTCAAGTCCAGTCGGACCCGCGCCTTTGAAACGTACACTATCATCGAACAAGGGCAACAACAGACCCGCTTCACCCTCACTTCTGAGCAAGTCAAATTCGTCTCCAAGCAGAAGCTCTCAGCCATCATCTCCTTTGTTGGTGTCCTTCAGTGCAGGAGGTCATCACGAACGTAGAAAAACATCGACCTCTTCATCTTTGGCTCAGCAAATCAACAGCTTGCATGGCAATAGCAATTTGCTGGATGCTCCAAACCTACCGGCTGGATTCAAATCTCTCTCTGCAGCTTCGTCACCAATCAAGATTCCCAAGAGTTTGCATGGACAACAAAGCTACATGCCAGAGAAGTCTTCACTACCGAATGGGAGAAGAGGTAGTGTGTCATCACCACGACAACGATCACACACAATCGGCTCTCAAGACGATGACATGCCACCAGGACCAATCTCTCAATACAAGCGAAGAAGCATGGCATTTGACGCCTCACCCTCATCTTCGGATAATGAAGACCAACGAGCAAAGGCTTTATTGCGAGTTCAACGCCGCAGGCAGAGCACCCGCAGACTCTCTCAAATTACATTAGCCGATGGACCTGCATTCCGTCCCCTGGACGTTTTGATTTGTGAGGACCATCCTGTATCACGTCTTGTCATGGAGAGACTACTTGAGAAGCTCCGCTGTCGCACGATATCTGTACAAGATGGTTCCGAAGCAATGCGTTATGCTATGAGTGAAGTCAAGTTCGACATCATCATGATGGAGTTCAAGTTGCCTCAGATCAATGGAGCAGACGTTGCACGCATGATTCGAGACACCAAAAATGCGAACTCGCACACTCCAATCGTAGCTGTTACCGGCTATCTCAAAGATTTACAAGCACCGCATTACTTTGATGCGTTGATCGAGAAACCTCCGGACACAGCCAAATTGACCGAGGTCATGAGCCGACTCTGCCAATGGAAGCCACCTCCACCAGGATGGACACCGGCACAGTTACCTATGATGCCATCCTCCAGTCTGCGTCGAGAATCGCCTCTGACAGAGGAGAGTCCAACAACGAGTTCGATATCTGGGTTTGGAATGCTCACCAATAGTTTCCGTGGGTCGAGCAGAGAAGATTCGATAGGATCGAGTTCGATACCCGAGACAGGCAGCCCGTATGACTCGATCCCTGTCATCATCAGTAGACACACAAATGATTGGCAAGAGTCTGAACTCGAGCGCCAATTTGGCGGACTGGGTATAAGTCCAGAGGAAGTGGTACATGCAAGGACGAAACCTCCGCCAGAGTCTAAGATGCCAGCGCTGGCGGAACAGATCTCTGCACCAGGAAAATTGGAGAGCCATCGTGAAGTATCACCTCGCAAGAAACGATCATCAGAATCGATAGAAGCTCGGAAGAAGTCTCTTGAAAAGGGCAGACATGAATGTGCAGAATCTGGAGACGATGAAGATGAAGAGCTAGGCAATGCTCAGATTCGAGCACGATCACCCAAGTCTAAGACACGAGGGGCATCGAAGCTAGGAACAGAGATGTTGCGCACAAACAGTCAGGGCAGTGTCGTGTCAAATGAGGAAGTTTTGGCAACGCAGAACCTCAAAGCTACGGCGTCACTTACAGGCAACGAGGAAGCGGCGATTGAAGAGGAGGGAGCTACGTTGACGCCGCCAGAGTTGTTCTTGCCGCAAGGTGTCAATGCCGTTGACACTGACAGGACGCCGCGACCACATTACACAAGTGACCCCGATCCTGACCCGACACCTCGAGCCTCTACATCGCCGACACGGAAGAATTGATTGCCAAGAAGTTTAAGAAGGTGGACAACACGATGTCATTATTGCTTAGGGCGTGTTTCTTTTATTTTTTTCATTTCTTGTTCCTTTTTTCTGCTTTCTCATGATACATGTCTTCAGCTCAGCCAGTCGTAATACCCCTCTTACGCATGATCTCTTCCTCCTGATTCCATTTTTGACGCCAAACTCCGTCGCTATGTGAACAAATCAATGTGTAACCGTAATACCAAAGACTCAGCGTCTGGGGGCCAGACCAGGCACGCCGCTGTATCTCTCCTCTCTCTCGGTCTTGAAGGTGACTTGAACCCAAAACTCCTTGTTGTCTTCGTCAAACCAAGTCCAGTACTTGCCCTCGGAGCGATCGATCTCGCGAGCCTGAAGCTTGAAGGCACATGTCTCGTAGGGCTCAGCAGCGACCAGCAAGTACTGGAACTGCTTGTCAGGCTCCTCAACTTTTTGCTCAAAAGCAGACATGAATCTGACTCTAGGTTGGACATCCTGCGAGATCTCAGGATACTGCAACTGGAACAACAGACCCAACTGCCTCGTCAACGGATCCCTAGTCTTTGTAATCTTGTAACCCGGTCTTCCAATCTTGACAACATTTCTCTTGACCTGAACCTGCGACAAGCCCGACAGATTCTGATCTCTGTCTTTGCCCAATTGTGCTTCTCTGGCAGCACGTCTAGCCAAATTGGTCTGATGCTTGCGTCCCTGAGTGTGTGCGAGATAGGAACCGTCGTTTTGGTGGACTGTCAAACAGAGGCGACATTCGAAACTGCCGACGTGGTTCTTGAAGATGTAGGGGTCTTTGTCTAGGTCGATTGTTTCCAGGGCGAGTTTGCGGAGGCGTTCGCGACGGTCGGCGTTTGTTGCGCTGGCGGAGGCTACACCACCACCGCCGAATTTGGAGCCTGCTCGGTTCTTGGAGGGAGTTAGTGGAGGACTAGAGATGTGGAGGAGGATAGCGACGTACTTGGTAATCCATGATTTGATGTAGGTTGGCTGTGAAGATGCGCGCGTAGCGCTAAGTCTGTCGCTTTTCAAGAACGAGACGGACCAGGTAAACGGATGAGGTCCAGCGATGGATCTGGCGTATAGTCCAGTGATGCGCGCTACGAAAAGGTTGATGTATGTTCTAATGGAGCGCGAAAATGATGAATGAATCTCGAGCTACATCGACGAGACCGACGCACGGGCCACAATACCATTGCACGGAGTTGAGGCTTCTCTGATAACCCAAACCTGTACCGACCATGACAACATTTATAAACTCTCATACATCCATGTCTACGTTATAAGTATGAAGCGCGTGTGATAACTTTTGTCTATCTTGTACCCTCAGCTTCGTATGATGGTGTGAGCGAGGCAGATTGTGCTGTGAGCCAACATCCAACCTCTCTTGTAGCGACGCATAGTAAGCACTGTAAGAATCAGATCGACACCTGTCTTGCTACGACAAGTGAATATATGTGAGCTGTTTGAAGTGGTGTCTTCCTTCGGTGATCACGCTATTCTACAAAGTGGTATGTATACAAATGGCTTTCAGCCACTCCTTCCTTTCATCCGTAGACTGCAACTCAGCTCAAGACGTTCCTTCTCAATCACTGTTCTCCACAGAACAGTTGAATGGTTGTTTACCATCACTCGCTCTTTCCCTCATTGAACTATAAGACATACGCTCCGATCCCACACTATCCTACCATCTTTCACATACGTTCAACCTTCACAACTATATAAACCTCCACTCTTCTCAATCAATACCTTACCTTTTTATCCTCGAGTCTCGACATACCCAACCACACTTCAATCCATCAGACACCATTTCAACCATGCCTCTCAAACAAAAGCAAATCGCCAGAGATTCTTCAGAGCCAATCTACTTCTACAGAACCAAAGAAAAACCCCACGGCATCTTCTCCCAATTCTACGAATGCACCTTCACAGACCCAAAATACCCTGACATCGAGTTCAAGTGCGCCGAACAGTACATGATGTACAACAAAGCCCAAACCTTCAACAGTCCTGACATCGCCGCTCAAATCCTCGCCACAACAGCTTCAAAAGCCCAAAAGGCCCTAGGCCGCAAAATCAAGGGCTTCAGCGATGCGATCTGGGACGCTGTCAAGTTTGGGATTGTGGAAAGGGGCAACTTGCTCAAGTTTGAACAGGATGAAGACTTCAAGAAGGTGTTGCTGGAGACTGGGGATAGATTGCTTGTTGAAGCTGCTCCTCAGGACAAGATCTGGGGTATTGGTCATACTGCGGCAGCTGCAAAGAAAGTCTCTCGTGAGATATGGGGTCAGAATCTTCTCGGAAAAGTCTTGATGAACGTCAGAGAGAAGATCAGAGCAAAGGAGGCTGGAGAAGATGAAGACGAGGAAGCTGAGGAGTCTGTCGAGGGGGTCACAGATGATGAGATTGACGAGCAGCCCGGAAGTGTTCAAGCTATCCCTGACTCCTCGACTATGAATAAAAAACGCAAGCACGACTGCATCATCAACGACGAAATCGACGAAACACTCAAGCCTACAAAGACCACTTCCAAGAAAGCTCGCATCAACACGAGCGGAGACGTGAACAAGGGACTGCACCAGATTCTCAAAAGAACCAAGGGGGAGCACGACGGGGACGAACAAACCACTGAAGATGACCTGCTTGACATGTTTACCAAGAAGGCAGCCGAGGACTCACTGATCAACGGCAGCAGATGATGATGATCTTCGACTTGACCGAAATAGCATCTCTTTTGCTTTCTTCATGATGACAATATCCACGACAACCTTCAAGCTACGACTTATGTTCTTTAGTTGACTTCTCAGACCCCATCTTGCCTCTCTCCATACCAGGCTACTCAGAAAACGATTTGGAGCATGCTGCATCGATCTTTCAATGCTTCTTTGACTTTTGAAGAACCAAAGAGTGCTTCAGGATGGCGTCATATCAGCACATTCGTTTAGTTTTGTATTGGCAAATTTAAGTCCTTTTACATCAAGTGTTTAGTGTTCCTGAATTTCTCATTCGTGATAAGAAACAATTGTAATAGCATTGTGGGCGAAAGCTATGCACAAGCAAACAATGAGCTTAGCGCGATAACAGCACATCCTCCGACCATGCTTCGAATCATCTTGACGGACAATGGCGGACGAATGCCTTTGCAGCTCCTTGAGGCGGCTTCGATTTGATTTGATGCCAGCTGTTTATACAGTCTGGTTTCGATCAGCCACAGAGACAGACATTTCCATAGCAGGAATCAAGGGACAACCGTCTATCCCGGACACTCGTTGCCTTCAGACATTCATCGAGTGTCCTTCTGATGTAATATGTTTTATCGACGACGCCTTCTTGAGTCTTAAGCCATCTCTCCAGCTTAGAGCTGAAGGCCTGTGAACTCTTCGATGTGTGGATTGCTGCTTTTGCGGCCCATTTATGGATCTTGTCCAGTAATCTTTTCAGATCTTGCTCGACAACATATCTCGGACATGGGCATTCGAACTCTGGGTCGTTGCACTTCAGCCGCCAACGCAACTTCATGAGCTCGCCGTTGTATCTGGACACAAGCCTCTTGGTGCGGTAGTCCTCGAACAATATTGTGCCCATTTGTACGAGAACGGAATAATCGAAGAATTTTCTCGACAGCTCGTAAATATTGATGGTCAATTTTACAGAGCTCAGTTTGCGTTCGTGCAGGACATTTTCCTGCAGCTCTTGTAGGTAGAGGATACCTTGATTGTTTCTGATTGTCGAGCTCATGTGAACCTCCACATGGAAAGAAGAGATTGAATAGAAGTAGGAGATTAGCCTTGAGCGAAGGGATGAGCAGACCATTAACAAGGGGTGTTGAGAGATGGCCATATTGTCAATTGAGGCGCCTTCAGGTACAACCTGAATTGTGTAGCGGCGCCGTTTGCGACGTTCTCTACAAGTGACGTGATCAAAGAACATCCACAGGAGTTCGAGAGGGAGGTCGAGAAGCGAGACAGTCTTTGGCTGTGGTTGGGTGGCTTTGATCTTCTCGGCAGCACGTTTCGTAGCCCATCTCCGTATCGTGTGATTATTAAACCGAGGACTGGGTGCGTAGTACAGTGGTGTCCAACAGGCTGAGGACAAAGTCAGAAAGATGCACCGATGTGAAGTTAGGCAACGGAGGCTTACTTAAAGCAGATCGAACCTTGAATCTATGCTTGGCCTTGCTGTGATGTTTGATCTTGGTTTTCTCTTTGGCCATAGCGAACGATGCAGCTGTAGACGGCAGAGTCGTGATTAGAGCGAGGGCAGTGTGTGTGCAGGATGATGGTGAGGCGGTCTGTTGGTAGCATCAAGCGCGCTGGCGATGTTGACGATGATGTGAACGGATGAGAAAGTTTGAGTGATGATGAAAGAAGATGAGTGCGGGCTTGCAAGCGAGAGTGATAGAAGTTCACAGGGCTAGCACAGTTGCATGGCAGGAGCTGCCAAATCGAGCGAGGAAAGTGCAAATTTCAGATTGAGTCTGTAGCTTCTGTTACCTCTTCACCTCGGCGTAGAGAAATGGACGAAGTATTGGATGAGCACAACCTTGAGGTTTGAATCGATGTTGGTGTGGGATCATTTGCTCCTTCTTCATAAGATCGAATCGCTTTTGAACAATTCAGTATAAGAACTTGTCTCACGATCATCCTGTCCAAGTATCGCGAGTGCTTATACCCGAGAACTTTGGTATTTGGTCAACACTTCAGCTCTGCAAAGAAGGAGGTGGCTTTGTGTTGTGAGACTGTTTCTGTGAACAGCCATTTCAAAAACCATCAAAGCTAGCAATCTTGTTGATTGGCAGTCTATCCTCCATTGTGTTTAGCCAAACCTAGAAGTATACAGTGAAGTGAACCACAGCTGCCTTTGTTTCGTCGACTTCACTCTCACTCAAAGTGCAACACAAATCACTGACACCATACGGATCATGACTAAAGAATCGACAGTCTTATAAATTTCCTCACACGACATCATTTTTACGACAACAACTTCACTATTCTTTGAATTCATACACAGTATGCATATCAATATCATCAAACACTGCATCAACAACAAACATGTCACACGCTCCGAGCACTGCCACCCTATGCTCACCCACCAAGCTTCCTTTACATCTTCCCAACGAGGTCCTTCAACGCATCGCACAGCTTACCAGCGACGAAGATCTTCCCGCTCTGCGCGCTACACCCAGAGTCTTTCGCGACGAGACCGAAGATCAATTTGCCCATGCCTTCTTCACCAACGTCTACTATCCTGCAACATTTGAAGGTCTTGAACGCCTCACCAAGATTGCCCAACATCCTCTTTTTTCGCAGAAAATTCACAATTATATTGGAACCACCAAGAAACCGCTGGTCAAGTACATCGAATATCAAATGAACGAAGATCTGAACCGCACAGCGAGTGCCATGCGGATAAGAAAGAAGAATTTGGGCGTGTTATCGGTCGATGACCGATCACAGCGTATTCAAAGTTCAATGGCAGTGCGCTACGCTGATTGCCTTGCATGGAAGATGCCTCAAAATTTCACTGTGGATGTGCAGTGCCCTACTGGTTCGCTGTCAGATGAAGGATCTATTTTTCAGTGTCTCAGTTACATGGAAAGGGGATTGAAACACTGCCCTTTCATCGTTCGCTTCCTGCATTCAGAGACAAGAAACTATCCTGTAGCTCAGGCTACCATTGGTATCAAACACATAGTGATCGCACACTCGCTTACACTGGATCGCACGACTATTTTGTTCCGATTCGGGCATTGGTTGGTGAGAATGCACTGGTTGAGATCGACGTTTCTCAATGGAAGATCCCAGGATCTGGCAGCCGTGACAGCCTGCAGCATATTGTGAGAAATCAATGTCATTTTCTGAGACGCTTGATCATCAGAGATGCCCATACCACCACTTCTTGGAAGCACAAAAAACTCATCAAAACCATCATGTCATGCCAACTTGACTTCTGTCATCTCAGCAACCTTTCAAGCTCTGGAGATGGCGTGGAGTTCAAAGGCACTTTCCAAGCTAGTGGAGTTGACGAGATCAAAGCTGGTCTGATGAATATGAAGTGGACAAGCACGTCTGAAGAAAAGATCGTCGAGGTTGCTTGATGTGGGAAGCCGGGCGAGTTGAGGAAGAGCGAAGTGAGGAAAGGACGAGCCAGTCAGCAGATCGAGAGAGAAGAGCTGCGAATGGATAGGGGAGTCGCATAACAGTTCGACAACCTAGCTCAGTAGATTACTTTTAAGCCAGCATCAAATGCACGATATCAATCGTTCGATGATTTTGTCCTTTGAGAGTCCTGCTACCACAAGCTCTCCTTGATGCTCACATGAGTATTGTGCATCGACAGGGGCTAGAGGTCAGACCATCTTTGATGCTGGAGACAGCTTCTCAGGGGTATCAAAATCTTAGCTTGACAAACTTCTCTTGGATCAGCATTGGAAGGCGCATCATCTTCAGCTCGAATTGTGTGCCCACTGAGATGCCTGATGACACAAGTCCTTCTCAAATCAAATTTATGACTGGCGAATACTCTGCATTCGATGCTACCTTCTTCTTGTTCTACCTACCTTGGCAATCCTCATCACGCACACGTTCGCTACCCATGCTTGATTCCGAAGAACGTGATCCAAGCATCTTGACCTTGGTAGCTTGGAATCATCGAAGTCGGAAGCTCGATGCACATAGTGCCGTTGCTGAAGAACCATGCATGCATGCATATTGTGTCTTGATCGTGACGTTTGCACACTAAAATTGTGATAAAACTTGAAGACGTCTGCTCTGGCACATTGAACTGCTTGATTAGACAATCAAAGTCAGGTTTTCCTTCCTCTACTTTGAGGAGAATTAATCCAGACTCCTGCAAAGTTTCGTTGCGCCAAAACATCCTGACCATACCTACGAAAAGGCACAGGAGCCGAGATGCGCATCTTGCCAGATCCCCAAAGCGCCATCGAACCCCTACGCTTTTGACCATCAGAGTCTGTGAACCAGGTTTGAAAAGCCCGGCCTGTAACCTGGGTAGACGGCGAAAATCTACAAATGGCGAGTGTGACGGAATGTCCTTGCCGTCCAATTGTCAGCTCGCCTTCAAAATATCCTTGCTGTCTAGGCCTTGTCGCTTCCCAGATATGCATGTGGTGATGACCATTGGTGCCTGGGTTATATGAGTATTTATACAGCAACCACGTTCCAGACAGATTTCCTCGATCCAGTGCCAAGTGCTTTGGAAACTTCTTAGAGTTGTTGCTTCTGAGCGTGCGTTTCATGCTGTCGATGTGAGATTGCAACTCATTCCAGTGCATCTTCGCCAGCGTCGACCAACGCCTGCTGTCCAATGCTTTGAGTGCCAGTCCATGATCAGCCACTGCGTCTTGCGTAGCATCTTGTACACCAACAGACATCGCCTGGTTAGCTTCATCTTCGTCTTCGGCAAGATCTTCTAAACTACTGTCCGATTCGTTGTCTGATGCGTAGTTTTCAAGTTGAGGATGCTTTGCAAGATATTTCTTATCTCGTCGGTTTGGCCTCCAATTCTTCGGACGTAGGCGAGGGTTCTGTAACAGGCATTCTTGATTTGTGTGGAGTGACATATTAGATGTTGAGTGATGAGGTACGCTGCAATACATTCTCGAAGCAGAATGCGAGTCTTCCCCGACTTGCGAGATGTCGCGTTTCGACGGTCGTTGTGGCGCTGTTGGTTTGGAGGGGTTGCTGTTCTTTTGCTCTTTTGATTGTCGATCGTGCTCAGCAATGGCGAAGTCAACAAGCTCTTCGAACGTAAGAGCCGATCCTTCGTCCAACGCCAGAACATTGCGATCCTTCAACAACGCATTGCGCCACTCGTTATACTCAGGGTCGAAGGCATCAAGGAATGCCATCTTCAAGAAGGTTTCCGGAAGACGCTGCTCCGTATTGTGACCGACCAAGTGATTGTAACGATTGAAAGCATCTTGAAGCTGATCGGCAATCATTCTAGGTGAGGTATCCAGTTCGTATCCTACCATAAGATCTTCACTAAACAGCTTGAATATCTGTTGGCTGTCGGAGACGCGATATTTCGACTTGAGGTTGAGGTAAGTGTGATGTGCGTTCAAGCCTTCAAATTCACCAAAGTCGATATCCGAGGCGCTGCGCATAGCCTTCAGTAAGCTTTCGTTGCGAGCGCGCCAGATCGCAGTGCGTCTGATGTTGTCATTCCATTCCGCGATGGTACTTTGTGTTTCGTCTAGTGGCGATGGATGCTTCGATTCACCATTGAGGACAGCGTCAGTGCCTGCCATCAAGGCAGCGTGTTGCAATGCATCACTCCATTGCTGCCAGTCAGCTTCACCTTGTAGCTTGGGCAAGGCATCATGGTATCTCTCATGAACACAGCTGACCTTTGCTAGTTTTTTCACAGAAGGGTCAGAGAGCGTGAGACGACCATTCATGGCTGCGACGCGTGTGCTAATTTGTGTGGAGAGAAAGACGTTGATATGCTCGGGGTGTTGATGTGCCGAAAGCGCGAGACGCAGCGCAAGCAACGCCAAGCAATTTGCTCACTCTTCGCTCCACATAGAGATGATTGCTAGATGTTAATTGTTGAACATCAAAGAGTTATTTCTAGTCAAGGGTCGTCCGCTGAAAGTCGATTGAACGTATCACTCTCAGTGGATACTGCAGAGATATGATTAGGTCTGTGCATCTTGACAATCAAATTTTGGTAGACCATCTCAGCTGTAGACACGCTTCGACCATTCTATACATCAAGCACAACTATTATGAATGATTTGTGCAAAGTACTCTATCTGATACAAGTCACGACAACCTCACCTCTTGCTCATTTCCTTGTTGGGGGGTTTTTTATTTCGCATAGCGCAGGATCTCGACCCAAATTTCCTCGTCAAACAATAATCATCGACATACCATCTGACAAGAAACGTAAGACCGAAGAGGAATTTCCGACCAACGAACCTCAAACCTCCTCGAATCCAACCATATCGACTCCGACGAATGCTTTCATTGTCTTCAGTCTGATTGGCGACGTGCACAGTGGATACAAGCAAAAAAAAGCCAGGCATACACAACGGCCGCGACATTGCAAACTCAGCAGCTCACAAATGTTACAACAAGAAATGAGGAAAAGTGTCTATCCCAGAACAACTAGAGCCAGAGCACGAGGACCTGCGTGAGGGAGAATATTGTTGGCTCGAGTAATACGAAGACCCGGAAAAGACTATGAAGGATGCGCTTTCAAATGTTCGCTTACGCCATGATGGGGGCCTGCGGCTCGGTGGGCGTGATGAAAGAGAAAATATCATTGTTGTCTGGGTTGAAAGGCGTGAACTTAACCTATCCACCATATCGTGAGATGACCAACAAGGTCAATGGACCTGATCAGGAAGTTGACTGGAGGATTACAGAGGTCGTGAAATGCTTCCTTCTGTTTCCAGCCACCCCTTGCTGGAGACACGCTTTCTATACATCAATCACGATCTTTACGAAGGGGTTGCACAACGTGTTCCGTCCGAATGAAGCCACTGCTGCCTCACCTGATCTTGCCCATCCCTTTGTTGTTGACATATAGTGATAAAGTGTCCAACTCACTGCGCTTTTCTTTCAGAGACTAAAATCGCCAACATGCCATCGACTAGGAAACGCAAGGCCATCGACGAACCCCCGACTAAGGAGAAGCCAAAAGCCGCCACATCTTCTCAGCCTCGATCAACAAACTCCACCAAGCCAACTCCACAATACATCTATGTTTTACAAAGCCTAGACGTACATCCTGGTCGTCGCACATCCGAACAAGACCTACTTGGTGTCTACACCGATCCCAAAACTGCAAATGCAGCAGCCCATGACTGGTACAATAATAATCCAGCCTGGCTACGGCGATTGACCATACCAGAACATCCCACGCCAGAACATGAGAGTCTACGAGATGGCAGATACCGCGATATGCCACACGGCGAAGGAGTCGACGATGATTCAAACGACAGAATTGCACAAGTGCGTTTACGCCATGACGATGGTCTTCGCTTTGGTACATGCAATCAGTTAGGCAAGATCTCTGTTGTTTGGGTAGAGAGAAGGCAGCTCAACCCACTCACAATACCAGCGTCCACACGACCGAGAAAACCTGAAATAACCTACCTGCCAGATGGTGGAATGGCGATAGACGTCACCGAATACTATCATTCAAATCGATAGAACGAGTAAACTCACCTTTCAACAAAGCTTTGGTCTTGGTCAGAGGTGTGAAGGTGTTGCAATTGCAGGCAATCAGACTTAACAACACACGTGCAGGAAGTTTGAGGTCATCGTTGAGCGCTTATTCGAGGGTTGTTCTAGTAATCTTGGTAATGCTGCTGGTTGCACGGATGCTTATATCAACCTCAGCCTGTGCTGGGAGAAAAGAGATTCTATGGATTGAATGATGGACTACAGATTACATTTTCCTCCTTGACCCACGTCTTCCTCTCAAGGTTCTCTGCTGTGCAGTGATCATGTGGGTCACTATAGTCTCATGTCTCAAGCAAGATGACTGAATCTAGTTGAACAAGCGATTGTATTATCCTCGAATAATCACCTAGCCATGAGCCGATTGGCTTCTTCCAGCAATGTAGTCAACTCAACCCGTTGAGTCAACCAAGAAGAAACACCTTTTACCTTTGAATCAAAACCAAGAATCCAGCATTAAGCCACCCAATTGAAACCATTTAACAGAGAATGCAGTCATCTGAACCGAGACCGGAGCAGTCTGCGTAAACACCAAGAGCATGCGGTGGGAGACGTGGTGCATGTAGAGCGTGAGAGTGGGCGTAGAAATCATCAGTGGCATGAGAAAATGAATGTAGTTGAACTGTATCTTTCGACCAAGACCATGTCAGAGAGTGTCATGTCCAGCGATTATCTGAACATTGGTCTGTGACAACCGTTGCTCACTCCGGTACGGTGAGCTGGAAGTCCTTGTACTCGTCATCTTCATCATAAAGGATCGAGAGTTTGTTCATGGGCTCGACAGGAGGTTCGTCGACTTCCATGAGGGCATTACGTTCGCGGATCAGCTCTTCGACCTCGGCATCGTCGGCCATTAGATTCTCCAGTACAGTTCTGGTCTTCTTCTCGGTGGGGGCAACAGGCTTGTCGTGGAGAGTAGAAAGTGGGCGTCTCGAGACAGCAGAAACGGCACGGCCTCTAGCATAGCCCAGAGTGTTACGCGAAGCGGCAGTAGCATTGGCATGACGAGCTGATGATGCAGTGGGAGCAGTCAGAGAAGAGGTAGGCTTGCGAGGCTGAGAGTGAACAGCAGTAGTCGTACGTAAGCGAGCAGCGGCGGTTGCAGTGGGTGCGGCAAAGCGAGGACCAAGTGTAGTGGTCGAAGATGACCTTGACAAAGCACTGGCAGCACGTCGGGCTGACAAGCTGGACGGAGCTCTGGACTGCTGCTCCTTCTCCTCGAAGGCCTTGCGAACCTTTGTGAGGTCGAGACTGAGGAAGTCATCGGCTTCCAGAGCGCGGCGGATGACATCTTGCTGAATCTTATCGGTACGAGCCATCATTTCGCGATTCTTGCGTTCAGATGGACGCACGCCGTGCTCATCAGGGGCGTTCTCAAAGGCGCCCCAATAGCCTTTGGTAGCATACTCGGGAGATAAGATTGAGTAGTCACGTTCGTGAATTGTGTCTGGATGGTCAGGTAGGGCTGGGAGAAGTCAGTGGGTGTCACAGAGAGAGATATAAGGAGGCACTCACGAATAGATCTGGGGGGCATATACTCAATGTCTGGAACACCATCATCTTGCTCCTGCTGGACAGGTTCGGCCTGGTGAATCTTGACCTTCTGCCTGCGCAGTCGAGGGCTGAGGGTCTTCTGAGCAGATGCTTTGATGGTCAAGGGAGCCGGAGTCTTTGCCTTGGCATTGGTCGTCTTCATGCCCAGGGGAGCGCGATTGCGTGGGCCTGCAGGGGTGATGAAGGCATTAGGATCCAGATTGGCCTTCTTTGTCGTCTTTGTTGTCTTGAAACCAGATTGGAAAGCGTCGTTTTCGTCATTTTGATTGCGGCGGAAGGGCGTCTTGGGAGCCTTGTTGGCGGGAGTTTTTGCCTGTTGATTCAATGGTTTGGCAGCAGCAGCAGCTTGATGGGCATAGGCCAAATTCTCCTGATCAGCGCGTGCGGCGAACATGGTGGTCGGTTGTCGTATAGTCTCAGTACATGCAGGTGGAGAAAAGTCGAGAGGGTTCCGGGCAGTGCGTCAGGCAGTAAATGTAGTCCGAGTGGTTGTCAAGTGCGTCTTTGTTTACGGTCGCTCTGACAGTCGCATGACTGGGAATTAGATGAGCAATTGCGACCGTGTCGAGTTGCGACAGCCGTGACAGGAGAGGCTGCTACGAACTATTGTCCTAACCACGGTTGCAGAAGGGAGGCCGTAAATGCTCTTGCTGGCCTTCTGTTGACGGCTCTGGGTCGACGCGGCAACGCAGCTGTCACGGACCAGCGAGTCGCCTCGGCTTGGCGGGTTGAGCTCGGAGGTCGGGCTTGTTTGTGGCAGCCTCCGTGTGGTGGTGGTCCAAACGTCTCCTTGGTCTCTAACACACCAAACTTCGAGAGCTGCCCCTGAACTTCTACTCTATACACATAATACTGCAACCGATCAAGTCCGCCTTCTCGATCTCTGTCCTCATTCCACTCAGCTTCAGCTCTCAAGCGTCTTTAATCTTCTCCCACAACCCACTAATCACAACAAACACACAAGATGGATGCCATCAAGCAGGTGCGTGTCATCAACAAAAGCTCCAACACCTTCACTCCGCATGCCACATCTACATGATGAAAACCAACGATTCCCCTTAATACACCACAAGGTGCATGATTCGAAATCGTCCAAAATACAGTCTATATCTGATCTCCCTGTCGCTGCCGCCATTTCCAGTTACCCCTCACATGCCCCACCGCTTCTTCACCCAAGCTGACATGTGTCCCAACAACAGCGCATGAACGCCCTCCGCCTCGAGGCCGACGAGTCCGCCGCCAAGAACGAGGAGCTTAAGGCAAAGGTCAAGTCGCTTGAGCAGGAGAACCTCGCCAAGGAGCAAGAGATCACCTCGTTGAAGCACAAGAACCAACTCCTCGAGAGCGAGCTGGAGAAGATTGAGTCTGGTCTCAAGGACGCAAAGGCCGCCGCCGACGAGAGCGCTCAGCACGGTACCCAGAACGAGAGCTTGCAGAGAAGACTGCAGCTCCTCGAGGAGGAGGCTGAGGAGGCCGACAGAAACTTGAGAGAGACCAACGACAAGTACGTTTGCACGTCTAAAATGCGATGCAATCCTCTTACTGACATGCTGCTTGCAGGCTCCGCCAGACCGACGTCAAGGCCGGCCACTACGAGCGCAAGGTGCAAGCCCTGGAGGCCGCCCGCGACCAATGGGAGGCCAAGTACGAGGAGATGGCCCAGAAGTACAATGCCACCAAGAAGGAGCTCGACGACTTCGTTGCCGAGATTGGCAACATCTAAGCTCACCTCTTCTCTTCACCTTTGCATCCGTTCGCCACGGCCTCTTTCTCGTATCTCCCGTCGCCTTTTTCCATCGACGTTTCTTCATCTTGGGTTGTTAGCATGGGCGTCATCACCGCTACGTAGAGAATGAGAGCATTCTCCGAGCGTTTTTTCTGAACTTGTTACTTTTCAAAGAAATCATCATCTCCCTCACACATGATACCACCACTTTGCCGATCAAATGGAAGCTTCCTCTTTGACATGAGAAAAACGAAATACTTATTTGGGTATCATGCGTGCTCTTGAAACGAAACGGATGCATCCATCACTTCCCCGTTCTAGCCTTCTTCGCAGCGGCATTCTTTGCCTTTTGCTTGACTCGAGCCTCTTTTCTCTCGCCCTTGCTCTCATATCTGAACTTCTTCTTCTTGGGCTTGCTCTTGGGATCCACCTTCTTTCCTTTTGACCAGACCGTCTTCTTCTTGACCACGTTGCCGTCCTTGCCATCAGCGTCGTCTTTCACCACAGTAGTCTGCTCCTCATCGTCTGAATCTTGCGTGAAAGCTTTTGCGTCTTCCATGGCTTCGATGGTGACTGTCGTGTACTTGTCCTCATCAACATACTCGTCCACACCGTCAATGGACGGTCTCGGCGGTGAAGCAATGCCATCCCACTCTTCTTCTTCGTCTTCTGCGGCAGATGGCTCGTCGTCCGAATCTTTGTTGGCTTTCCTGAGCAGGTCATTTACTTCGGCGACATGGCGTTCTAGGTCCACTTTTCTCTGATCGCGCAACTAGTATCCCTGATATTAGCATCTTAAAGTAGCAAGTATGTATTACAATGTCGCATACCTCTTTCCTCGCCTTGACCTTCTCTTCTTTTTCAATCTTGGCAGACTGTTCTTGGGCGTGCTTGATGCGCTGTTGCTTTCTCTTGCGGAAACCCGTGAGCCATTCGTCGCGCGCCTCAGGGTCAAATTTCAGCTCTTCGACTTGAGTGGTTGTCTTGCGGCGTTTTGCTGGTGGTGCACGAGGTGGTTGTCGTGGTGCCATGGTGAATTTTTCTTATCTCGAGAGGGTTTTTAGGCGGATGCGACGTGTATTTGTTGAGGGCGAATGTAGGCGACTTGTATGGTTTGGTCTCTGAAAAAATTATGTGCTGTTGTCTAGAAAGAGTTGCTTGGGTGTTGTTGCATAGCAGAGCAAGAATCAATTGTTGCAGAGACCAAAAAATCAGCGCCCGTGCGCAACAACGATGATGATCCCTGGACGTTTGTTGCCGAACCTCACATCCTTGTCGACCATAACATATCATTGCTTCTCTGGTCGCCGTAGCCAATGTCGACTGCCATGTTGGCAGAACTATCCCAGAGAATTGGTTTCCTCGCGAAGAAGCGATATGTCTCGATCACATCAAGGCTTTTTTCTTTCTCTTGATATAGTTTGAAGAGTAGCTTGTCGAAGGACCCAATCAAACGGAGACAGCAGCTGGATGCAGTCAATCTTCGTAGGCGCACAGATTTGGAATGGCACGAGAAGGAGGTTGCCCGGAAAAATTCTTGCTGGCGTCGTCTCTGTCAAAACGATCCCGAGCAGAAAGAGCGAAGGAACAAAAGGGCCAAAGAAAGATATCACACTGAATCAGGTTTCAAGTTGTCACAATACTTGAGACTCTGGTTGAGAGCCCATATTTGGGTGCGTGAAGAGCTGCCCTGGAAAACCCACCGTCCTGTGCTGTATACGAGCCCCGTTCGGCATCGGTGTGAGGTATGTGGCCTCATGAAACTCAGTGGCGTGCATCTGGTTTGGCGATCCATAGCCCAGCCGGATTCGTACAGCTGTCACAAATGTTATGTCAAACAAGGCGTTGAGGCCTTCATACCAAAAGGATACGAAGATATTCGTCGTTTCAAGGACCTTGTTGCACGAAAGAAGCAACTGGAGAGACCGGAATCTGATGAAGCTAGAGCTTAAAGCACTGCTGACAGTGAAAGGTCAATATAAGAACCACCGCGCTCACTGGTCACATTTGTAAGAAAGAGGGACCAGAGATCGTTCTTGGTTCAACAGAGGCATGGCTGTCCTGGAACACGACCCTCCATCAACAGTCTCACAAGCCAGCCGAGGACCTCACTGCACGTTCTTCTTCAGCCGCCAGTCCAAGGGACCAACAGAACCAATGAAAAAAAAAATTCCTCCTTGAGACTCAACAGGTGCCACCCAGTCAAGTCCCTTATGGCTCATCAGCCATGCCTGCCTTGCATTCTCAGTCCATCTCTTCGGGCTACCCCAGACGTGTCCGCCTGGCTCCCATCTGAAACTCATCAGCTTCATTGTAGTGCCAACTACCTACCTCCTCTTGGGGCCTCGGATGTGTCCGCCCGGCTCCCACTCACGTGCTCGTCAGCTCTTTGCCTGCATCGCATACCGCTGGTGATGATCCTCCTCTTCGGGTTAAATCAGATGCGTCCATCTGCCTCCGCTCCAAGGCTGAAAAGCCTGCCTGCATCGCATTACATCAGCTTGATTTGGCTTCACCCTGAGGCTACTGGTCCGACACACCACGAAGAGGTACAAGCTGATTGTGCCGGTACCTAGAGGACGTTAGCAAGAACAGGACTGGGCTACACTTACATGGGAGTCAGTGTTGTGGAGAGCACGACATGCGATGGGAAGAGAAGAAGAACTGGAGCTGGAGCTGGAAGCTACTTTTGTATCTGCTCAGGAGGGCTCGAAATCACCAATCCTGCTTACTCATCCTGGAGCTGGTCGAGCAAGATCAGTCAGCAGGAATTCTGGCACCTATTTGCTAAAATCTACAGTTCCCTAAAGCTTATGAGGCCTGCTGCCTATATCGGCCACACCCGACAAATCAGCGACGAGGATCTGAGAATATTTGCTCAGAGCACGATCCTCACCCAAAGCGAACGAATAGATTCAGAGGATCACAGAACATCACACGGCGGATTACTGAGTATTTCGCTGACTGTGATCTCGACATAAAAGGCTTGGTCGAAAGCTCTTTCGAAAACTGCACGGATCTTGACTTTATACACTACACACCAGCGATTCACCGATTTTCTAGCCAACATGAACTTCTTTGATCTTCCTTTGGAGATTCGAGTCATGGTATATGAAAACATTCTGCAAGAGGAGCACCACTTCTTCCGCGACGGCGTACCAGGTCTACTAAAAACTCGTCTCCAAATCACCCAAGAAGTGTACTCGCTCTGCAAAATCACCGCAACAGTCAGATCCGAGGTTGCACCACTATACATGATCGATCTGCTAGATATCGAGACAAGAGTTGCCAAATTCAAATCTCGACAAGGCAACAAAGGCATCGTCGTACGCTTGCTTTGCAGACCGGAGCTCCCAAGCGACTTCATGACATCCATGGAGCACGACATATTGACCAAAGCCATGGGTATCAATACGACCATCGTTTACACTCGTGGCGACGCATACGCCATACACGTACAAGGCTTTTCAAGGTTCTTAAGATATCCGCAAATACCTTCGGTCTCGTGGTCAGCCATGACCGAAAGGTTGAGTACGTGGATACGTATTCAGAACAGCACAGGACTCTTGGAATCCAAAACCGCGTTCTGTGACATTCTGGTAGAGAAGTGTCTGCGCATCACTCAAAGCGGTGGCTCTTAAGTACCAACACCAATCTTTAGTGTATGTAGCATTGAAAACAACTCTCTGGAATACTTATCGCTTAACAAGTAGTAGAAATCGTGCCTGTATCTGCATTTTTAATAGACTAGTACACATGTTTGCATGCTGTCTAGCTTGTCTGATTTGTTTCAATCAGACTCAGGGATTGCGACAAACCATCAGAAAGCTTAGGTAGTCCTTGGACAAAGCCTGCAACATTCTGCCCGTCTCGAAAAGCTGCCTAAATCAGGAGAGACTTTCGCTTTCACACATCGCGCCACGGAACACGAAAGAGCACGCCGGAAAGTCGCTATCACATTTTCCACATCAATGCGCAGAGCAAGCAAATCATAACAAAATCATCAACTCGACAACATTACACTCTTTACAACCAGATACCACGACTTTCCTGCTTTTTAGATCTTGGTGTGCTCACGCCGGGTTCAATACACCATGGCAGCCAACTACATTGCTTCTGCTGAGCAGACTATGATACTCGTCCGCCGCATTGCAGCCCACCTCGCCGTCGAGCCCAACCTTCCTGCCCCTGAAGATCTCACTCGTGGTGAAGTCGACGCTTGGATCAGAGCATTGAACACTGGAATTCACAGCCGAGTCATCGACTTGCTCGCCTTGCCTGTACTGGAATGTCTGCTTTACATGCGGTAAGTTTTTGATATCAACAATTTATGTTTTGTGTGATGACTGATTGATTATTAGTGGCAGAAATCTTGGCTCCAAGACCAAGCATCTGAGACGTGCACCCTCAGAAAGGTTTAGGCCTGTGGTTGTTAACCCCTGGGTCCGTGAGGATGTGACTTTGAACCGCGAACATCTCCCCTGGATTCCGGGTGACCGTCTTGTCGAGACTTTTGAGAGCAACGATAATGTAGAGGATGTTGTGGAAACAGAGGGGCAGGTTGCTATCGTACATCAAGGCGATGATATGGAAGAAGACTCCACCATCCCTGAGGGTCAAGGCACTCAGCTCGAAAATCCTCAGCTTGCAGTCTCTCAGCTCGATGATACCCAACCCGATGATACTCAACAAAACGCCGATGAAGACGACAGTGCCGACGGCGACACTCAGCTCGCAAACACACAGCTCAATGACACTGAACAGCAAATTCAAGACGACTCTGCGCTATCTGCGCTACCATCTATCGAGCAGACAGTTGCCGAGGAAGATCCTGCGCTACAAAACACCGAGCAGAGTGTTATCGAGACAGATCCTGATCCGCTACACGAGACCAAAGGGGTCAAGAGCAACTACAACACAAGATCAAAAGCCGTGCCGAACGCAGATGTTCCCATGGAAGACGCGCCCGAGCAGTACGACCCAAGTCGAGAGTATCCCGGTCGAATCTATTGCATTTGCAATGACACGGTTGGTGGCACCATGGTTCTATGTGAGAACCACAGAGACAACGACGTAAGTTATCTTCACGTGCAATGCTATCTTTCCTGGTTTGTTTACTGACCGTTAGTCATCAGTGCAAGGGAAAGTGGTTCCATCTCAGATGCGCTGGCCTGCACAGAAGCCCGGCGAAAAATGTGCGCTGGTACTGTATGGACTGTCGCAAGAAACTTGGTCGCGGCCTTCTCCACAACGGAGTCGTTAGATGAGAAAGCGATGAAAGAGCTGAGGTCACTGTTTAGCACTCGTCAGCCTGCTAGAACAAACATGAGACATGATCAGAGCCGAGGAATCGACAGACCGAAGAAGCATAGTTGTCGCGATGGCAGTGTGTTTGCTTCACGAGGAAGAAAAGATGGAAGATCCATGCTGAGAAGACGATAGTTGAGTGTGGGGGCCGTCGTGATGAGACCGAACAGCTGAGCGGCAGGAGCATTCCAGACCTCTTTTGTATCATAGAGAATGTGATAAGATAAGATCGAAACCCGAGAATGACAAGTCGCACTCTCCGTTCAACAAACGGTATCCTGACATGAATTTTTGACTACCTGAACATGATTGTACGATGCAGCTGAAGTGCTTTCACATGCTTCTTGATCTTAGAATCTAATCTCCGCGTCCAAACTCCGAAACACTTCCATCTTTTTTCCTCCTCTCTCCACATCTTCACAGCCCAGACCCATCGTCACTGCAACCCACCAGATCAACTTACCAACAATTACTGTCGCATTCACACCACCACTTCCTTTGGAGCCGAACTCCATCACACGAACGCGATTAAGAACAAAACACCCAGCAACAGAAAATGAAGCTCCTCACCCTCAACTTCCTCACCTGCGCCCGCAAGGCCTGCAAACAAGAACCCTCTGCCTTTCCCCTGCACCCCCGTGACGCAGAGCTCGAGCGCGTGGAAATGGAGATGAACCCCGAGTTCTTGGTCAACGTATTGCCGCGTCTAGAGTGGAAGGCAATCAGGAGTCTGGGCGAAGAGGTAAGGCTGCTCCCAATCTCAATTCTCCCCTCGTACAAGGACAAGAATGCTGATCAAGAGGATAGCTCGGTCTTCCCACCCTCCCTGAACTAGCACCAGAAGAATCAGACCTTATGGACGAAACGACAAAGGAACCTACACAAACACTCAAAGATCTACACGAGCTGCTCGTGGAAACGAGTGTGAGTAATGGAAAATTGGTGTGTGGGCATTGTGGACACGAGTATGCTGTCAAAGAAGGCATTGCCAATTTCTTGCTGCCGAGTCACTTGGTCTAAGGAACCTGGAGAAGCAAGTGGGTCACAAAGGTCACCAGGAAGAGATTTGGTAGCAAGAGTATGGCGCTGCTATGCATATGAGAGACTTGGGGGCTGAAATCTTGGAGCGGGCATAGCATGGAGCGGATGGAGGTCCTAAGCGGACATGGCTGCGGACAGGCGCGCGAGTGTATGCCGTGAGGTCGCCAAGGGCACGAGACATGGGAAGGTGCGGCAGTTCCACAGCCACTCAAGAAGGAGATATCAAGCCTTCAGAACCTGCACGCATCGAGCGTCAGTGCGAAGGATGATGGGAACATGACTATGGGAATCAATCGCAAAAAGAGCCTCGTGTTTCAGAGAGGCCTACAAACAGGTCATCCACCTGGCATTGCCCGAATCCTTGCGCCGTCGCTAGAAGAAAGAACGCAATAACCGTGTAAAACACTATCCCACCACAAACCCAAACGCCACTCCTTACTTGATATGAACATCGATACAATCCATGTCCGAGATATCGGTATCTTTGACAAGCCCTTCTGGCGGCTCCAACCTTTCACCATCGAATTCAAGATGAACAAGCCGCGCATCATCGAGCTTGAAACTTCGCCGTGCTGCATTGATCATCTTCACAAATGTCGTACTCTGCAAGCGAAAAGTAAGTAAACGTTCACGAAATGTATATTCGTTGTAGATCGAGGGCATAAAACATACCGGCCGCACTTTGATCTTGATGTCCGAGTGACCTTTTGCTTTCAGCGTGACCTTGATCAGAGGTTCCTCGACAACTGCTTCACCGTCAACAGCGGGTGTGCCTTCCGTGCTGGCTCCCCTACCGTTCGCAGCTGCAGCATTGCTTAGGTACTTGTTTGGCTTTGGCGGATCCTTCGCAGCCTTTTTGTCCTTCAGTTCTTGCCATGCTTCATCTGTTACAGCCTCGATATGGATCTTCTCGGCGTGCTCGTTGTCGGTGTTGGCGAAAGGTCCATCAGCCATAATACGGCCATAGGAGTCCACCTTGATTCCCAGACTGCGGACGGTAGTCACATCGTACACTCTTCGTAATTTGTGTACGAAGAACACGCGGCTGGCAATCGTGGGGTCCAGTGACTGCTTGCTCAGCCAAGCCTCTCGCACAGCCTGAAGGTTTTGTGATAGTTTTCGAGAAACGATAAGAGGTCCAGTGCCAGGTAATGGCGAGGTGATGAGCAGTTTGACAGTTGGATCATGAACACCATTCTCGTTCCGCTCTCGCTCCTCTTGCCGTCGTTTCTCGCGAGCTTTACGGGCATATTCGCGGATGTCCGGATCCGAGTAGTACACGGCGTCCTCGTCCTCGTCTGGGTCTGCCTCTGCTGCAGGTGTAGGTTCAAGACTGTTAACGTTCGAGCGGACCTCATCGTTCGAGGCATTGTTGTGGCTCACAGGCGCATCGTCGTCCGAGTCGTCCAGCAGCTCTATTACCGTCTCTTGTCGCGGTCGTGATTTTTGTGGTGTAGGAGCTGTCGCAAAGTTTTCTGATCCAGCAGGTGCTTGTACCGACGTCTCTCTTTCTGATGCCTTGGGTTTGATCTTGGTAGGAAGCTCAGAGCCATCCTCATCACTTATGCGCCGGCGCTTGCCCGCTCGTGATTCCTCCTCTTTTGTTTCGCTGTTCTGACTTCGCCTTAGAAGATCCTTGTCGCTTTTCTTTCTTTGACGTTGGCGTTGACGATCCTCGACAAGCTCGCTGAATGTATGCGAATGGCTGAAAATGTCTGTCGGCTCTTCTGGCTTCGCAGTCGGGTCTGGAGAGGCTGAAGCAGCGGTGGGTGTAGCCGCCGCCCACGTTGGGCGTTTGAACAGCGATCGCTTTGGTTTTCCGTCGGCCATGTGTATGAGCCGAGTCTTTGTCGTGTCTGGTGTAAGAATTGATTGGCATACGCCGCCACGATCGACGACGACGACTCGAGCGTCTTGACCAAAAAGTGACGGAAGCGCGTTGTTGCTTGACTGCGGGGTTGTCGTTGCCTTTTTGAGCTTGACATGTTTCGAGAACTTCGACGTTTCACTTTCCACTCTTCTTGATTGCCCCTTCCTCTGTTGCGTCTCGCAAGGTTCATGCTCATTACTTCATTCTACTCGTGTCTCAAATCTAAGCATCAAATCTATCATCTATGCCCCTCCCTTTTCTCCACCGTTGGCTTCTTGCTCCATCCTGACGATGAACTTCGATTTCAGTCGGATCAGATGACCGTACTTGTAGAACACAAACGGAATAGGGATGATGAGGACTTCCAAGAGTCCCAACAGTGTTCCTTGCCAGTGTGGTCCGAGAGCATTCCACATGGCAGGACCAGCTAACGGCAGCGTACCGCCTGCAATAGTGCGAGTCAACACGTTACCAGCCATGGCCGACGCTGCATACATCCCATAACTGCGTCCGATGTAGTTGGATCCATAGATGAAGGTTGCTGTTGTACCTGCTCCAAATGGCACGCCAGACAGGATGGGCCAAATGAAATGCACATTCGGTGTACAGGTCCAGGCGAACATCAAGCCGCCAATCGGCACCAGGATCGCGCCGATGCATACGACGAACACTGGCGACTCAGGAGTCGGCTTACCATTGGAATCTAGCTTCCTTCGTTGAATCATCCTCCTAAGGAGTGGTTCGCAAACGATGATCAACAAATTTCCCAGACCAATACCAAGGTATGAGAGTCCAGTGTGGCCAATCGACCATCCACGGAGTCCCACAAATACTCTTGGGTAGATGACGAAGGTCAGATCTGCTCACTGTTTAGTATTTCTTGATGTCATCGGCACTAAACTGTACTTACAATTCATCGCATAGACGATCAAGAAGTACAGATCCCAAAACCAGAGGATAGGCTCAGAGGCAGTGAGATAAATGGGTCTCCAAAGCGATGCTCTAAGTAGAGGCCAGAATGGTCGCTTCTCATCATGCTTACTCCACCACTGATTGTCACCGGTTTGCTTTCTCGTCTTCTCCGCACGACGCCTGAGAAGAGCTGGACCGTATGTTTCTGGCACCGTTGCCATCAACAGAAAAGATACTCCAGCCAAAATCAAGGTGATCCAGTGAATCCACCGCCATCCTAGGTTGTCAAATACGAAGCCACCGATAAGCGGACCGAGGACGGGCCCATTCATCAAGCCTGCACACCAGACACTGAAGGTCAAAGCCCTGTGCTTGTCTGTTGAGACATCGTTGATTGTTCCGGGCGAGTTCGATACGACCGAGCAACCGACCATTGCAGCGAAGAAACGGCATACGATTACAGTCGATACGTTTTTCGCAATGGCGCAAGGGAAGATGAAGAACATGAACGCGAATAATGTCGAGATATAAACCGGACGACGGCCAAACATTTCCTGAGCAAGCATTAGATTTGCTGGAGCTAAAATTTAGAATCTCTACTTACGCTTAGCGGAGCCCAGATCATGCTTCCAGCAGCCATACCGAAGAGGTATGTTGTCAAGCCGAGAAGGGATATCGTTGAGTTAGGCACGGCAAACTCGACAGTCATGCCGTGTGCGCCTGAAATGCCTGAAGTATATGCGGACGAGTATAAGACACTATCCGGTGTGTTAGTGCCGGCCATGATCATCGCTGCCGAGAGACTTACGTTGTGCAACTTGCAATTGTGCACGCGAAGATAGTGTGCGTCTTCCTCCAAACTGACCAATTCTTAGGATTCTCGATATCGTTCTCTTCCCATTTGATCTCGTAGTCCGGATCGAAGCATTCCGAGTGCGACTGTAGTGGAGGTGGGATGCTTCTGGAAGCGGTAGGCTCGAGATCTGCGAATGCTACAGTGTGATCATCCCGCCCGTCAACACTACCCTCTGCGTGGACGCAATCGAGCGAAGTATGCGAAGAGCTTGCTGAACTCCAGGTGATCTCGTGCACCTCCTTCACATCGGTCTCATATGGTTCCGTCGCTGATTGCAACTTCTGTGATGGCTCCATCTTATCGGTGTATACACAAGCTTCAGGTTGCTTTCTGTCCCTTAGCAGGGCGATAGGATACTCGAACAGAATATAAGACAAGGATATGAGGCTCGCGAAAATGAGTTGTGAGTGGTTATAGACAGTATATCATACTCTTGCAATCATTGAGAATAAAGATATCTCGATATCTCTTCATCGGATCACTAGCCGTCCCCAGTGTGGTTGGGACATTTTGCGTATAACCATTTCTTGACACCATACGATGCGAGGACGAATCACAGACGTCCAGAATCAACTTCTTCCCTGCCATCTGAATCCCTTTACGATCAATCCTGCGATAAGAAGAGCGAAGAAGACGGAAGACGGCCCGGCTTCTGATCTGAGCAAGGAAGTCGCGAGAGATCTTTGTGCTTGGCGCTCTCTGACCGGATCGAAGCGGGCCGTAAAGCAATCTTTTGCGACACCGGCCTGCGCCGGTACACAGAGGTTCCAAGGGCCGGCACACCGGACCGTCCTGTCCCCTCAACACCATCCAATAGCCATGGAGAGCAATGTGCAGCAAACGCCCGAGAGCGTGCGACCTCCTAAGCGTGTTTCGCAAGCATGTGAAGCCTGCCGGCACGTCTCGCTATAACGAACCGAACATTTTTGACCTCATACTGATATTGCAGAGTACAGTCGCAAAAAGTCGAGATGTCCTGGGGAGAAGCCTGCGTGTTCTCTTTGCACAAGATTGAAACAGACTTGTGTATATGCGGATGATGGATCCATGCCAGAGGCCAGATCGGCCGCCATAGAGCGACGAATGGTAAGCCTTATCGCAGCCCGGACCCAAAGGGCTTATCCCATAAATTGTTTCTGAAGTATAAGCCATCTGGTTATCGTGCTGACTTGACTCGAAGAATGCTCGCTTCTCAGAGTTGGAGAACAAACTCGAAACTCTTCTCAGAGCCATGTGCGTAGATACGTGCACTAATCGAAGACAATAACGCTAATTTGCGAAGACCTGGTACACCACCTACAGTACTACCACGAACCCCGCTTGAGTCTCATGTCGAGAGCTCACGAGCATCGCCAAGGGTGCCGTCGTCGCGAAGGAGATCTCTCGAGATGCCCGAAGGTACTACCCCGTCAGGATTACAGATACCACATGAGCCCACACGCCTTGAGGTTGCTGTCCCTATCCTGATGAAGAAATGGAACTGCCAACCTATCCCATTGTTTCATCCCAACCTGGAGAAGGACTATATGACAAGAGGGTCAGAAGTCCAATTCGCCATTCTCGCAATGGCAGGTCGTCTCAATGCACGAGGTCCTGAAGTCGATGATTGGTGTGAGGCTAATGCTCATCGTGCAAGGGAGCTAGCCTTGGGCAGAGTACTTGCTGGTGAGGTCAGACTGAGTACCATACAAGCATTCATATTGCTGTCGTTCTTAGACTTCACGAGTATGTGCGTCTCAATCTACATTCGTTCAACGGCTAATGATCACAGACGACAATGGGCAACGATCACATCTATTCCTTGTTAACGCCATTTCTCTTGCCCAAACATCTGGCCTTCTGGACCCACAAGTAGTTATCAATAATCCAGTCGAGCTTGAGGAGCGAAGGCGCTGCTTCTGGAGCATTGCCATCATGGAGAACATGTTCAACCTGCAGGCACTGACGTTCAGTGCCAAGAGCAATACCTACCATGCTTCTTTTAAGCCAGTCAGTCCTAATGCAACCTCGAAAGGAGAATTGGTGGCACCATCTTCCCAGAACATCGTGGCCGACGGTCCAGTTCCTGGTATAATTATCAACACATTGCCCATGTTCGACATTTTCAAGAAGGCTGCGAAATACGTTACAGATACTAAAAGTGGTGTGCTTCCCCACCCGCCATGGCATCAGCAATCAGACTATGCCGCGATACAGGCCGATATACTGGAGTTGGAGTCCAACTTCTATCCAGAGTATCGATTCGACAGGACGAAAATGACACAGCACTCCAAAGAGGCCATTGAGCAGAACTGGGCCTTTTGGAGCTGCTGGCTAGTAAACCAATTCATGTACCACACGATCCACATGCTGCTAAACCATCCTTTCCTCATATCGTTGCGAATAGCTGCTGCTGGACGTTGTCCCAGAACCTTCAGTCAGTCTACCTCGGATCAAGTGGTGGTGCATTCGAACTGGATCATCCGTCTGTTAGACCTACTCGAAGAGAAGGAGGTCAATGTTTCTGATCCGTTTCTGGCTTACTGCATCTCGGTCGCGATAACAGTGTTCATTCACTATCGCAACGCAGAGATACAAAGTCTGAGACAGAATGCAGAGAAGGGACTGTTCAAAGGTCGCCAAGAACTAGGGGAACTTTCATCGCTGCTGAAGAATGTTGAGCGTATGGTATGACGAAACTACCTTCGTGGAACTTACAATTTAGCTGACGCAATGCACAGAGGAAAGCGTTAGACAGACTCGAGGCCATGGACACCTCACGTCGCTCAACAAGTCCGCAGCCTACGACCACAGGCGGCAGCAAGCAAGATCTACTCTGGGAAATTCTCATCTTTCACTCGCCAAGCAGATCCATCGCTACTGGCCAAGGTCTTTTCAGCAAAGAATTTGCCGCGCCTCCCAACGAAGCTGTATCCAGAGATGCCACCTCAATGGTGCGACCCACTCAGTCAACAGTCCAAAACATCACTTCTGCAGATGGCTTCCAAAGCTCTGTGGGCCCGTCATTCGCAAGACCTCCACATCCCGCTCCAGCCACAGCCATGTCTACAATCCCTGCTACACCCGGCCAACAACCCACCTTCATGCCTGGAATCGCACAGTTCTCCACGCCGGCAGATCCGAACTTGATGGCTTTCAACGACCAGAATCTCGCTGCTATTACAGAGTTCTTGGATCAGAATTCAGGAAGAATGTTCAATGAATGGTGGGATTTTGGAGATTTGTAGTTGAAACTGCTGTAGGGATGTTGAAGATTATAGATATTTTGGGTATGTACATAAAGTATCTTTGTGTGAGGGGTCGTTGGTATCTTTTGACTGGTGCTTGTTGAATAGCCGTAAAATGCGATGCATGAACAGAAATACGAAAACAAAAATGTGATGAGTCTCCCTTCCAAAATCGGGAGTGTCCAAGAAAGACTGAAAATGATCCAATGAATGCTTTTTGTCAAGCAGAATAATGAGAATGAGAAGAAGCTTTGTCACAAAGCCTCTGTTTAGGGCTGGCTGGGCCAGATCTGGTCAGCAATGCCTCTGACGAGCTGCAACTTCTTGCGCATATCCTCGTAACCAAGAGAGTTACCCTCGGCGTGCGAAGCAAAACCGCACTGAGGCGAAACACCAACACGCTGGAGAGCCTCCTCTCTCGACTGACCGCTACCCTCAGCGATGAAGTCAGCAGCCTGGTACACGCGCTGCACCATCTTCTCCTTGTCCTCAAGCTCGGGGAACTTGCTGGTAACAACACCGAGAATGACGTTCTTGTTCCTGGGGAGGTGCTTCAGGGGCTCGAAACCACCAGCGCGAGGAGTATCGTATTCGAGGTAGTAGGTATCGACGTTGAGGTCCTTGAAGAGCTTGGAAGCAATGTTGTCGTAGGCGCCCTCGCTGAAGTGACGGCTGCCCATGTAGTTTCCACGGCACAGATGGATGCCCAAGTGCATATCCGCGGGACGCTCGAAGCAAGCGTTGTAGAACTTGACGTAGGCGTCGAACATCTCGTCGGCGGTCTTTGTGTTGCCCTTGTCGGCCTTCCAGCCAGTAAGCATGGCTTCAGAGCAGAAGTAAGCAAGGTTAGGGTCATCGATTTGGATGTTGCGGATTCCGGCATCGTGCAAGAGCTTCAACTCGGTCTGGTATGCCTTTGCGACATCGGCAAAGTACTCCTCATCGTTGGCGTAGACATCCTGAGGGAAAGCGCGACCAGCACGGTAGCGGAAGTGGTACCAAGAAGGAGAAATAAGAGTGAGCTTGATGTTCTTCCATTCGTCTTCGGGAACGTTGGCCTTCATGACTTCGAGCTCGCGGGCGTTGCTGGTGTGGCCGGGGTGGCTGATCTTGCTCACGCACACAGTCACGGCGTTGGGGATCTCCTTGGCCTCGAGGAAGGACTTGACATCGGGTGCGTAGTCACGGAACATGGAGGCATCGTAGCCCTTGAGGACACCGAGCTGGCGATCTTCCATGCCGTTCAGCTCCTCAAAGAAGGTACCCCAGAACATATGCTATCGTCGTGTCAGATCAATATTCGTTCATTGATATTCTTGCTCGTTCTTGTGTAATCATTCCGCAAGACTTGTAATCGTGCACTTCTTTTGAGTATTTGGTAAGAAGGAATTGGATGGGTATGAAGGAAAGATGTGATGTCATGTGTTTAGAGCAATCTTCGAAAAGAGGAAAGAGCACATACCCTGGTGTACTCTCCACTGGAAATAGCATGGAAACCACAATCTTTCTGGAGCTTCACAACCTCAGTGACTGCCTTGTCCTCAATGGGCTTCAATTCAGAAGCGTCAGCCTTGCCAGCGGCCACAGCATAACGCTTCTGGACAAGCTCATCGGGACGAAGCAACGAGCCGACGTGCTCAGCTCTGAAAGGAGGGCTTCTCTTGGCAGTCGACATTTTCTTTTGTGATTTTAATGGTATTTTCCAGAGAAAAGTGAAGAGGGGAAATTTGTTTGCTACGTCTTCTTTAGCCCCGCCGCAATATAACTGCAAGAGGGTTTCAAGATGTTTGGGCGAGCAGCGACGACCCCACCAAGCCCCACGACCGGCCTCGGGGCCTGAGCCTTGGCGTCTTCACCGCCTTGTCGCTTGGTGGCAGTATGAGCATATACTAACCAGACAGCTACCTGAGGTAGGTAAATATCAGGCATCCAATTTGCCCTACCATATTACAATGGTTTCTCAACGTTCAGGCAGGTGTTATTCAAGTGCTTCTGTCTGCACTTTTCCAGAGGGTTATCACTCTGGGCAAGCTCGTTTGAACACAGTCTTGTCTGTCCCTGATCCAGTTTCTTGTTATGCATCAATGGATGGACCAGATCTTACAATCGCAAATACCTTACCTACCATGCCAGATATCTGGCGATGACGACCATCATCTAGTAAGCTATCGACTCATGCTCGCCAAGGGTCGTGTCCGTGTTGGAGGCGGCCGCTTCGACATATAAACTCTGCATCAGCCCACATAGAAAGGCATCAGCAATTCAACATGCGCACACTACCTTTCCGAGCAGAATTTTTTCTGCTACTCTGGACGGTAGCATCTGGAGGTACAACTGGATATGGATCGTCGACACCATTTCCGCGGGACACCTCTTGAGATCGATGCTGTATTGAATGCATATCTTGACATTCCAGCTAAAGAGGTGATTTCTGTTTGCAACCATACGAACTGTATGTCGAAGAGACATAAGTTGGCTACCGAACGACCATATGACACCACTGTTATGGTCTGGACCACAAATGTGACCACCAGCGAATCTGATGGAAAGGACAAGTTTGCATATGCAACATCAAAAAATTCCGATGGGAAATCTCAAGATGCTCCAGAAGCGATGAATGCGGAGGCAACAAAGGCTCGCTCGATGGAATGAGCAGATGCAAGGGCGTAAGTGTCAACTCCGTACCCTGTCAAAGCCTTCCGTCTTGACATTCGGATTCAATTTGCGGACAAAGACATGCAGTGGGAAGACTGTATCTGTATAGACATGGAGCTCAGCCACAGTGACCCATTAATCCGACCCCATCGCCATGAAAGACTGATGAGTCAGTATCCCGTGGAGACACCAAGATTGATTGCGGAGTACAGATCGGAAGAAAAAGACGAGCCTGTTGATATGGAGGGCGGACTTGCGAATGCTGTAGACACTAATCAATTAGCGCTGCAAGCAGAAACAGAAGCAAGTTATCGTGTCAGTCCACTAGCGAGATGGAATTCAAAGCCAATCCAGCGTGAACTGATATGAGAGATATTATGACTTGCAATCAGCAACCTAGTACATACGGCCACAGTCAGCTGAAAACTGGGCATCCCGTCCGCTCTGCCATACATAAGCAGTTGAACGGCAGATTAGTACTACGGTGGGTGACCACGTGGGAATCCCTGCTGCTGTATGTTTTGCATCTTGCCTTCTTTTTTTGCTCGTGTGACTGGTCTTTGTCTCTTCGGAAAACCGTCCTTCGCTCTTGCTGTCGAAGAGTTGCGCAAATCGTAATATAAGCCAGTACAGGCAGCCAACCTCTTCCAATCCATCAAGTGCGTCACAACCTTACCTTTTCCCTTTTGCCTCTTTGAAAATGCATGAGCTACGGAGTGTCGCTCTGCGAATTATTTTTCATACGACTCGCTCTGGCGCCTGAATATTTTGAACTCAGCCGTACTCTAAGCGCGCATGCTGTGTACGTCGTCATCCTCTCCGAGTCAGCCACTGTATCTGATCAAAATGGGTGTCCGCTCTTTCTGTAACGGGAGCAGTTTCTCCAGGACCACTCACTTGGCCGAAGACAAGTTCATGGCAATTTTCTTAACAAAGTACTCGGAATAAGGCGGCTCGACACCCTCAGCCAGCTGACGTCTTTACCGTGTGTGTGGCCACAAGATGTGCTTTTACTAGATTCAGTCTTCCAAATCTCATGTATTCGACCAAATACGATACATGATCGAGCTCTGTTGCTAGCTCGCGCTCCTTCGAAACGGTAGGATGCTTGACCAATGCTTGTTTTCAGCACTGCTACAGTATTGCTAGCGACTCCGCATCTCTCCATTGACCGGCAACCTAGTTGCAGAGACGAATAAACAGATCATTATGGCGGGAAACACTTCTATGGAGAAAGAAATGCTCGTTGGCTGCTAAGAATTATCGATAAACGAAGACTGAAGGATTCAAGAATCGATCCTTCGCTTGTAAGTACCTTATACTTATAACGTGGTGGCTGACCCCGCTCCGTGTGTAGGTTTGCCTGCGCCTACCACAATATAGGCGTGCCTTCCCTCTCGGGCGCGAGATGCAAGTCTCTGAGTTTGTCGCCTTTCATCCTTCCTCGCACCGCGGAAAATCGTGCATGTCCGTTTCTTTGCAAAAGCATCCAAATCGAGTCTAGATTGAGTACACCTTGGAGGACCAGCAAGCCCATTGCACTATCCGAAAAACCAATCACCAAACTCATATCGGCCAGGCAGAGCTTCACCTGCCGAGCAAAGCTTCTTCCCGAGCCAAGTATACGCCATTTGGACCAGACTCGTTACACCGCGTCACTGCTGTCCAGCCTTTCTTCGAACATTACTCGATCATCATAGTAGGCTGATCATGGGCACACCAACCTGGGCCATCCCCGTCGGCGTCCTCGGAGGCCTCTGTGTCGTATGTCTAGCCTTTATCTGGTGGTACATCCCTCGCCTGTACAACAAGGGAATGCAACAAGATATGCAGCGCCTAGCTGCCGAGAAAACAGAGCGCGAACGGCAAGCAGCTGCGTTACGAGAAGCCAATGGAGAATCTGTTGATTTGGAAGCTGGTGAAGGTGTTACGGTTGTGACGCCGGCGCCGGCGAAGTTCAAGTACACGCCTCCTGCGTATACTGCTTATTAGAAGATAGAAATTATGGAGCGAGGATGATTAATTATTGGTTCATGGGAAGGGGTTATGGAGGACTAATAAATGCTTTTGGCCCGGCGTTTGGGTTGGGCTGTCTGCAATGTTGATGAGGCTGCATTGCTTGTTGATGAATGAATGGTCACGGTTTTTCCATCTACACACATGACATTGTTTTTGACCCATCTCGTGCCCGACCCCGGCCATCGTGGTGCATGACGGTAGTCTGTGAGGACAGACGGAGCAAGTGATATTTTTGATGGAAAATTCCCTGGAGATTCCAGTAAGCTATGATACTAATCGACGAAGCCAAAAGAAGGTCAGACGTAACCAGTACCAGTCTAGCAAGAGTCTCCCTTTTCCCAACTTGGGGGCTCAGAGGCGTGAGAGACATATCCAACACATATGTCATACGAAACCACTGCCCATATCAGGTTGACAAAGACAAACTTCCCACATGACCGACTCTTCTCTCGACTATTTCTATCTGAAAACGCCGTCCTCTTTAGACAGCGATCTGGAACACACCAATCTGTCTAGACGATGTTGTGAGCTAAGGTGTTTGGATTGGAGACAAAAGACATAGAAACATCTCTCTAGTATGCTTTTAGACTATGCCATCAACCTCATATGAAATAAGACTCTCACAACGACAACTCACAACCTTATCTGCAAATGATGCAGCAGACATGCCTTGGTCCTCGAATGGACTTCACTACAAAGGCTCCCTTCACTAAACCAGCGCTGTTGATGAAAGAGCGACCTGTTTTAGAAGAAGTGGCAGACAGAGAAGCAGCAGCCGAGAAAACAGAAAGTGCAAAATGTACTTGAAGAAAGAGCGATCAAGAGGAAGAGAGTAACCACAGAAGGCAAGTATGTTGAGAAAGAAGGGCGTACACAAGGTGTATATTTGCAGTTCCTCTGTGCCACAGCTGCTTTTGGATCACAGCAGACTGACATCGCTCGACCCAACAACAATCCCAACCCTGCAATTATTGGCCACTGTCGGCGTTATGAACAATAAACCAACGGCACCGTGACTCGACCTTGACATCTACTCACGATTCTTGATCACACTTCTGTGTGCTTGTAGTCTGCGGAGCACCTTCCAAACCACAACAATATGCCCTCGTTGCACGTTCTGTCCCAACGATAGACGGAGTTCTATCGACAAGACACAAATTCAGCCACTTCTGTGCTTTAATCAATTGCTTATTGTTACCCAGCAAAACAAATCCCCGCTCTTAAGGCTCAGTCGTATAGAGCCTTTCAGCGGGAAGAAAGCCACCAGATATACTGGTTTCATTTCCGAGTGAGAGGAGTCACAATGGCTCCCACAGTCCGACTCAGAGAGTCGAACCGGAGACCGCTAGGCCAACCACCGCTTGGCGGTAAAGCGATGGATGTTGGTGGAAGAAAGGCGGTAGTGCTAGCATATAAGGTGTGTGTGAGTAAGTGTCGGTGGAACTGATGCTAATGCGTATCACAATGTCTACACCCCCTGCATCAGATGTGTATTGTCTCAATTCATCTTCGTGCTAGTCCTGTCATCACTTGGTCGAGGTCTTATGATAAGAAACTGCAGCCAGCAGGTGGTAGTGACGAAAAGTGATGATAAGAAAGCTCTTGCCTTTGCGATTCTTCGCACGTAGACACTGAAAATGCAGGAACGTCCCAAGCCCGGCAAGCAATCGAAGGCATTGACAGTGGGATATACTGTAGCAAGACGATACGTGAGTCGGCATCTTGTGCTGGCATCTCCATGCGGGCATCTTCTCACCACTTCATTTTCTTCTCGCCACAGCTGATCCCTGAAACCTTCTGAAGGCATTACATAGCTCCTCATAGACGTAGATGTGTGACCTATTCTGAACGTACCACTCGCAAGTTACGAAGCAATTCGGAGTGAAGGACTGATCACAAGGCTTTGTTATCTTGAACTCTGGAAGTACATTCGTTTCATTTCAATCATTAAAGAGGAACACTAACTTGCTTGCTCAAATGCATTTTGCTGCGCATTACTTCTTCTTGCCAATACCACCGAAACCCATCATCTTCTTCAGCTTGGCCTCTCTTTCGGCAAACGAAAGCGAAGACTTCTTCTTCGGTTCTTCGGCCTTGGATGCAAGGGCTTGTTTGACCTCTTCTTCTGCGACTGGTTCTTTGACTTCCAGTTCCTTGGCTTGTCCTCTGAGTGCTTGTTTTAGCAATGGTCGATCACGGACTTCTTTCGGCACGCTCTCATCCCAGACGAATATGACCAGAGAGCGATCCCTGACACCCAAATCCTTTATCAACTTCTGTTGGCTCGTAGAATCGAAGATGAGTGGCTTCATCTGGAGACCGGTCATCTGCAGCCTGAACTTGAGCGAAGGATCATCGAGCATTCCTTGAACCTTAGTGTAGAGAGACTCGGATGTGTCTGACTGTGTGACTTGCCATTCAACTGTGAACATATCTGGGAAGCGTATGCGCAGAGTGGCGGTCTTTATTTCGGCGAGAGCGGCTGCTTTGCTTGCACTATTGGCAGCAATCTCTTTGTCCGATAGCAGACGAGTGTTTTTTCCTAGCTTAGTAAGACTGGCTTGATGGGCATTGGCATGTTCGACAGAAGGTAAGTAGTCGGCCTCGTTGTACGCCTGCCTAGCAGCAAACGGAGTGTTATTGGAAGGGGCAGCGTAGACCGAGATGCCTGTGTCCAGTGAAGGGAATTGACTTTCGTTCGAGGGCATCTGTGTGGTTGAAGATGATGCTATCACATCGTCTTCCTGTGCAGGTTGTTCTGAAGGAGTAGGGTCAGGGGCGGGAGTCATGATAGTGTCCCCTGATGGATCCTGTGCAGCGTCGTCTTCACGCGGTACAGCAGAGTTATCGGCATCGGCGTCAGGTAGTGAAGAGAGCTGCACATCTGGAGCTGCGTGTGCACCATGCGATGATGCATTCTGCGTCTGTGGTGCTTCTTGCGGCGACAGGGCCTGTAGGTATGTGGTGATCTGAGCTTTGGCCTCTTCCATGCGCACCCCCTCGTTCTTGAACGATAACCTGATCAAGACATTGCCACGATTGTGACCTAGTTGAGCGAGAGACTTTTGTAGATCCAAGAAGGTAGATAACTCTTTCGCGCTGCCTCCGATGTTCAGGCAAGGTTGAAGATAACAGAGATAGCCGCTACCGGTCTGTGAGCTTGGGGCGCTTCTTTCTGTGAGATTGAGCTTGTTTGTGTTGCCGGCGACACCATCCTCAAATTTGCGAAGAATGAGCCAGAGTGGAGTGTTGCTGGGGAAGTGGTCTTCAAGGCGTGGCGAGTTGTCCTCGGCGGGTAGTTGTAGAGCGACTTTGACGACCGAAGGAGAGCGTGAGGATTGGACGAGCTGCAGCTTTGCGCCCGAGACGAGGCCAGAGAGACGGAAGGGGAGAGAGAGGTCGATAGGCTTATCCTTTGTGTTTTTGAGGATGTGCTGATCGGGGTCGAGTTGGAACTTGTCGCATGCTTGCTCGAGAACGCTGCGAAGGGAAGTGGCGGGCGTGACCTTGACTTGGATGCGCTTGAAGGCAGCATCCAGGACGACGACGTGGGAGGCCATGATTAAGGTTATACGAAGGGAAGATGTCGTGGGTGTCGATGAGGATTAAAGTGATTATCGGGGATGATTGCTCGAACGTGAGCGGGCCCAGTTCCAGAAGCGGGAACCAAAGGACAGGAACAAAGGCAGGCACCAGGTGTAGGAAAGAGCGACGACAAGGATGCGCTCGCTGCGGGAAAGAGCCAGGCCGTAAAGAGGAGGTTGCGTCGGGGTTGTGGCAGTGGAGGCAGGCATGTTTGGAAACAGAAAGTGAATGCTCGGTGGTTACTGCCCGCTGACGTCTCTTTGTTTCGGTGAGCTTCGGTGACGCGCTTGGGCATTTGCCCCGCCATGTGAAGGTGCTCGCTCTATGATGTTTGTCGAGCAATCAACAACGCCGAGCCATCTTCATTCAAGGCAAGAACGTCCAACGAGACAGCAATCATGTCGTCCAAGATTGTGCACATCGAGTCGCCCCAGCAATTCAGCTCGCTGCTGTCGTCGTCGCGCATCGTCGTGACCGACTGTGAGTGCGCCCACTTGCTTGTACACACCCCGCCATCTGTATACTGACCATCACAACAGTCTACGCCGACTGGTGCGGCCCATGCAAGGCCATCGCCCCCTTCTACGAGCAGCTCGCCAACTCGCTCTCCCGCCCTAACCACATCACCTTCACAAAGGTCAACACCGACAACCAGAAGGACATTGCCCAGACGTACAACATCACCGCCATGCCTACCTTCATGGTCTTCAAGAATGGTCGTGAAACTCAGCGCATCCGTGGCGCTGATCCCAAGGCTCTCGACGCTGCCGTAAAGTCTCTGGCGACCGAGGCCGAGTCTTCGGGAGATGCTTCGTCGTCATCCTCGTCCGGTACTTGGATTGGCGCATCCCTACCTCGTGGCTACTCAGACATCACCGACAGTGTCGATCTTCTCAACTTGGACTTCCTCAATGTCGACTCCGAAGCTGGCAACGCTCGCACCGTCTTCAACACTGCTCAACCAAGCGCAATCTCAAAATCATCCTCGGCCGCCGCCAAGGACTGGATTGAGAGTGATACCGATGAACAACTCATGATGTACATGCCATTCCAGAGCTCTTTGAAGGTCCACAGCATTCACATCACCTCCTTGCCCACCCAAGGTGACGATGACATTGTTCGTCCTCGCACCTTGAAGCTCTACACCAACAAGTCAAACGTCTTGTCTTTTGATGAGGCCGAGTCAATCCCTTCAACTCAAGATATTACTCTGCAGGAGTCAGACTGGGATGCCAAGACTGGTACTGCTAGACTCGACTTGCGTTTTGTCAAGTTCCAAAATGTCACGAGCTTGGTCATCTTCGTCTCCGAGGGAGAGGGCGAAGGCGAGAAGACGAGAATCGACCGTATCAGAATCATCGGCGAGACCGGCGAGAAGAGAGCAATGGGCAAGCTTGAGAAAATAGGCGATGAGCAAGGAGAATAGATGGGCGGTGCCTATCTTCGCATGTACGCTAGTGCAACCTCTCATGCTATCCAGCCCTCGTCTTCCACAAACCTTCGTCACTCCTCACCGCGTTCCACCCCCTCATACACTTCTTGAAACATCTCCGCCCTCTTCGTTCCCTGTGGCCGACGCGCGTCCTTGAGGAGTGGAGAACCACTCCAAATTTCGAAGCGCAGAACTCACTATCAAGACCTCGTGAAGGTTTGCCTCAAGGTTGGATGCTGCTTCATTAGTCAGGGCATACATTCTGGATTCTACCGGCATCCACGAGGAGCTCTTCGACGAAGGTAAAGGAAGAAATGCCCCAACTTGAACGCCCGCCGGCTTCGGTTTCGGTAGAAGAGGTTGCGGCTGGGACCGAAAAGCATAACTCTGCTGTATACCAGAACAATGATGACAACTTTGCCTTTTGCCCTCATTTCGTTGACTTTGTTCCTTCGGCACATTTCTGCATTGTGATCTGGAGCTTCGCGGAGACGTGGTATAGACTTTTGAAATAGTGGCCAGGTCTGATGAGGAGCAGAGGTACAGAGGTACAAACACATTGCTGCTCGCTTGATTTGGCCTCGAAGAGTATTGACTGTTCGCACACCGATCGATTGCAGTGAGTGAATAGAAGATCCACAGTCTAGTCTATACAGATCATCGCCATCCTTCTTGTTGGGTAAATCCCAAAGTGACTCGTTCCCAATCCTTCATGCCAGCAGAGCGTTTTATGCCGTTTGCACATCGCAATTGCACGCGAACCTGTCAGATGTATGTCTCAGCTATTAATGTTTATGCTAACTAGCCAGGCACGCAATGGATATACAGTTACGGGAACCACGCGGAGCGGTAGAAGGCATGGGAAATGAGGTGGGAGGATAGGCATAACGACATAAACGGGGCATCCACTGTCAGATCAGCCATGCAACGCACAAAACCGTCCTCGCAAGAACGCGTCTCAGATATGCTTGTTCATTGTTTATCTCGACCGTTTCATAACAATCGCCGTTTCATAACATGCTAGGCATAGAGTTGCGGCTGTGTCTTATGCGGGACGCTTACGTTGTTCCTTGTGAACTAGTCCTCATCCTACGAACCGTTATGAGGTGCATAAGAGGCTGAAGTTAATGGTGACGCTTGGGATAACGTGATATCGCGGTCTCGACGCGGGCTCCCAAAGGGCTGAGGATCGATTTTGTGAATGCGGGGATTTTTTACTATTCCATGCATGTTGATCTCGGTCCGCTTGCGGTAACCATCGAAGTCAACTTTTCCAAATGGTATAGCGACGCCATCTCAAGGTTTTCGCGTAGGGAGTTCCAGGAGATATCAAAAAGTAAGAGCCTTTGACGAAAGCGGTCATCGCACGAGAAGAACAGGAGTTCGATCCTTCCATCGCTTGACACGAACGCCCCTTGTCTCTCGCGTAGTAGACTTTTCCTCCACACAAGCCCAGGAACCTCAACAATCGAAAAATCCTCCGATCGAATTACAGATCTTTTTTGACAGTGCTTTGCAAAAAGAAGGGGCTGGTATAGCACCAACACCAAGTACCGAAGTACTCGGGGCTTTCTTTTACTGCCCACGGACCCTCTCTCGCCTATTGCCGCTTCCCAAAACAGCTGCCACTGATATCACATGTGGTGGTCTGCCTTCGCTATCCGACCGTCGCCTATCTATGCCACGTACGTTTTCCATGCCGAAGGTTTACGCGGAGAGAGGCTTGGCTATACCTCTACCGCAAAGGGCATCTAGGACATGCAGGGTCGACGATAGCACATTCCCCTAGCTAGCGAGGGATCCAAAGTGGGCATAAAAGGGAGAATACGGTAGGTAGCCAATCCCTGCATAAGCTGCGCCGAACACTCAAAGAATTGCAAATCATGGATAGCGCATAAAGTCAATTGACCAAGGAGGAGCGAAAGATTGTTCAAGGGTAAGGTTTCTCCTGCATACCTCCGAACGGTGGTTCGGCCAGCTTGTTTAGGAAGTTGCGTTATCAAGGGTTTATTCAGGGACACTTGTTTTTATGCAGGGTATAGCCCGAAGCTTATATCCCTGGTTTCCATGTGCTTTCTGTTTCAGATGCTGGAACAAACTCTATTGGTCGTGTATAAGGGTCTGCATAGCAGCATAGCCTTATACATGTGAGAAGATGACCAAGCCCACGTGCTTGTCCATTCCGCGGCCTCCGTCGTATTCTTTTTCGTGTTTCTTTCTCGTATCATTGCCCGCGGTCACCATGCACGAGCGGCTTGCTTTTTGCATCATACTTTATGCTACGTTCTTATCACTTTACACGCCGATGAGTGGAGTTGAATAAGGAAATGCTCGCTGCACGAATCAGGTATGTCTGTCGATCATGATCGACGAATCTATGCACAGATTTGGATAAACCACGTCTTCAGTCCACCGGCCAAGTCCGTCATCTGTATGGCCCATCATGGTCAAATGCCCCGAATTCTAATCCTATCAGTATCCACCCGCGATAGGTGCTACTGCGCGAAATGCTCCCAAAGGCACATCATTCGTCAATATGAGAGCTGCAACCCCAAGAGATAGGCTGGGCCGTCCCGTGCCATCAATTCCCCATGGGACTGGACTTGTTCGTGTTTGGAGCTTTTGCTGCCCTTACGTCCGTACGTATACCAATGAAGGCAAGAGTGGCTTTTGTGCACCGAGAACGACAGTCAGACCAAGCTCCACGGAGCGGCTTGACACTTCAGCTACACCAATTCTCCGCAAAAGCCACCTCTCGTACCTGCGATGACATTCCATACGTTGCGTGAACAAGACAGCCAAGCAACACAGACATAGAGACAAAACAGCAAGTGCATGAAACCCAAAGCTAAAGACCCGTTGCGCGTGTCTGGATCCTCTTCTCTCACCAAAAGATACTCGGCTGGAGTGTACGACAATGGAGATCCACGGCCAAGGAGACGACCCGTTGCACTTTTGGACACATGTCGGCTCAACTCTGCCGTCTTGTACCTTTCGCGCGCATTTGCCCTGATTCCGCATGTCTTATTCTCCTACAGGCACAAAAAAACTGGTGATCGTCACCTATTCATCGGTCATGAATCCTTCGACACTCCACTTTCTTGTGGGGTTATCACGATCTAAGACATGTTCAACGTGCCTGAGGAACAGAAAATCACGCAAGACGGGAGGAAGCAAAACGCGTGAGGAAAATCACCAAGAAAAGGAACATTAAGAGTACGGCGCAACAGCTGTTTCCCCACATAGCTTATATTGAGATCCCTGTACCCTTATGGTGGGAGAAACATACGGTATTAGTTGAGAATACGTGTCGTGACTAACTATCAGTCCACTGGAAAGAGAATATCCACTTCGTACTGCCACTATTGCCAACTGTACAGCTCAACCTATTCCTCATCGCCCCTGAATGCCCTTCTTGAAATCCTGGTGGTTTTCATGGTCCTCTACTCGGCCATTATTGTCCGTTTCAACAAGTCCAAAGCCATTTCCACAATCAAGAGGTGATGGGCACTGAATCAAGAGGTCTAGAGCAGTGGGGATACCATGATGGGGCAGATGCGGGTCGCTCGCGGCCGACTTCCTTTGAAGGATTCTGCTGTACAGCGTGAAGCGTGTAAGCGTCTTATTTCCACTTTCCTCCAGCGCCAACGAAGCCGGCGGCGCGCATACAAGACAAATTCTCAAGATCGTGCCTGAAGATCGTGGTGTCAGATAGAGAGCTTAGCAGTGCTACCGTAGGATTGCATCTCGCTAATACTGTCCAGAGAAATGGCTGGTCAGCTTCTTGGGCGCCGAGCAAGGCCGCCGATTCTGCTGGCATATACACTAGTCATTATGTCGGGGCCGCAGTATGCATCCATGGAGATGAGTCCGGTGGAGGTACGACGAGTACGATGTGTATGTATCTCAAATCTCCTCTTTGCGCTTTTTCCTCATTTCGACATCGTAGCATGGATTTCTTGATTTTCTCATTCGCCGCGGATCCTTCGCGTGGTGACTAGTCCTCTGGGACAGGTTGGCTGTAACTAGTGAGAGGGTCATAGGATACAAATGCACATGGCAAAAAGGGTCATGAAGAAAGACCGTTATGCTTGCATAGACCTCGAAAGTAGAGGCGTTGTTCCGAGACGCGTGGTTGTGCATAGTCATGTGTACTTTGTCTTATCTTGCTGGACCAACGCCAAAGGGACTTGGGGGCTTTCGGAGGGTGTTGCGAAGGCCGGCCATTTGCGAGAGAAAGAAAGGGTGCAGATACGTCTTCCTTGACAGATCTGCCACACCTTCGATGCTTTGCATGACATGTAACCAGGTAGTCGTCAAGTGTCCAGACCTACGGGTCGCCTACTCAGTCCCTTGCATGACCTAATTTGGAAATCTTGATCAGTCGGATGTAGACTTGATGCTGACGTAGCTCTTCATGCACCGGAGATGCGATGACCTGCAGCCCTCCTCGCAATCAAACAAGACGTCAATCAATGACTCAGTGCCCTACCCATACAAGCAGCTAAAACAAGAAGGATCCTTCGCAAGATACTTATGCAACCATGGGTTGGTGGTGTAGCAGACATGGCTTCTGAAACCAGTAGCTGAAAACGCGACCATGAAGTTATGGCTTGCCTAATTTCCTCGAGATCGATGATCAGAAAGATCGTGGGTGAGTCGATGAAAAATGGCGTAAGCAGTGGTGAGATTGGGCGACGGACGGCTCGTCCCTCTGCAAATCTCCCGCTCCAGGCCCTTGCCCTGAGCAAAAATGGAGATCAAAAAGAGAAAATAACCTTCGAGAGAGAAGAAAAATGGCAAAAAAGGAAAGAGTATTACGAAAAGCGGCATGACGATTGTGCAGGTGCAGTCGAGTCAAGAGCAGCCAGAGGTCTGGCTCGGCAAGAGTGTGGGGTGTTTAGGTTGAAGGCTCAAGAGAAAGAGTCGGATGCTCTCGATCCGGTGGGTCGCATCACTTCAAGCTCCCGAGCAAATTGAGAAAGGAAAAGATA